AGAGAGGATTTAAAACCGAACTGTCACTTCCAGGTTGCAGCGTTCGGGAGCCGAAACATTCAACTTGCAAGGCGTTCGGGATCCAAGGTACGACTGTATTTCCAATAAAAAACAAATTACAAACAAGGCAAGTGAACTTAAAACAAATTGATAGGTTCGCCCACTGTTAGTAAGGAGACAGTATAGGCTTTGAACTGAGAAGGAGGACCGTGGTGGTAGAAGAGACTCAATACCCCTCACACTCCAAAGCTCAGTCTATTTGCTTCCTTACCTCCAACAACCAGTGAGGAGCCATTGCTGAAAGTCAAGGTGGGATTTCTCTTTGCGCACATATACAGGCCAGAATCTTCCTTTTGGACCTGGGTGATGGCCAAGACCAGATTTTTTCCTTCTGCCTTGCAAGCAAACCTGCCTCCATCTTCCTTCCCTGAGCATTTTTTAATTAAAAGGGGTGTGCCATCCTCTCTCCTTTTATACCAGCTGAAGGACAAGCCTTTGTCTTCCACGCTTTCTGTAGAAAAGCACTCAAGTTGGGCTGGGCTCCCGGTATCCACAAAATGGAACGGCTCCGTCTGGTACAGTAAGAGTAACTGGACTGGTAATACTGCTGAGAGAGGGGGGAAATGATGAAAGAAGGAACGTTGCAGTTGGGTCTTGTCTCCTTTCACACAAAGGGAGATTCCCTAATGAACAAAAGCAATCTTAAGTATAGAAAGCTGGTAGGCTTTTTTGGGGTGGGGGAAGAAAGAGATCATTGTCTTCTTGTGCTGTATAAGTGACAAAGGGGAGCCACACCCCTAGTTTAAGTTTATCGGTTATCTTTTCTCTTAGGGTGGTTTATCATAAATAAATAAATAAATAATAATAATAATAATAATAATAATAATAATAATAATAATAATAATAATAGTAATAATAATAAATGTATTATTTATACCCCGCCCATCTGGCTGGGTTTCCCCAGCCACTCTGGGCGGTTTCCAACAGAATATTAAAATACAATAGTCTATTAAACATGTTATGCACTGAGTTGAATAGGATCCAAAAGGCAGCAGTCTGATTGGTCCTAGAACAATGCAGCAGTATGATTGGTCCGCAGGAGCCACCCAGTCCAGCTCCAGGTGGAAATGAATCCACAACCTGATTGGCCTACAGGAGAATCCCGGAATTCGCCAATCACGTGTGTAAATAATGTCTGTAAATATTGTGTAAATAATGTATATAAAGCAGATATTGTGGGGGAACTTCCATTCCTCCTCACCACTTTGAGCTGAATAAAGAGCATGAAATCGACTCTCGACTCAGAGTATATTTCAAAACATTAAAATCTTCCCTGAGCAGGGCTGCCTTCAGATGTCTTCTAAAAGTCTGGTAGTTGTCATTCTCTTTGACATCTGGTGGGAGGGAGTTCCACAGGGCGGGTGCCACTACCAAGAAGGCCCTCTGCCTGGTTCCCTGTAACTTGGCTTCTCGCAGTGAGGGAACCTCCAGAAGGCCCTCAACGCTGGACCTCAGTGTCCGGGCAGAACGATGGGGGTGGAGATGCTCCTTCAGGTATACTGGACCGAGGCCGTTTAGGGCTTTAAAGGTCAGCACCAACACTTTGAATTGTGCTCGGAAACGTACTGGGAGCCCGTGTAGGTCTTTCGGTACCAGTGGTCTATGTCCATCCTATTGGTCTTCCCAGTGTCTAGTTACGATATTTAGCTACACACTCTTTCCCCCGCAATGTCTATGACAATAGTGTCTCATTCGATCTGTGAAAAAGGCTCTATGAATCGAAAGTGGAGACGCTATATGTACTTTCCCGTTTATTTGTTTTGTAGCACATAAAGAATTTTTTAAAAAAAATAAAGACTATTTTTAAAAAGTATAGAAAGCTGGTTACCCCTATTCCAAATTCCATTCAGGAGGAATTTGACTTATACTACCTTTTTTGCTGGTGAAGTTCTGCCAGATTGTGGGGTCCTGAACAGCCACATCACTGGAAAACACCTTTTTGGGAGTCTTAAGCCAGAGTAAATTTAAGAATGTCGGCTGAACTGGGGTGAGGGCAATAGTATGTCTCTGATTTAGCCAGTGCTTTTTTCTTTTAAAAATGTTTAGGAGTACTCTCATTTTGACTCAAGAAAATCACCATTTTATAGTTCAAATCGGGAAACATAAATACAGTAAATGGACAAAAGTACAAAGATTCACAAAATGTTTAGGAGTATGCATACCCCTGTGTACCCCCAGAAAAAAACAACAACACTGGAATCTGCTGAGGTGAAAAACTTACACCAGCTCAGTCAGGAAAGCCCAAGCTCCACCAAACCGAAATTCTCTAATCCCAGTGGATCTTGGGTTTGGATTCTACTGTTAGGCAGAATCCGTCAACCTTGGCTCCCCAGAGAACATTGAACTACAGATCTCATCATCCCCAGCCAGTTCAGCCGATGGTCAAGGATGATGGGAGTTATAGTCCAATGATACATGGGGGTGCAAGGTTGAATAGGGCTGATCTAAATCCATTAGTTGTATTTATTTCGGAAATTTGTACCCCACCTGCTGTTAATGTTTTCAGAATGCCCTTAAAAACAACCTAAAACCATTGAAAACCAGTCTTGTACATTTATGTGTGTGTGTGTGTGTTTTTAAAAAAACACTTGCTGGTTTTATCAATATTTTGATAATTTTATTATGCCTACTGTTTCAAAAGTCTATTTTCATTGCTTATTTTCATTGCTTAATTTATAATTTTATGTAAACTATATTGCTTTTAATTAAGCAGTACAGAATCTGATAAATAAATATTTTTTCAAGTACCTTAAGGTCCAAAGTTTTAAAGAAGTTTTGTTTCGTTTTTAAGCAGTTCTTCTGCATAGGCTATGACTGTAAGAAATGTATATGTCTTGTGGTTTCTCAAGACTAACAGGGTTTTTTTGGCAAAAGGGTTTGTGGACTACAGTTCATCAAGTGTTATACTCGGAGAGGGGGAGATGAGAACAGAGAAATCTGAAGAGTGGGGTGAAAAGGTAATGAAATGGAAGAGTTAGTCTATTGCTTTTTGATGCAAAGCTCAAATAAATACAAGATAAACCGAATGACCTTTCACAACAGCAGCAATAGGAGATAACATTATTCTGCTAGCTGTGTTCCAATAATTCTTTGTAAACCACTTTGGGGGCTTTTTAAAAACCATCAAGTGGTTATAAATCTTATGAAATCAAATAAATAAATGCTTTAACAGCTACAAGGGGAGAGAGAACCCTTGTCTCAACCGAGTCCTAAACTAATAGGATCAAATTTGCCGATTGGCTGGAGAACGGTAACTTTCAGGCTTGCAGCAGAGTATCCTTAGACTTAGAGAACATTCAACACACACACCCTGATCCCACCCCCCAGATTAATAACAATTAAATGATTCAGATGAAACGCATAAGTCATTACCTGCGCAGATCAAAACGAGGCACTGCGGGAACTGCATCCCCCAAAGTCGTCAGCTGCGCCCAGGAGCCCCGAGCCAGCGTTTGAAACGGCAATGTCGAGAAAAAGGGTCTGAGATCATCCTGACCCCATTTCCTTTGTGAAGAAACCCAGCCTCTGCGTGGGTGGTACAGTTTGAGACCAGGTGGCTGAACAGAATAACAGTGTGGCTTCACAAGTACAGTGGTACCTCGGGTTACATACGCTTCAGGTTACACACTCCGCTAATAAAGAAATAGTGCTTCAGGTTAAGAACTTTGCTTCAGGATGAGAACAGAAATAGGGCTCTGGCGGCACAGCAGCAGCGGGAGGCCCCATTAGCTAAAGTGGTGCTTCAGGTTAAGAACAGTTTCAGGTTAAAAACGGACCTCCGGAACGAATTAAGTACTTAACCCGAGGTACCACTGTAGTCATTTGCTGAATGTGGATTGGTTCCAGGGCTTGGACGCAGTCAGTACCGGATTTACGTATAAGCTAAACAAGGTATAGCTTAGGACCCCATTCTCTTGGGGGCCCCAAAAAAATTAAAGGGGGGAAAAACTGTACATTTCCAAAATATAAGATAAAAAACAAATAAAAACCTACATGCAACAACAGTGTTTTGTGTTGTGTAGGCTCCTGTGAGGTAAGTCATGGCCCCTGCCTGCTAGCCTGCTCCCTAAAATATCACTGGTTTGCTCCTTTCTATATATAGGGTGCCTGCATTCTGCATGGACTTGTTGCAGGACAACATGTGCAAATGGCTTTAGATACCTATTTGGTTCATAAATTACCATATAGCATATATTCAACACAAAAAAACAGTGACAATTTGATGTTGACAAAGGGCAGCTGGGCATATAAAGGGCCCCATTACCTTCAGTAGCTTAGGGCCTCATCAAACCTGTATCTGGCCCTGGACACAGTGAAGGCTTTGGGTCTTGCAATTTGCTGGGCCGCATCACGGAAGAGATGCCAACACTAGTTGGGGTGGGGTGGGATTCTGTCTCCCCAGTAGGGATGCGGGCGGAATGCAATTCAGTTCACATCTGAAGGCAAATCTATCAAATTCACAATATCTGGAACCAGGTGAGACCTAAAACACAGCCGTCTTCCAAGATTTGCCCTTGTCGTGAATTTCGCAATGTAGTTGCGCAATGTAGTTTTTTTAAAAAAACTAACAAATTAATGAAAATTATGGATTATTTTTTATTACTGGGTGGAATTCAAGGCTGCGCTCTTCCAATACTTCTGCCTGCGCAAGCATATCTGCTTGCCAGATGGAACAATTCTTCCCTCTCTTATCTGTCCTGGGGTGGGGTGGGTTCCCTAACCCCCTTGAGGTAATTTTGGAGGGGGGCACAGAGGGGAGGGCTTCCACTTATGGGCCTCATGAGGTGAATCCCACCCCTTACTATAAAATGGTGATGATGATGATTTGCACTTATTAGTCAATTTTTTATTAGAAGCAACATACCAAAAACCAGCACCTACAGAGTAAACACTAAAACACATTCATATTGATATGAAAAGGGAGGCCTAAAAGATCCTACGCACTGAAGGAGGCCATAGATAATTTAACAGTGTGGTGGAAAAGTAGTCTAGTTTTTTGTGTTTGGTTTTGTTTTGCCTGGCATCTAAAATAGATAGCTGGAATTTATCTTCATGTCAACTGTTTTTGATAGGGTGTTTTGTTTTGTTTGCAATCAAGCAGTGTATAAATTTTATTAGATATGAAGTAGCTTTGAGGCGTTTGTTGTTTATAAAGGTAAGGTAAAGGTACCCCTGCCCGTACGGGCCAGTCTTGACAGACTCTAGGGTTGTGCGCCCATCTCACTCAAGAGGCCGGGGGCCAGCGCTGTCTGGAGACACTTCCGGGTCATGTGGCCAGCGTGACATCGCTGCTCTGGCAAGCCAGCGCAGCACACGGAACGCCGTTTACCTTCCCGCTTGTAAGCGGTCCCTATTTATCTACTTGCACCCGGAAGGTGCTTTCGAAGTGCTAGGTTGGCAGGCGCTGGGACCGAGCAGCGGGAGCGCACCCTGCTGCGGGGATTCGAACCGCCGACCTTTCGATCGGCAAGCCCTAGGCGCTGAGGCTTTTACCCACAGCGCCACCCGCGTCCTTTGTTGTTTATAGCGGCTAACAAATAATTTACGGCAGAGCCACACCATACAGTTAAAGCACTTGATGTTTCCTTGCAGAGCTATAATTCCCAGCACCTAAAAAAAATAATCTACAGTTCCCAGGATTCTTTGGAGGGAGTCATGCACTTGAAATGTGCATTTGGCGTGCCTGGCGTTACCACCCAACCTTCTTTTCTCTCTCCGCTTTCCTTTCCTTTTGTAGGGAAGTATAGTCCTGGGTTAAACCACAGAGCCTAGGACTTGCCGATCAGAAGGTTGGCAGTTCGAATCCCCACGACGGGGTGAGCTCCTGTTGCTCGGTCCCTGCTCCTGCCAACCTAGCAGTTCGAAAGCACATCAAAGTGCAAGTAGATAAATAGGTACCGCTCCAGCGGGAAGGTAAACGGCGTTTCCGTGCGCTGCTCTGGTTCGCCAGAAGCGGCTTAGTCATGCTGGCCACATGACCCGGAAGCTGTACGCCGGCTCCCTCGGCCAATAAAGCGAGATGAGCGCCGCAACCCCAGAGTCGGTCACAACTGGACCTAATGATCGGGGTCCCTTTACCTTTACCTATAGTCCTGGGCTACATTTTGGAGTCCCTTGTTTTGCCATCCTCCTCTTGACTATTCCAGCCTTGATCTCGCTCTCCAGAAAGCACTGTGCCAAAGGTGATGGCATTTGTAAGACCTTTCCTTTACAGCCAGCTATTACGCAAGGCAACATAGATGAACTTCCCCCTTTGTTTCGCTTTCTTCCTTGCAGGGGATGCAAATCAAAAAGCAAGGCGTATACTTAGGAGGAAGATCCCTCAGGGAACTGACATCCTCGCATTCTTTTTAAAGATATATTGCTTCTAGTTTGGGTGGATGGCTTAAAATGATCAGCCCAAAGCCTTTGGAAAACATGAAATTATATTTGCACAGTATTATTACTATTAATGAGGTTGCAGTGTTTGATTTATTAAGGGGTTATATTAAATTAATTTTAAAAGAATTTATAGATAAACGAGGCGTACCTGATTACTGTAATTAGGCTAGACATTAGGCCAGAGTTGGGCAGGTAGTGGCCCTAGGGGTGACAGAAAGAGGGAGAAGAAAAGGTTGGGAGAGAAGTGGCTGAAGCAGAGAAAGAGAAAAATGGCAGAAAGAGTGCTTTTCATTTAAGAAACAGACACAGTAAAATTGAAAAGTAAAATTGAAAAAGAGTGCTTTTCATTTAAGAAACAGGCACAGTAAAATTAAAAACCAGCTCAGCCTCCTTTGTGAGGCTGTCCTTGACCTTTCTCTTTTCATCCCATTTCAGTTACGCAGAAGTACACTTCAACAACCCAAATGTGGTCAGACTGTGTCCTGGTAAAAGTTTGCCTTTTTTTTGCAGAAGAAGGGAAGAGGCAAAGAAAGAAAACACACCTCAGAACTTAGTATTCTTTTTTACGTGCTAAGTTTTAGACGGCTTGTATATACACAACCTTTTTCATTACAGTACTCGGTAGGGTTTCTTGCAACTCTGTGCCTCTCAGGGGGGTGAGAAACATTTTTGTGGGGTTGCATTCCCTTCAGTCTTTTTTGGGGGGGTCATCTGTTGGGTGGGTGTGCACATTCTACTGCAATGAAATGAAAGCGTCTCACCATGAATCTATGGAGGGTGAAAAAATTGCTTGTTATACTGTGAGTCTTCCCTCCCCCCAGATTGATATATTCCTTTTGTGAACCAAATCAACACTGCTATCACCAACAGGCAACAGATCTAAACCAGACCAGCTTCGCTTCAGAAGCAGTAAGATAAAAAACCGTAGTCTTAACGGCACAATATTTCCTTGACGAAGAACCCTGTGAGGTCAGAAGGCTTGCGAAACTTTTAAAAGCAAACACTCCTTTGCGGCAGCGCACCCACCCATTATTCCCTCCCACCATGGGCTGGTTTGTTTCCCGCCTTCTCTTCCCACCCCTTTTGTTCCCCCGCCAGCCAATCCACAGCTCCCGTGGGGTTCAAGCGCCTCTGCTTACTCCTCCTGATTGGCTCCCCGCCCCATGGCCCGTCCTCATACGATTGAGAAAGCCAATCCAGGTGGTGGCGCTGCTATGGTCCATTTTTACCAAGGGAACCGCCGCCCTCTTTCGCGGTGCACTCTGGGGGTTGTAGTCCGCCAGCGGCAAACCTGCGCTGGGTTCCTTGGGGCTCTGACAGCGCGAGGACTACAAAGCCCTGAATGCACCCCGGCGCAATAGGACTCTCTATAAGTAATGCTGCCTGCAACTCTGGCTCAGTGGCGCAGAGAAGCCTGGAGAAACGCGATCAGGTGAGAGCCGGCGGGGAGGGGTAGAAATCTTCCTTTCTTTCGTATTCCCTTATAATGCTATACTATAAAATCATCAGGGAGCCTAAAAAAATAGCAGTTCTTTAAGGTGCCACAAGACTCCTTTGTTGATTTACCTGCAATAGACTTTGCACGGCTATCCCACTGGAAACTGCATTTATTACCCACCCGAGGTCTGCGTGTGTATTACCCAGTCTAGACGCGGGGGAAAACCCCATCAAAGAGCGGGGAAAGAAGGCAAAAGGGTTCCTTAAACAGGAATGGGCGGGGTGGACTCCCGATTTCCCTGCAAACGTGAGTGTGGTTAGGACATTGTTGACAATGCAAGTCACTAGTCCTCAAGGGGTTTTGCTATCTTACCTTCCAACACATACCTGAAATAGCGTGGTGGCAAATTCGCAAGCCTTTTCGTGATAGCCAAAACCATGGCCCCTTCTAAGACAATGCAATAATAATAATAATGGATGCATTTCAATGATCAATGCAGATCTCCAGGTTTTGCCTTTCATAGGAATTTACAGTTTTTCTGTACACATACTTGGGAAATGATTTGGAGTGCTCCAGTATCTTCTTTCAGGGTGATTCAAGTTGTGCTTTTCTTGAAGTTCCATTGTACGTAACAGAACGTGCATGCCCTTCTCTTGAAACAGAAGGATCTCATGTTCTCCGTGTTCCTAAACACTTTACTTTTACCCCCCGGGCACACACTCCTGCTTGGCTCCCTGGTATGGTCCAGAGCTTAGGGCAAGGGAACAAGCTGAAAGATGACTCAAGCATAATGTGGAGGAAATCTCCGGTGGAATGCAATCGAACACTCATCACTGAGCCTACCTAGTGGCAGTGAAGGTGGCAAAAAAGTCATACCTTGCTGCCTCCGTTGCATCCTCATTGTGCCATCCAACAGAGCTTTTTCCAGGTGTGGGGGCTTTAACAACCTGGCCTGAAGGAAGTGGCAAAACTGATCATAGCTCGCTGTGGCTTGTTTGCAAAGAATTTTGAGGATAAAATTGCTTGCATCCACCAGGATTTTGACTCTGCTGTTACACAGCAGATGAATCTTAAAGGGTGTCCAGAGCACGGTCTTGTCCTGTTGTGTTGGATGAGTTTCAGCTAGTAAACTCAAGGATGTCGAAGATGTGCTTGGATCAGTCAGATGAGGTGATTAATGCCTCCTTATGAGATAGGTGGTCCCTGCCTGCTTAAGTACATGCGATGAAGCCACTCCTTTCAAGAAACCCTCACTGCATAAAGAAAATCTAAGTAACTACAAGCAAGTTGCCAATCTCCCCTTATTGAACAAGGTTTTGAGTGGGTTGTCATGGACCAGATCCAGGGGCTTTTCAAGGAAACAAATTTTCTAGATCCATTTCAGTCGGGGTTCAAGCCAGGGTTTTAGAGGTGGCACGGTCTGGTTCATGGGTGATTGAAGTCCTAGCAAGGGAACGTCAGGACCGGGGGCAAGATGGTGGGGTGGGAGCAGGAACGGGGGTCCAGGAGTCAGGAAGCCAAGGGTCCGAGGGTCAGGAAGCAAGGAGTCACAAAAGTCAGGGGTCCAAGGGTCAAGAAGCAAGGAGTCCAGAAGTCAAGGGTCCAAGGGTCAAGAAGCAGGGAGTCAAGAGAGCCAGTATGGTGTAGTGGTTAAGAGTGGTAGACTCGTAATCTGGTGAACCGGGTTCGCGTCTCCACTCCTCCACATGCAGCTGCTGGGTGACCATGGGCTAGTTACACTTCTCTGAAGTCTCTCAGCCCCACTCACCTCACAGTGTTTGTTGTGGGGGAGGAAGGGAAAGAAGATTGTGAGCTGCTTTGAGACTCCTTCGGGTAGTGATAAAGCAGGATATCAAATCCAAACTCCTCTTCTTCAAGAAGCCGAGGTTCAAGGATCAGGAAGCAAGAAGCCAAACGCAGCGAGGCAGGAAGCATGTTGCTGTGGCAAAGAGCCGAAGGGAAATGCTGATCTTATATCCCTTCCCGGCTCTTGCCACCAGATGCTGTGAGTTACCAATTGGCATCACCTGTGGGGCCGTGCCTTGCCTCTTCAGAACAAACTTAGGAAGGCCCCAGTCCTGCAAAGTCCTATTGGTCACAGGGCCCAGCTCCCGCACGCACACCTGACAAGAGGAGGGTGGCACCACTTTGCGGTGGTTCCCGTCCTACTTGGATGGTCGTTTCCAGAGGGTGATTTTGGGGGGTGCTCTTCAGTCCTGTGGAGCCATCAATGTGGGGTTCCTCAGGGTTCAGTTTTATCCCCTTATGCTGTTTAACATCTACATGAAACCGCTGAGCGGTGTTATCCAGAGTTTTGGACTATGTTGTCGGCAATATGCTAATGGCTCTGCTTCTCGTATACAACTGCGGTTGTAGCAGTGGGTGTGCTAGACCGTTGTCATACCTCGGTAATGGGATGGATGAGATTCTCTCTGAAGGAGCGAGCGCATAGCTTGGGTGTACTTCTGGAGCCTTTGCTTTCACTTGAGGCTCAGGCTGGTCTCAGTGGCACACAGTGGCTATCCTCAGCTTTGGTTGGTGGCCCATCTGTGCCCCTATCTGGACAGGGGTAGCCTCACTTCTGCCATCTATCCTCTAGGTTAGATTACTGTGATGCGTTACATATAGGGCTGCCTCAGAAGAGAGTTCAGCTGGTGCAGAATTCGGCAGCCAGGTTGCTAATTGAAGCAAGACAGTTTGAGCATATTACTTTCATTCTGGCCCAACTGCCTTGGCTGCTAATTATTTTCTGGACCAAATTCAAAGTGCTTGAACCAGGCAGAGGGCCTTCTCAGTAGTGGCGCCCGCCCTGTGGAACGCCCTCCCATCAGATGTCAAAGCGATAAACAACTACCTGACATTCAGAAGACATCTGAAGGCAGCCCTGTTCAGGGAAGTTTTTAATATGTGACATTTTAGTTTATTTTTCATCTTTGTTGGAAGCCGCCCAGAGTGGCTGGGGAAACCCAGCCAGATGGGCGGGGTACAAATAATAAATAATTATTATTATTATTATTATTATTATTATTATTATTATTATTGTTTTGATCAATAAAGCCTTAAGCTGTTCAGAATCACTATACCTCAAGGACTGCAAACCAACCTGGACTCTGTGGTAATCATGAGAGACCCTTCATCGAGTGCCTCCTCCATGAGAGGTACGGAGGGTGGCAACATGAGAACAGAGCCTTTTCTGCAGTGGCTCCCCTTTTTTGTGGAATGCTTCCCCAGGGAGTCTTGCCTGGCTCCTTCATTACATATCTTTAGGTGCCAGACGAAAACATTCCTCTGTAACCAGGCCTTTGGCTAATTAATATTCTATGGCCTTTTAAATACGTTTGTGGGGGGGGCGTATTATTGGTTTGTTTTGGTTTTATTACATGTATTTTGTGTTCTCATTTTGCATTTTTATGTTGTGAACCGACCTGTGATCTTCAGTTGAAGGGTGGTATACAGATTTAATAAATAATAGCAACAATAACTTAGGAGCATGCAGGGGCTAAAAAGTTCCCTGATCAAGCTGGTTGGATGGACACTGGAAATGGAGATTCCGATGCAGAAATAGTATCGGGTCTTTGACGCACCCCTGTGACCTGAACCACCAAACTGCTGTGTATCTGTAAAATTAAAATTTGTTGCTCTGTCCCCTGTATTAGAGCAAATGGATGGGATGGGGGAAGAAGACTCCTATAGGAGGGAGCAGAATGGAGCTAGGACCTCCTGGGTTGGGTTCTTGCTTAGAACTCCTAAAAAATGTTCACCCCACGTTGTGCAATTGCCTTGAGTGTAGGCTGCCTTCTGTTGCTCTAGAGATTTATGCCAGCTTCCTTGTGTGTAGACATATCACAATGTGTGTGGGTGCTTTGCCTTGTGTAATTCCATGGCCGTGCGCTTATCTTTTCCAGATAGAAGAATGAGCCAGAATGGAGTGGAGGCGGCGGCGGCGGCCACAGACAAGGACCAGTTTGTGGGGTTCTTCCCCCAAGTTGTGAAGGATCTGACGGAAGATGACCTCCACAACGCGGAGGTGTCTGATGTTGTCGCAAGGCTGAAGCAGGTGACGGCGTGAGCTTGATTGGAAAGGCTTTTAATGGAAACTTGAAGCTGGTGGTTGCCAGCATGGTGCTCGTGGGCACAGTGGCCTTCTTCAGGTCTTCCTCTGCTTGTCCACAAAGCCTCTGAGCCCCCCACTCATTGCCCCCTTGGTCATGAGATACAGAGGGGTCACCCCCTTGAGAAAAACAGCTGAAGAAGGAAACTGGGAGAGTGATGTTCTTTCCCACTTTCTCTTTGGGCTCTATGGGCTTTTTGTTCAATTTCATCCAACTTCGTCATCCATTAGAAAAAAAGTGTGTGTGTGTGTGTGTGTGTGTGTTGTGTGTGTTCTTTCTGGGTGAGGGACCAGAAGGGGGCTGTCTAGGGCAGACACCCCAAAATCCAAATATATTTTTATGTGATCCCTGACTGGTTGGGACATGATGATCTAAGACAGGCATTTGGGCCTATAAAAACAAAAAAAATCCTTCCAGTAGCACCTTAAAGACCAACTAAGTTAGTTCTTGGTATGAGCTTTCGTGTGCATGCACACTTCTTCAGATACCCATGCACACGAAAGCTCATACCAAGAACTAACTTAGTTGGTCTTTAAGGTGCTACTGGAAGGAATTTTTTTGTTTTGACTATGGCAGACCAACACGGCTACCTATCTGTAACTAGGCCTATAAAAGTTAGTGACCCTTGCCTTAAACTGTGGTGCTGTATATTTGGGGCAGTTTCATCTCCCTAAGGCATGGGCCTTATCTAAAGGGCAAATCATGATGTTCTTCTGTCTCATTTATTGCATTCATTTTCTTCCCTGTTCCATTTGTGTACATTTGCCTCCAAGGCACATCCAGGCTTCAGCAAGGTGGTGACTTCATGGCGCTTGGGGCCTATCCTGTCTTTCTGCCTCAGAGTGGTTTCACTTTTCCCAGGGAACTCTGGGAGTTGTAACTCTGTTAGGGGGTTAAGGGTCTGCTCTCGGCACCCTAAACAGACTACATCTCCCAGAGGACTTTGGGGGAAGCCGTGGCTGTTTAAAGTGGTATCATTTGTGCTTTAAATGTGTGGGGGAAAGCAAGTAAGGGAGGATGTGCCGGCTGCGTATAAAATGGTGCAAAGTGTGGGGAAAGTGGACATAGAAAATATTTTCTCGTCGCAGAAGTCAGGAGCCATTCAGTGAAGCCAAATGTTGGAAGATTCAGGACAGACAAAAGGGAGGACTTCTTCACAAGGCTTTTGATTAAGCTATGGAATTCGCTTCTATGATACGTTAGCGATGGCTGTTAAATGGGACTAGGCAAATAAGCCTGTCAATGATTGTGAGCCATTACATCTATAGGTTATTTCCAGCATTGGAAGTGGTATGCCTCTAAATGTCTGTTGAAATCATAAGTAGGGAGTTGTTGCTGTTAGCAATTGTGTGTGCAATGTATGTGTGCAATTGATATTATTTCATAACCTAATAGCAAATCCTCGTACAGCAGTATTTCCCAAACTTGGGTCTCCAGCTGCTTTCGGACTACAATTCCCATCATCCCTGACCACTGGTCTTGCTACCTAGGGATGATGGGCAGTCCAAAAACAGCTGGAGAACCACTGCTTTACAGGATGGGAGGACTACAACTTCTGGTCATTGGCCATTCTGGCCAGGACTGATGGGAGCTCGAGTCAACATCTGGAGGGCCACAGGTATTCCCCATCCCCACTTTAAGTAAAGGTAAAGGGACCCCTGACCATTAGGTCCAGTTGTGACCGACTCTGGGGTTGCGGCACTCATCTCGCTTTATTGGCCGAGGGTGCCGGCGTACAGCTTCCAGGTCATGTGGCCAGCATGACTAAGCCGCTTCTGGTGAACCAGAGCAGCGCACAGAAACACCGTTTACCTTCCTGCCGGAAGGTACCTATTTATCTACTTGCACTTTGATGTGCTTTCAAACTGCTAGGTTGGCAGGAGCAGGGACCGAGCAACGTGAGCTCACCCCGTCGCGGGGATTCGAACCGCCGACCTTCTGATCGGCAAGTCCTAGGCTCTGTGATTTAACCCACAGCGCCACCCGCTTTACACCTCACTTAATATGTGATCCCTGACTGGTTGGGACATGACTGGTCTAAGATGGAGGCAGGAACCAGTGCCCCTCCAGATGTTACTGAACTACCAAGTCTGCCATCTCTGACCATTGGCCATGCCTGCTAATAGGGCTGATGGGAGCTGCGGGGCCACAGGTTCCTCCATCCCTGTTCTGGAGCCTGCTTTCAGTAGCAAAAAGCTTCCTCTATCCTGGTGTGTGTAACTATGGGGGTGAGTGTCTCCGCAAATGTCATCCCTCCTTGTTCCCTTGCAGGTCGTGGAATACAATGCCATCGGGGGGAAATATAACCGGGGCCTGACGGTGGTAGCTGCTTTCCGGGAGCTAGCTGCGCCAGAGCAACAGGATCCGAAAAGCTTCCAACGTGCTCTAGCTGTTGGATGGTGCATTGAACTGGTGGGTGTTTTGTACACATTATCCCTTTTATTTGGTGATGTGGAAATAAAAGGGTGTTTTCCCAGGCTTGCCATATCTGGCCGGGTTTATGTCTAATCTCATTTTGTGTGGATGTGACACCCATGCTTGAGAAATACAATTTCTGCTTGTTCTGAGATGAGCAGACCTACTAGTCACCGTGGCAGTACTCTACTTCCTGATCTTGGAGGAAGCATGCTTTTGAAATGGCTGGGAGTTGCAGGTTGGGATAATTGCCCTTGCACTCTGGTTCTGCCTTTGGGCTTCCCATAGGCATGTGATTGGCCGCAGTGAGAACAGGCTGCTGGACTACATCGCCTGTTGTAGCAGGGCTCTTGTTACCTTCTTTTGTGTCAAATTTTCATTAGACTTTTTTTTTAAAATAATAATATTTTATTAAGTTTTAAGAATAAAAGACACAAGAAAGTTTTAACAATAAAAGCCCAAGAAAAATGTAAAAACACAAAAATACAAAGTTACAAAATACAAAAATACAAACATTTAACCTAACAAAGAAAAAGGAAAAAAACATATAAGCACACAAAAAAAGAAAAACACAAATCCCTCTTTTTTAATTTCTCATCTTTGATTAACTTATTTTCCTGACTTCCTCACGCCTCCCTTTTTTGTATCCCTTTTTAAAAAATTAATTCAGCAAATTCGTGTCCTGTTACTTTATCCTTAATTATTTTTCCTCCCAAATTATAATTTCAAATTTTTGTCTGTTATCAATCCAGTCTTACATTATATCATGTTGCTAGAACCCCTTCATTTCATTAGACTTTAAAATACTTACATAGAAATTCCAGATTTCAAATTTGTTACACATTTCTCTCTAAACTTTGAGTTCCTGCCTTTCCCTCCATGCTATTCTTAGTCCTGTCCCATTTCCATACTGCATTCTAATAAACATTTTGCCTAGGCTATAATTTTTCTACCGCTGCTCATATTTCAAATCCTGCTCGCGATTACATCTGATTATGGTATATTTTCAGATATTCCAAAAAGAGCTTCTATTCTGTCATGTTGGCTTCTTATTTTTGCTGTTAGCGCCGCCAGTTCTGCATAGTCCATTCGCATTAAAATCCATTCTTTCCTTGGTGTTTTCTCTTCTTTCCAGTTCTGTGCGTACAAGATTCAAGCTGCTATTGTTGCATACGTAAATAAGTTAATCCTCTTTCTGGGGGGTCTCTGACCCTATTATCCCTAAAAGAAAGGCCTCAGGTTTTGGGGGAATTACCAGTTTAGACTTTAAAAAAAAAAATCATTTCATTGTGTATCATTTCCCCAAAACCTTTGGCTTTTCACACATCCACCACATTTGAAAAAAACGTTCCCTCATTGTTATCTGGCCTATATCTTCCTATATATAGGAAGGCCTGCCATTTCTCAAGCAGCAAGACCGTGGCAACAACCTTACTGCGATCTTGCAGCTTGAGAAATGGCGGACTGACTAGCCCAAGTGAGCTGTTTAAAAAGCATGAGGGGAGGCTCTGAAGTGCCTCCCTCCTCTTTTAAACCTGCCTTTCACACAGCAATTTAGCGGAGTCTGTGTGAAGCGTCTTCCTTTGTTAAACATGCCTTTAAAGGGGGTGGGGCTCCAGGTGAGCTATGGGGGAGGAATGGGGTGATAGGTGAGGAATAAAGGGAGGGGGTTGGGCAGGTATGGAGGATGGGCAAAGGGGTAGCTGGTACTGGCTAGGGGAGCGAGCGGGTGTGATCACCCCTAGTATTACAGTATGCAATAATAATATGGGGGTGGTATTTGGTTTGATTTCAGCTGCAGGCCTTTCTCCTGGTGGCAGACGACATCATGGACTATTCGGAGACCCGCCGGGGCCATCCCTGTTGGTACAAAAAGGTAGGGACGATGGTTTCTAGGGTTTGCCTGACCTCTGTAGCACGTGGGGCGGCCATTACAATGAAGAGAACAGCGACCTGTGGCCCTCTGGATGCTGTCAAGGCTCCAACTCCCATCAGCCCCAGCGAGCGTGGCCATCAAGGATGATGGGATTTGCTGTTCATCAACATCTGGAGGGTTGCAGGCTCCTTATCCTCGGGAGGATGTCTAGTTTCCAGGATCCAGCCTGAAATCTCTCATTGGCCAGGCAGCTTGTGAGTTGGGTAGTTTATCTGGATCCTAGTCTTCTGGTTCTGTTGAGTCTGTGTACCAGATGGTAGGTGCCTTGCCTTCCCAAACCTGGTCCACCAGATGTTATTGGATCCCAGTTCCTATCAGCTCCAGCCAGTGTGGCCAGTAGCAAGGGATGATAGTTGTAATCCAACAATGTCTGGAGGGCACTAGTTTGTGCAAGAGCAGCTCTGGGTGACAGATGATTGAATGTCCTGAGCGTTGGGGAATGGGGTCCACTTGTCACCTGCTTTCATTTATAGGTGCAGGGGCTTAAGCCCCTGGACGGGACAGCTTCTCATCTAGGAGTCTTCTGGTTGCAGCCAGTGTTGGTCCTACTCAGAGTAAAGTAAAGGTAAAGGGACCCCTGACCATTAGGTCCAGTTGTGGACCGACTCTGGGGTTGCGGCGCTCATCTCGCTTTATTGGCAAGGGAGCTGGCGTACAGCTTCCGGGTCATGTGGCCAGCATGACTAAGCCGCTTCTGGCGAACCAGAGCAGCACACGGAAACGCCGTTTACCTTCCCGCCGGAGCGGTACCTATTGATCTACTTGCACTTTGCTGTGCTTTTGAACTGCTAGGTTGGCAGGAGCAGGGACTGAGCAATGGGAGCTCACCCTGTCATGGGGATTCGAACCGCCGACCTTCTGATCGGCAAGTCCTAGACTCTGTGGTTTAACCCACAGTGCCACCTGCGTCCCTCTCAGAGCACACCCATTTAAATTAATAAGCATGACTCTTCACTTCTTCAGTGTGTCTGCTCCACGTAGAACTTAGTTGGATCCCAACCCTTTCCCTTCATCTCATACTTGCCAGGATTTTGCAGATAGAAAACGAGTAACACTTTAGTTTGTTGCATCAAGCATCACTTTGCAAGCCCCAAGACTTCGCTGTTGCCTGTTGTTGTCTGTCTGTTGTGCTCATTCACTCTGTGCTGTTGATTATGATTAGCATTTTAAATGCAAATATCAATGATGCAAGGAAATCAAAGAGACACAACACAAAAGGGAAACGGGACTATGAGGGAAGGTGAGAAAAGCAAGCTTAATTACTTGGCTACAGAGGAATGTAGGACTCAGTGCTAGTCCTACTCAGAATAGACCCATTGAAATGAATGGTCATGACTAGCTTATGTCCATTCATTTCAATGGGACTATACTGAATAAAACTTAGCTGGGTGCAGCCCAGAGATCTCGTAGTGAATGAGGAAGGGGGAATTGAGAGGAGCTAAAAGTTGCTAGCCTTTCGGCAAAACTGATGGAGAGGCCTTACGGCTCCCTCTCTCATAACCTGATAGAGTATCCTCCACTGATTATTTTTTTAGATGCCATTTTGGTTGAGAGATAACTAGCTACCACCAGCCGTTCAAAAAGATACATTATTAGATCCAGTACAGTATGTGTGAATCGCCAGGCTGACCATCCCATGCCACTTTAGTGCACATAAATGCGCAATCAGGTGGGTGTGTACTGGCGCGTAGTAAAACTGTGGAACTCCCTGCCACAGGAATGCCACCAACTTGGACGGCTGTAAAAGAGGATTAGGCAAATTCACAGCGGATAATGGCCGCCAGCCGTGATGGCTGTGCTCTGCCTCAGAGGCAGTAATGCTTCTGAATATCAGCAGCCGGAAACCGCAGGAGGAAAGAGTGCTGTTGTGGCTGGATCCTGCATGAGAACATGATGCTAGGCTAGATGGCCATTGGCTTGATCCTGCAGGCTCTTCTTTCATTTTTAGGTGGGTTATAATCCATTCCCCTCTCAGGGTCAAAACTTCTACAGACTCCTAAGTAATTAACACCACAATCCTATGCCAGTCTCCTCAGAAGTAAATTCCATCGAGTCCAATGGAGCTTACTCCCAGGTAAGCATCATAGGACTGCAGCCTCCACGATGAGTGTGTAGTCATTAATGCATTGAACTGTTTTTCCTTTCTTTCTGTCCCCCAGGAAGGAATCGGCCTGGATGCCGTGAACGACGCTTTCTTGCTCGAGTCCCTCATCTACCGCCTGCTGAAGCGATACTGCCGGGGTCAGCCGTACTACCTGAACTTGCTGGAGCTGTTTCTCCAGGTGGGTTTAGGCCCTGCCGTGACAGGCTATCGTCGTTTCAACACTGTCATTGTTTCAACACTGTCTGTAGCTGGGGACTGGGCCGAAGCCTTTGCTGGAAGCATTTGCTTGGAAGCCTTCGCTGGACCTTTGATGGAAGGTCCTTCTGTTGCCATGGAAACTGTTTCCGCTTCATGGAGGGGAGGGGAGAATTTGTGGGCTTGAGTGTGGCGGAGGCCATTTTGACCTGCAGAGAATATACTCCCTGACCAAAAGGAAGACTGCACACACCCCCCATGGCTTTTTCACGGCACCCCCTGTTCCCACATTCACAGAAAGGTCTGAGGGAGCGCTTGTTGCAGATTTAATCAGCAGGAAAATATTTTCTCGTTCTTTTATTTTAAACCCATCTTTGGGGATAGCATAAGCTTTTTTTTTTTTTAATTCTACCCCACCACCCTTCCATTTTATCCCCACAACATAACCCTGTTATGTTGCTTAGGTCTGACAGGCCGAAGGTCACCCTATGAGCTGCATGGCTGGTTGGGGATTTGAGCCCTGGTCCTAATCTCACCCTTTGACCATTATAGCAGCCTTAAGGCTAACAGAGAAAGCATTCTTGTGAGAGAAGCACACTGGAGGGTCTGACTCTGTGGCCTGTAACTCCTCAAAGAAGCCCTGAGCCCCCTCTTCTGCAATTTACTTTTGCAAACCTTGCGCTGCTTTCAAAAAAAACAACCCTCCCCCCCAGACATGGCGGCACATTCTCTCTCACTCTGCATTCAAAGGTTAATCTTGAGGACTAGAATCTTTCCTCTTCACCAAGTTGATTAGGAAATCTCGATCACATCCTCCACTACTGCCATTAGTTGAGAAGCCGTGTCCTTTGGGTAGGAAAATAACAGTGCCTTCTCTTTATTCCTTTAATTAACATATAGTTAAGTTGCGCTTTGGTGAGGGAGGTCTGTGAAGAAGTAGCAGAGGACCCTGATCGGGCCGGTTTTTTAAAAATGAGACACTTTGCAACATTTCTTCATAGGAATAGCAGGGAGCTGGTGGTTTATCAATCTTAATTTTCTGCTCTTATCCTGTTCCTGCTCTCCCCACCCCCCAGACATCATACCAGACTGAACTGGGGCAAGCCCTGGATCTTATCACTGCTCCCCCATCTAAGGTGGATCTGAACCGCTTCACAGAACAGAGGTGAGAAGCTACTGAGATGACAAGGAAATAGTATTGGACTCGGCCCAGGAAAAAAGTGGCGCAATGATGGTTATTGGTAATTAAATCTACAAAAAGAACATCCATTGTTGGTCCTATTCAGAGTTGGCTCATTGCTATTAATGGACATGACCTAGCTGGGATATATTAATTTCTGTGGCTCTGTTCTGAGTGTATAACTTATTTGAAAACAACCTGACCCTTTTTTATAATAAAGGGGAGCTGTGAGGTTTTGTTGTTGTTGTTGTTGTTGTTGAGGGTTGGCAAAGGGAGTGCAGGGTAGACAGAATTGGCGTGCATAGCTGTCAACTTTTCCCTTTTCTTGCGAGGAATCCTATTCTGAATAAGGGGATTTCCTTTTTAAAAAGGGAAACGTTGACAGCTGTGTTGGTGAGCAATGCAAGCAGGAGTTGCAGCCCCTATCTGGGCAACACCCTAGAGGTCCCGGGCCATAAGGAAGTTAGATTAGCTTCAACCAGAGCCAGGGCCTTTTCAACACTGGCTCCGGCCTGGTGGAACGCTCTGTCTCTTGAGACCAGGGCCCTGCGGGATCTGATCTCTTTCCGCAGGGCCTGTAAGACAGAGTTGTTCCACCTGGCCTTTGGCTCAGAATCAGTTTGATTCCCTCCCCCTTTTTCTTTTTCTTTTCTCCTCCTATGATGAGATTGCACCCTAATTGTTTTAATATTGTATCTTAATCTTTTAAATTGTATTTTAATCAGCTTGTTTTTATTATTGGTTGTTAGCCGCCCTGAGCCCGGTCTTGGCTGGGGAGGGCGGGGTATAAATAAAAATTTATTATTATTATTATTATTAGTGTGTTGCATATTTATGATTCAAAGCTGGAAACCTTTCAAGTCATGACCGGCTCTAACCTTGAACCGCGGATGCCCTTCTCTGGCAGGTACAAAACGATTGTCAAATACAAGACGGCCTTCTACTCATTCTACCTCCCAGTGGCGGCTGCAATGTACATGGTGAGCGAACGGACTTTTGCAGTATCAATGTTGCTTGGCAGGGAGGGAGGGAGGGTGTCGCAAAGACAAGTTTTCCTGGGGCTGGAGAGCTGAAGGCCAAGCATGTTCAGGCTTCTGCCCTTAGCTAGGAGTCCTAGGGTCCCTGGCTTCCAGGAATACCAAGGCCAGGGGGCTGCCAACCCAACCCCATCCATCAGCCAGAGAAGGACCAGCTGCAAGTTGCGGATTGCTTCCTCCTCCCTGCTAGCAAGAACGTTCAGCTCCAACTGCTAGTTTCCCTGGAAGCAACAGAAGCGGACACTCTGGTTTGTTTGTTTTTTAAAGATTTTTATTAAAGTTTTCAAAAAGTTACAAAAAGAAAAAGAAAAATACAAAGTAAAAACAGTTAAAAACAATTCAATCTTTCCGTATCTTATCTTTCATTTCCTTGTTCCCCAGACCTCCTCACACCTCCCTTTTTTGTATCCAGTTCAATTGGTTGGTTCAGCAAATCCTTTCCCTCTTTGTTTTTATCCTAATCTTTAATCTTAATATATTATAACTTTAGATTATCACCTGTTAACAATCCATTTTTGCACATCTTTATAACATTACTGCTGAAAACCACTTAACTTCAATCCAACATCATTCTAACATTCCTTAATTTTGCAGTATTTCTGTAAATAGTCTTTAAATTTCTTCCAATCTTCTTCCACCGACTCTTCTCCCTGGTCTCGGATTCTGCCGGTCATTTCCGCAGAAGCGGACACTCTGATCCCAGCCCATGAGCCAGAGGGCAAAGGGCCCTTTGAGGTTGCATCCCCTCCCTCCCAGTAAGAGCAGCAAGGGGGAGCAGCCTGGCCCTAGAGCTATCAACCACTACCCAAACAAAAACACCTGCAAAGAAAGGTCAGCCTGCCCTGAACTGGATATAACTGCCCTCTTATTAGCTATAATAATAATAATAATAATAATAATTATTATTATTATTATTATTAATTTTTTATTTATACCCCGCCCATCTGACTGGGCCTCCCCAGCCACTCTGGGTGGCTTCCATCCAAATATCAAAAACAATACAGCGTCAGGACATTAAAAACTTCCCTAAACAGGTGTCTTTTAAAAGTAAAATAGTTATTTATTGCCTTGACGTCTGATGGGAGGGCGTTCCACAGGGCAGGTGCCACTACCGAGAAGGCCCTCTGCCTGGTTCCCTGTAACTTGGCTTCTCACAGGGAGGGAACCGCCAGAAGGCCCTCGGTGCTGCACCTCAGTGTCCGGGCTGGATGATGGGAGTGGAGACGCTCCTTTGTTCTGTTCTTGGAAGAACTCCTCTCCTTCCCTCTACCTTTCCCCTCGACTTCCCTTTTTCCCTTGTGCGCTGTGTGCTTTAGTTTGTGACACTGAGAGCTGGGCCCCACTCCCTCAGTCTCTCTCCCTCGTTTTCATTTTTAATTGGTGTGAGCCGCTCAGGCAATTGTCTGCAAAAATGCAGTGAATAAATAAAAACAAGGAGCGTTTGCGGGAACCCAAGTTGTTGTTTGGTTCCCACTCCTAAAGGGGAGAATGTATGCATTTGGAATCTTTTATTTGAATCTTTGAGCAAGTCATTCTCTTGGGTAGCTCTGTCTTAACAATAGTGTGTATTCATTGAGCCACACAGCTGCACACAAAACAACATTACATATATATATATATTAAAAAACAAATATGGTAATCAAACAACAAAGCAAATTTAAATGACAGTTTAAAAAAATAAATCTAAGAAGCTTCCGGCCATCAAATAGATTATTTATTCATAGCTTGTTGGATCCCAAATGCTTGCAGAAGCAAAACTGTCTTTGCCAAAGTACTAAAAGAATGGAGAAAGGGCAGCCTTAATAGAAGAACAAATCTTGCAAACTCACTGCAGACAATGGGAAGGCCCCTGTCCTGCACTGACCCCTCCAACAGAAGAAATGAGGAGCAAGGCCCTCAAAAGTAGCCTTGATGTGCCTGGATGTTTTTTACAGAAGGAAATACTAATGACTCTAGCCTCCCTGCCCCCAGAGAATTCTGGTAAATGTAGTTTTCGGGAGAGCTCTGGTTATGGCTTCCCAGGAGAAATGGCTCCCAACATAACTTTTAAATGTTTTGTCTGTCTTCTCTTCTCCAGGCTGGCATAGACAGTGAAGAGGAACATGCTCATGCGAGGACCATCCTATTACAGATGGGGGAGTTCTTCCAGATCCAGGTGTGTTTTTCTTCTCTTACTTATGGAGATCTCTGGCTACATCTACACCATCCTGTATAGCTGAAGGAGCGTCTCTACCCCCATCATTCAGCCCAGACACTGAGGTCCAGCGCCAAGGGCCTTCTGGCGGTTCCCTCACCGCGAGAAGTGAAGTTACAGGGAACCAGTCAGAGGGCCTTCTTGGTAGTGGCGCCAGCCCTGTGAAATACCCTCCCATCAGATGTCAAGGAAATAAACAACTATCTTACTTTTAAAGACAGTTTAAAGGCAGACCTTTATGTTTTTAATGTTTAATGCTGCATTGTGTTTTTAATTCAGTGGTACCTCTGGATGTGAATGGGATCCATTCCGGAGCCCCGCTCGCATCCTGAAGCGAACGTAAGACACGACTGCGGGTCAAGTTTCACTGCTTCCGCGCATACGCGTTACGTCACTTTGAGCGTCTGCACATGCGCGAGCGGCAAAACCCGGAAGTAACGCACTCCGTTACATCCGGGTTGCCGCGGAGTACAACCCGAAAATAGTTAAGCTGAAGCGTATTCATCCCGAGGTATGACTGTATTCGGTTGGGAGCCGCCCAGAGCAGCCAGATGGGCGGGGTATAAATAATAAATTAGTATTATTTATTTATTATATTTAAAGCAGTGTTGTACCACAAACAGTCATGGCTTCCCCCAAAGAACTCTGGGAACTGTAGTTTAAGAGTACTGCAAGTTGTTAAGAGACCCCTCAATTCCCTGTTCGGAGCTACAATTCTCTGAGTGGTTTAGTAGTCAATGCTTCTTCCACAGAACTCTGGGAACTGTAGTTCTCTGATCAGTTCCCAGTAGTCATGTGGATATGGCCTTAATTTGCCAAATACTCAGAGCATGTAATATTTTGTTTCAACAAGGAGGTCAGGGTTCAGAAGGGAAGCTGTGGTCGACCCTTTTTCTGTGCATACTTTTCTTCTTTCTCTCCCTCTCCATTCTTTCGAAGAATGGGTAGATCCATGAGGACCAGCACCTTTCCTGTTATTTTAAATCTGTCATGATTCAAGGCTGCATTGCTAATTAAACCTCAGGACATACTTTTGTGTAGACAAAAGTTAGCAGTAGACAAGGTTACATCTCGCAGCTGGACTTGACTTCTGAGTTGATGTTTGTCAAGTTACTACCCTGAAGGAACATGGAACAGGTTTGAACCAGAAATGTTGTAAAACCCAAAATTGCACTACTTGTTAGATCAGGCTAGCTGATATTTTGCCTAAAAACCCTTTCCCCCCCCTTCCTTCCTCTTATTAAAAGTTGCATAAGTGGGAAAAGAATAGGAAGAAGGAAAATTACTGTGGGTTTTTTTTCCAGAAGAATGCAGTTTTAAAACTTCAGTCCTTAGGGTAACTGAAATGGTGTATGCTGCGTTTGCAAGCCAGGGTCAGAGAGAGCTACTTACCATATTTTTCTGTGTATAAGACATGGGTTTTTTTTACCAAAAAAGTAGGTTTAAAATTGGGGCTTGTCTTATACACGGGTAGTGCTGAGGGGTGTTTTCTTAATTTGGAGTCCCCAAAAATAGAGGGTGTCTTATACATGGGGCGTCTTATACACAGAAAAATACGGCGATAGCTTATCAAAGTAACTTCAAAGTCATATCTTATCCTTGTATTTGGTTCCAACTGATTGGACCCCATTCATTCATTCATTCGCAGTAATACATGCTGCTTTTCGGGCAGACATCATAAAGCAGTTTACATAAGATTATTACAACAGTAAGCATCACTTAAAAAAAATAATTCACAAGACAACTTGCTTATTTAGAAAAAGCTGTTAATGGTTCTTCTTCCCTCAGTGCAAGATGGTCTTTTAGTTACAAATTAGAAACCAATCATTAACGTGTTTGGTATGATCCGGAGACTGGTATTAAGGCACCCAACATAGTTTCAAGCAGGCTTGGACCTGTGAGGGTACCTAGGAGCCTGCGCTGTATTTTTTTTTTTTTTAAGAGAAAGAGTCGAGCTTATAGACATGTCCAGACATTGGGAGACCCCCTGTTCCCCTTACAAAGCTATAATTCCTGGGCTTCCCTGGGAAGAGGGATCAGTGGTTAAGCCACTCTGAGAAACTGCAGCTCCTGCTCCTAACAACTCACAGCAACTTGAACAAAATAAAGTTTCCCAGGATCCTTTGGGGGAAGCCATGAGTGTTTAAGGGACGCGGGTGGCGCTGTGGGTTAATCCACAGAGCCTAGGGCTTGCCGATCAGAAGGTCGGCGGTTCGAATCCCTGCGATGGGGTGAGCTCCCGTTGCTCGGTCCCTGCTCCTGCCAACCTAGCAGTTCGAAAGCACATCAAAGTGCAAGTAGATAAATAGATACCGCTCCGGCGGGAAGGTAAACGGCGTTTTCGTGTGCTGCTCTGGTTAGCCAGAAGTGGCTTAGTCATGCTGGCCACATGACCCAGAAGCTGTACGCCGGCTCCCTCAGCCTATAGAGCGAGATGAGCGCCGCAACCCCAGAGTCGGCCACGACTGGACCTAATGGTCAGGGGTCCCTTTACCTTACTATGAGTGTATAAAGTGGTATGATACTGCTTTAAATGTATCAAGTGGATGGAGCTTCCGTTTCATGACCCTGTTTCCATATAAGTTACGGTCTCTGCCAAAGCTTACATGCCCACTTTTGCCTCTGGCCCCAGCTACCACTGACATGTGGCCCTCGGTCTGCGCAAGGTTTCCCATCCTTGCTCTACGCGATTGATCTAGGAGCCTCTGCCTCTCCTCAGTCTCTCTGCTGCCAATTTTCTTTTCAAGGGTGGCTGGCTTTGGTTGTCATGGCAACCGGGAACCCATGTTATGGCAGCTTCCTGCTGGAACCTTGTTGAATGCCCATAATTGAGAGTGTCTGATATCTTTGCATTTTTATTTTTTTGTCCTTCCACTGAGTAACCTGTTGCTGGAGATCAACGGCAGGGAAAGAGTATAAACATTCCATGTCCAAGGCAGTATATGTTTGTTTGTTGTGTGTGTGTGTGTGTGTGTGTGTGTGTAAATATATGTATATATTTATTTTAAAAAATTGTTGATATGGAAAGTAACAGAGTAGATTACAGCAAGGAAGCTAAATAACTCTTGTAGGTGACTGATAACTTCTTTGTAAAGACTATACAGTGTCCAGAACCTTACTTTCATGAACATATAACTGTGAAGAATATATTTACAATTTCATGCACAGGTTTCCTCCTGTTAACGTTTAGGGATCTTCCTCTGTCTGTTTCAGTTCAGACAAATCACACTGACACAATACTGTCTCCAGCAGAGCAGCCGTTCTCCTCACAGACAGAGAGAAGCAGAAAGCAGTTAAAAACGACAGTTCCTAGAATAACAGTCACAACGGAATGGAATGCCTCTCTCATGTGAATCAGCCAATCACACAAGGGCTACTGCCAAAGTGTGGGGGGGGGACCCCATGTTAAAAATACACAGTAACCCAACCTAATTAAATATTCCCATTTCAGTATTAAAAATTTCCCTAAACAGGGCTGCCTTCAGATGTCTTTTAAAGAAAGATAGCTGCTTATTTCCTTCACATCTGAAGGGAGGGCATTCCACAGGGCGGGCGCCACTACCAAGAAGGCCCTCTGCCTGGTTCCCTGTAACTTGGCTTCTTGCAGTGAGGGAACCGCCAGAAGGTCCTCGGTGCTGGACCTCAGTGTCGAGGCTGGACGATGGGGGTGGAGACGCTCCTTCAAGTATACTGGACCGAGGCCATTTAGGGCTTTAAAGATCAGCACCAACACTTTGAATTGTGCTCGGAAACATATCAGGAGCTAATGTAGGTCTTTCAAGACCAGTGTTATATGGGCAGGGAGGGTCTCAGCATGCGTACCAGATGGAGCTGATAGATAGCCATCCTGGACACAGAATTAACCTGTGCCTCCATGGACAGCTGTGAGTCCAGAATGACTCCCAGGCTGCGCACCTGGTCCTTCAGGGGCACAGTTACCCCATTCAGGACCAGGGAGTTCCCCCACACCCACCCGCCCACTGTCCCCCAAAAACAGTACTTCTGTCTTGTCAGGATTCAACCTCAAGCTGTTAGCCAGTGAGGAGCTGGCTCTGCCACATGCTGCCCCTCTCGCCAGCTAGGCTGGATCCCGCCTCCCTGCTCACAGGGGCCCTCAGTTCTAAGGGTCCTGTGCAAGAGAGCAGGAGGGGCGACGGAGCAAGCTCTGTTGCGCACAACAGAATGCCGTGGAAAATCGTTTCAAAAGAAGGTATTGGAGCACTTCAAATCATTTGCCCATGTGCATGCAGAGAGATTAGCAGATCTTATCTGAAAGACAGCATCTGGAGATCTGCACTGAGCGTTGCAAAGCCTCCCTAATTATTGCTATATGTTTTTAGGTGTGCTGTGGTACCTCGGGTAACAGACACTTCAGGTTACATACGCTTCAGGTTACAGACTCCACTAACCCAGAAATAGTGCTTCAGGTTAAGAACTTTGCTTCAGGATGAGAACAGAAATCGCCTGGCGGCAGCGGGAAGGCCCCATTAGCTAAAGTGGTACCTCAGGTTAAGAACAGTTTCAGGTTAAGAACGGACCTCTGGAACGAATTAAGTTCTTAACCTGAGGTACCACTGAGGCGTTCCCAAAGTAAAGGAAGGATTGAACTCTGATTAATAAGAATACACACAGAGGCTTGAACCAGCAAGACTCTAGGAAGGGTGCGTATAATTATCTCTGCGTGCCTCCACCCCTCGGCCCAGGTCATTTTATTCACAAAAGAACTTTTTCAGAGTGTTCGTAAGAACCAATCAGATTTCTTCTGAGCATTTCAACAAACCTCATGTGGGGACAAAGTTAAACTACCAAAACTAATTAAGCACACATATTTCTGGGGTAAACAAAACAGAACTACAAAGGAATGCATTTGGCAACCCCTGAGGTCATAAACAAGCAATACACATGATAAGAAGGATGGCCAGGAGGACAGCGATCATTATCACCTTTATGTGAAACCTGTTTCCTGGCCCTAGGATTAGCATCCTGAGATTAACATATCAGAAAAGCTACATCAAAGAAACTTGCCCACTGTCTCTGATGACCTAGGACGCCTGAAGAAAGAGAAATGGAACAGGGATGCAGAGGTGTGGATTGATCAAGAATCATATCAAAATAGTTTAAACCCAGTCCATGCAATGCTTTCATTGCTGACACAGATGGCTTACTCTATATTTGTTATAATTCCTCATAGCAATCCCACCTGATCACTACATACCACTGTATTGCATAATCTTATAAAGTTCTGTAATCGTGGAAGGGGGCGTGGTGGTGATGGGGCATGGCCGTGAGGGCCATGAAGGGACCCTGCACTTCAGAATCTGCCACTATGCTATTGGCGCCTTGGTCTTCCCTAGCAATTTCTCTGGGTCCAGCGGTGCAGGTAATGTCAAGCCACAGCACTAACACTCTCCCTGCCTGCAGGATGATTTCCTTGACTGCTTTGGTGACCCTGAAATGACCGGGAAGATCGGAACAGACATCCAGGATAACAAATGCAGCTGGTTAGTGGTGCAGTGCTTGAAACGAGCCTCTGCAGAACAGAGACAACTTCTAGAGGTAAAGAGGCTTCACAATTCCATGCCCTGCTAACGTGGGAGGGAGGGGAGCCATAATCCCTCTTTGTCCCACTGCGACCAGAAGCTGGTTGGTACCTGTGGATTTCTCCATCTCTCTTTGAAATCCAAGCAGCGGTTCGAAAAAGAGCTTAGCTGCTTTTCATCAGGTGCCAAAATGGGTTTTTAAAAAATCCGGTTTACACCCTGATGCAACTTACGGTGAAACACCAGCAGGTGTGCAGAAGTCAATGTGAGAGCCAGTGTGGTGTAGTGGTTAAGAGCGGTAGTCTCGTAATCTGGGGAACCGGGTTCACGTCTCTGCTCCTCCACATGCAGCTGCTGGGTGACCTTGGGCGAGTCACACTTCTTTGAAGTCTCTCAGCCCCACTCACCTCCCAGAGTGTTTGTTGTGGGGGAGGAATGGAAAGGAGAATGTTAGCAGCTTTGAGACTCCTTAAAGGGAGTGAAAGGCGGGATATCAAATCCAAACTCTTCTTCTTCTTCTTCAATTGAAATTGGTAAAGACAAATAACCGCTTTTTAGACAATTTCTTTTTTCATTCTTCTAAGCTACCTTTTGGGACGCGGGTGGCGCTGTGGGTTAAACCACAGAGCCTAGGGCTTGCAGATCAAAAGGTCGGCGGTTTGAATCCCCGCGACGGGGTGGGCTCCCGTTGCTCAGTCCCTGCTCCTGCCAACCCAGCAGTTCGAAAGCACCTCAAAGTGCAAGTAGATAAGTAGGTACCGCTCCGGCAAGAAGGTAAACGGCGTTTCCATGTGCTGCTCTGGTTCGCCAGAAGCGGCTTCATCATGCTGGCCACATGACCCGGAAGCTGTACGCCGGCTCCCTCGGCCAATAAAGCGAGATGAGCGCCGCAACCCCAGAGTCGGCCACGACTGGACCTAATGGTCAGGGGTCCCTTTACCTTTTTAAGCTACCTTTTGGGGAAAACACCCAAAGGCACAAGAATGCTAAAAGAGAGTTGAAAGAAGTATTTTAACATAATAAAACAATGAAGAGTTAATTTTGTGTTTGCTGGTGAAAGATGAATCATAATAAATTAGATTAGATCTATTCATTTGTATCTAATCATCCAGCCATTGCAAAAGCCTGACAGTATCAAAGTAACTTGAACTGAAGTTTGTGTTAACTGGGACTCAAATAAACTGCAACATAAAGCAGACTTAAAATGCCAGATTTCCCTGGCAGGTGACAGTATGCTAGGGAAAAAAAGACCTGTTCCTCTTTTAACAAATATTAAAATGAAATAAGTGAATAACAAAGGAACCTTATACAGTGTCTCAAAATGTACCTGGTGAATCAGATTCCTCGCCAAGTTACGACGCCTGAACATCCACACCATTAATTGAAGACCAAACGGATGGCACAATCTGTTTGTTAAGGTGCTATAAAACTCTGCAACTAATTAGCGAGGCTGCACCTCCTGACATTTCCAAAATGTGTTTCTCTCGAGCATTTTAAAGGGGAAGGTGGAATAATTATTAAAAATCATATGGTATTGAACTAGCGAACGCAGAAACTGCTCTGTCCAAGCTTTCCTGATCCAGGAACTGCGATAGCTATTGTACTGACTGCAGCTGACTGCAGCTGGTAGAAGGCATACCTACCTGGTCCTCCAGTGACAAAGCTGGATTGCAGAAGCAGCCCCAGACGGAGAACCTGCTCCTTCAAAGGGACTAGAACCCCATCCAGGTAGACAACTGGCCAATTTCTCAGGCACAGGAACCACTCGCCCACAGTGCTTCCACCTTGCCAGGATTCAAGCTCAGCTTGTTTCTCCATCCATCTCACTGCGCCCAAGGCACTGCTCTAAGAACTGCATGACCTGACCTGATGATAATAATAATTTATTATTTATACCCCGCCCATCTGGCTGGGCTTCCCCAGCCACTCTGGACAGCTTCCAACAAAATATTAAAATACAGTAATGCATCAAACATTAAAAGCTTCCCTAAACAGGGCTGCCTTCAGATGTCTTCTAAAAGTCTGGTAGTTGTTCTCTTTGACATCTGGTGGGAGGGTGTTCCACAAGGCAGGTGCCACTACCAAGAAGGGCCTCTGCCTGGTGCCCTGTAACTTGATTCAGATGCGGTGGAGAAATAGAGCTGAGTGTCATCGGCATACTGAAGGCACCTTGCCCCAGAAGTCCTAATGGCCACTCCCAACAGTTTCATACAGATATTAGATAGCGTTGGGGATAATGTAAACTCCAGGGGGGCGAAAAGCACTCTCCTGATGCTACTTTCTGAATTTGGTCAAGGAGGTAGGACTGGAACCCAGTTCCCATTCCCCAGAGCCGGTCTAGGAAGATGCCATGGTCGATGGTATCAAAAGCCAAAGAGGAGGTCAAGAAGCAGTAGCAAGGCCACCCTCCCCCTTGTCCCACTCTCTGCAAAGGTCATCCATCTGGACCCCCAAGGGTGACTCAGTCCCATGGCCAGGCCTGAACCTGAATTAGAAGGGATCTAAATGATTGGTGTCACCCAAGAATGCTAGTAGCTGCCCCACCAGAATCCTCTCCACCCAAAACATTAGTCCACCCAAAACATTCGCCCCCAAAACATTAGTCATTATTGCTAAATGTGCATCTATGCATCTTAAAGGTAAAGGTAAAGGGGCCCCTGGCCGCTAGGTCCAGTCGTGGCTGACTCTGGGGTTGCGGTGCTCATCACGCTTTATTGGCCGAGGGAGCCGGCATACAGCTTCAGGTCATGTGGCCAGCATGACTAAGCCGCTTCTGGTGAACCAGAGCAGCGCACGGAAACGCCGTTTACCTTCCCGCCGGAGCGGTACCTATTTATCTACTTAGACTTTTTTGGGGCGTGCTTTTGAACTGATAGGTTGGCAGGAGCAGGGACCGAGCAACGGGAGCTCACCCCGTCGCAGGGATTCGAACCGCCAACCTTCTGATCGGCAAGTCCTAAGCTCTGTGGTTTAACCCACAGTGCCGCCCGCGTCCCTATCATCTATGCATCTACACGTATGCAATTATGTGTCCTCCCACCCACCTTTTTTGGTTATGCATTTTCTTCTAGTTTTGTCACTGGAGTAGAATGTGGGCCTCTTGTCCCACGTTTAAAGATCCCTGGGAACCATAGTTTGTGAAGGGTTCTGGGAATTGTAGCTCTGTGAGAGGAGTGAACTACACTTCCCAGCATACTTTCAGGGGGAAGCCATGGTGTGCTTTCGCAGCCTCAATCTGCCCTCGCAGCACTCCCTTTTTTAAATCAATAAATCTCTGCCCCTCTAGGAGAACTATGGACAAAAGGATCTGGACAAAGTTGCACATGTGAAACAGCTCTATGAGGAGCTGGGCCTGAAGAAAATCTACCAGGACTATGAGGAGAGCAGCTACCAGTGCTTATCGGGCCTTATTTCCCAGCATGCTGTACGTCTGCCCAGCCAGATCTTCCTTGGCCTGGCCCAGAAGATCTACAAGAGGCAGAAATGACAGACTCGGCTATCAAGAAGGAAACCAGCGTATAAATACTTGTCACATGTGTGTTTGTGTGGGAGGGTGGGTTTTCCCCATCTTTCGTGACATTGATTAGTGGAGCTGCTTTAAAACCTGTTTTTGAAACCTAGTTCAGACATTTCTTAACTCCCTGACACTGGGAGTGGTGGTTTGAAGGGGCTGGAAGGCTGAGGCACACTCTCTCTATCCAAGGTGTTCTCGCCCCTCTTTAAACTTCTGACTATTCCCAGGGTTCCCTGGGCTAAAACCAAGTAGTGTCCAGCTTAACCCAAGAAACATGCCCATCTAGTTCCCATGTTGTCTTTCCTTTTTTGGTTCTGCTGGCATCAGCAGTGTCCTGCAGTGCTCTGGCCACTTCTCCCAACCCTGCTGGTGAATCTTTATCCCCCCCCCCCCGCCACTGCCACCACAACTCTTAGAAACAGCTGGTGGCTGCCTATTTAAAATAAAATTTAAAAATCCTTCCATGAAGCGCATGGGGGTTTAATTTGGGGGCGGGGGTTTTTTGCATCTTAAATGCAAACTGTTTTACCTCAGGGTGAGCTGTCCTGTGGTGATGAGGAGAGCATTTTTGGCTAAGGATTTTTCTTCCTTCAGTCTCTTTCTCCCATTCCCCTTCTAAGCAAGGGGATGAGGCTGCTACAATTTTGTTTGTTTGTGGAAGAAGACAAGATCCATAGCTGAACGTAATCATCTCTTCAATACGCACCATGCATTTAAAGCGCCCCTCTGAAAAAAAACAACCTGAGAATTGTGGTTTAAGGGCCCTGAGAATTGTTGCTCTGTGAAAGGGTAAACTACAGTTATCAATATTTGGGGGGGGGGGAGCGGAGTGATGTGCTTTTAATCTCTCTCTCTCTCTCTCTCTCTCTCTCTCACACACACACACACACACACACACACACAGAGCGAGCGTATCTATAGTAAATGTTGCTGACTGTATGTCCTCACATAGCTTCTCAGGAGGGAGAACGATTCACCTGGATCAAAACAAACCTGTTCCCATTTTGGGGAGGGGGGCATGAAGAAGACCCCCTCCTGCCACCCCCCCACAGTGCTCTGAAGCAGCACCCAGGGCTGAAAATGATGTTGGGGGGGGGGTAGTATCAAGCATCCTATCATAATGGAATGCACAGGCTGGAGAAAAATGAGTTTGTAGCAATAAATTATTTTGAAACCAGGCTCTTGTTTATATTCATTTTAGCGACTTTTGTATACTCCTTTGTTGTATGTTTACGCTTTTACTTGCATACAGTTTTTTGGCCCAAAGCCCCCCACCCACCCTGTGAAATTGTGTTCTAAGCCGTCTACATGAAATACTCATTCAGTCTATCAATAAAATTCAGAGTTGGAAAGAAACTAACATAAAAGAAGTCCAACTTGTAAATTAAAATCCCTTTTCTGCAAGGGGCTTAAGATGGCATATACAGTGGTACCTCGGGTTAAGTACTTAATTAGTTCCGGAGGTCCGTTCTTAACCTGAAACTGTTCTTAACCTGAAGCACCACTTTAGCTAATGGAGCCTCCTGCTGCCGCCGGAGCACGATTTCTGTTCTTATCCTGAAGCACTATTTCTGGATTAGCGGAGTCTGTAACCTGAAGCGTATGTAACTTGAAGCGTATGTAACCCGAGGTACCACTGTATGGTTTTCCTCCTCACTTAATCCTCCTATGAGGTACGTTAGGCTGAGAAACAGTAAATGGCCCCAAATCACCCACTAAACTTCACGGCCAAGTGGGAATTTGAACCCTAGGCTCTCAGGTCTTAATTATTAAATTTATATACCATCCTTCATCTCTAAATCTCAGGGCAGTTCACAACATAAAAACACAAAATGAGAATGCAAAATGCATAATAACACAAAAAACCAATAACCCCAATCCCACAAACACATTAAAAAAGCTATAGTATATAGAACATTAATCAGCCAAAGGTCCGATTAGAGAGAAAAGTGCCCACCTGGTGCCTAAAGATATGTAATCGAAGGAGCCAGGTGAGCCTCCCTGGGTAGGGCAATTCCACAAACGGAGCCCCTGCAAAAAAAGGCCCATTTTTGTGTGGCCACTATGGACCTCTCATGGAGGAGCCACACAATGAAGGGCTTCAAATGGTGATCACAGGGTCCAGGTCAGTTTATATGGGGAAAGGCGGTCCTTGAGGTATTGTGGTCCTGATCCATTTAAGACTTTATAGATCAAAACAAGCACTTTGAATTGGGCCTGGTAACTAATTGGCAGCCAGCGCAGTCGGGCCGGAATCCGTGTAAGATGTTCACATCGCCTTGCCCGGGTGAGCAACCCGGCTGCTGAATTCTGCGCCGGCTGAAGTTTCTGAACCGTCTTCAGAGGCAGCCCTAGGTATAAGAAGTTGCAGCTGTTGAACCTAGAGGTTACCATCACATAGACCAGTGTTTCCCAACCTTGGGCTTCCAGCTGTTTTTGAACTACAATTCCCATCATCCCTGACCACTGGTCTTGCTAGCTAGGGATGATGGGAGTTGTAGTCCAAAAACAGCTGGAGGCCCAAGGTTGGGAAACACTGACATAGACATCAGTTGTTGGGCTATCTTTGTCCAGATAAGGGCACAGCTGGGATACCTGAGCCTCAAGGACAGCACAGGACCCAGAAGTACCCCCAAAGAGCCCAGACAGAGGGCCACTTAGCCCGGGCCTCTGATTCCAAAGGGGGCCTCGGTCAGCGTACATTCCCTATGTATTTTTAAAAAGCACTGCAGATGGTGACAGTAGTCACGAAATTAAAAGACGCCTGCTCCTTGGGAGAAAGGCGATGGCAAATCTAGACAACATCTTAAAAAGTAGAGACATCACCTTACCAACAAAGGTCCGTATAGTTAAAGCCATGGTTTTCCCAGTAGTGATGTATGGAAGTGAGAGCTGGACCATAAAGAAGGCTGATCGCTGAAGAATTGATGCTTTTGAATTATGGTGCTGGAGGAGACGCTTGAGGGTCCCATGGACTGCAAGAAGATCAAACCTCTCCATTCTTAAGGAAATCAGCCCTGAGTGCTCACTGGAAGGACAGATCGTGAAGTTGAGGCTCCAATACTTTGGCCACCTCGTGAGAAGAGAAGACTCCCTGGAAAAGACCCTGATGTTGGGAAAGATGGAGGGCCCAAGGAGAAGGGGACGACAGAGGATAGTGTTCTTGAAGCTACAAACATGAGCCTGACCAAACTGCGGGAGACGGTGGAAGACAGGAGTGCCTGGCGTGCTCTGGTCCATGGGGTCACGAAGAGTCGGACACGACTAAACGACTAAACAACTAAACAACAACAACAGTGGTACCTCGGGTTACATACGCTTCAGGTTACATACGCTTCAGGTTACAGATTCTGCTAACCCAGAAATAGTGCTTCAGGTTAAGAACTTTGCTTCAGGATGAGAACAGAAATTGTGCTCCGGCAGCACGACAGCAGCGGGAGGCCCCATTAGCTAAAGTGATGCTTCAGGTTAAGAACAGTTTCAGGTTAAGTACGGACCTCCGGAACGAATTAAGTACTTAACCCGAGGTACCACTGTATTATATAACTATATTTTCCATTTTGTCATTATATGCAGATATGGTTCAAGCCTTAAAATTATTTGTCAGCATAACTTTTGTGGAAATTATTTATATACTTACTTATTCATAAGACTTCAGTTGTCCCCAGGGTAAAAATAAAAAAGGGGGGCACATTATCTACCTGACCCGGCCCTCTGCCTGCCTGTGCAAGGCCCTGCCCCCAAGATCCATACTTTGCGAGACGCCTGCACTGGGCATGGTGGGTTGGGCCAGATGACCTCTGGAGACTCCTCCCAAGGATTGCAACCCCGCCACTCTCCAGCCCAAGCCCATTGGCACGACAAGAGTTAAGGTGGGGAGGCGAGGCGAGGCATTGATGGACGCTGGCTCCTCCTACCCGGACTGGGGTGAGCTGAGCCAGGGAGGCTGCCCGAAGCCGCAGCGTTATAGCACTGGGGGCTGGACCAAGTCTTGCAGCAGAGTCTAAGGAGAGACAGAGAGGCGGCAGGTGAGTGCATTTAGCGCTGCAGCTGCAGCTGTGATGGGCACCGTTTGGGTGGGGGCGGTCAGCATAAATGTGTTGATGGATGTCTCTAGGAGGGAGGGAGGAGGTTTTGGGGCGAATCCCATGACCAGGGAGAGCTGTCTATTATATCCTTCCAGCCCCCCCCTCCAGAAACCTGCAATGCCCAATAATAGGATGCGATCGCACTTGGGGGTGCAAACCTCTTCCCCACCCGTCCACCTTACCCGGGCTGTTTTGGAGACCTGTGCCCACCTGAACTGCAGGGGACCCACCCTTCTGAATTCCCATTAAATCCAGGGAAATGCCTTGATTCCAGTCAACAGGGAGGGTGTCCCTTTTTTTGGGGGGGGGGGATTCCCTGCCCAAAAGCTTTCCTCGCAACTATCACTAAATGCTTTCCTGCAAGACACTCTCCGATCAATGTGCAGTACAATGGAAACAAACCCGAAACAATTGCATATATTGAAATAGGTGGTGTACTGATGCTCAAAAGGTACTCTTGATTCTACCCCTTGTTCCTGGGAGGTGGCGGGGTAGGGGGGTGGGCGGCGGAAATCCCACCCCCACTCCAACAAGGGGTGACCACTGAGCCCCGGCGTCTGCGCTGTACCCCTCCATCATTCCTCCCCTCCCATTTTCTTCCTGACTTGTTTACCACCACAGTAGGCATGGAGGTGACCCCCCCTCACACAATGCACTCACACTTTGGCTCCCTCCCTTTGCATTGCTGACAGGATGGTTGGCATAGAGGGGTGCCCCTTTCTCTCGCCCACCCACCCAAAGAGCCCCACGCAGCCTCTGCAGTGATTTGGCTTTCTTCCTGCAGGAAGGGTTGGGCGGGTGGCGGCTGTGATGGCTGGAGGATGGGAAGGGCAGTGTCTAGGTTTGCACAGAGACGCACAGATCCTCACGTCTCTCTTTCTCTCTAGCCGCGGGATACTCCATCTCGCTCCCGTCTGTGGGGTGCTCTTTGCTTCCCTAAAGAATCATGTGGCTGGAGAGCCTCTGCCAACCTGTGCAGACAATACTGGGTGGATGGTGCAAAGCTCTGACTGGGTACAGGGGTTCTGCATGCCTTCCTAGGGCTGTCTTCCGTTCGCCGGAGGAAAGGCTCTCTGCACTGTCTCAGAGGCCACATGCTCTGTCTTGTCCTGGTCTAAACCTGGATTGAAAACAGATGCCAGGAGCCAATTATTGGGTGCAAATTCCATCTTAGCACTGCTGTTCTGTATCCTTCTATCCCTCCCAATTATGGCCCAGTCCTCTGGGGAGAGGCGTACGTGAGACCTCGCCTCATTTTTACTCTTACAACATCCCTGCATGGTAGGTTAGGGCTAAGAGACCATGAATATGTTGCCCAAGGCCACCCCACGAGTGGTAAATCCGGGGTGGGGTAGGGAGCGTGGAAAGCTCCCTTCTTCTGAGTATCTAACTCAATACTGCCTACACTGGCTGGCATCAGCTCTGCCCACGCCTCCCCCACAAATGTACGTCAGACCTCTGGGTTGATTCAGGACAGGCTGGTAGCCATTTTTAACGTTTTTGTTTTCTTTATTTTAAAAAAACCTCACCTGCTTTTGCTGTTTTTATTTATTTACTTGTGTTGTGACCCACCTTGAGCCCCTCAGGAAAGAGTGAACTATGGGCAGATCCATAACATATATTTAAATCACCATGATTTCCCCTCCAAATTTCTAGAAATTATCATTGCCACCCATAGAGCTACAATTTCCAGTATCCTTACATACCCTAGAGGCAGCATTTCTCCGATGAAAATAGGGAAATTCTATTCCATAATTGTATTATTTATACCTCACCCATCTTACTGGGTTGCCCCAGCCACTCTGGGTGGCTTCCAACATATATAAAAACAGAATTAAACATTAAAAAGTGAGAAACTTCTCTTCACAGGGATGCCTTCAGGTGTCTTCTAAAGGTTATATAGTTAGTTATCTCCTTGGCTCAGGGGTCACATAACTCCATACCCCACAACATTTCTCCGATGAAAATAGTGACATCCTAAGAGAAAGTGGAGGGACACAGGTGGCGCTGTGGGTTAAACCACAGAGCCTAGGACTTGCCAATCAGAAGGTCGGCGGTTCGAATCCCCGTGACGGGGTGAGCTCCCGTTGCTCGGTCCCTGCTCCTGCCAACCTAGCAGTTCGAAAGCACAAAGTGCAAGTAGATAAATAGGTACTGCTCTGGCGGCAAGGTAAACGGCGTTTCCGTGCGCTGCTCTGCTTCGCGAGAAGCGGCTTAGTCCTGCTGGCCGCATGACCCGGAAGCTGTACGCCGGCTCCCTCGGCCAATAAAGCGAGATGAGCGCCGCAACCCCAGAGTCGGCCACGACTGGACCTAATGGTCAGGGGTCCCTTTACCTTTAAGAGAAAGTGGGACATTCTGGGATCAAATCAGAAACCCGTCACTTGGCGGGTCTGTCCTTAACAAACTAGAGTTCCCAGAGTTCCTTGTGGGGAGCCATGTGCTTTAAAATGTGTGTTGGAAATAAATAAAGTGTTTTCCCGGTATCCCCTCCCCAATCCCTGCCTATCTTAGATAAGAAAGGAGGATCCTGTGGTCCTCTAGTTGTTGCTGGTAGCTTACAGATCCCATCACCCCTCACCATTAGCCATGTTGGCTGGGGACTGATGGAAGCTGGGTGGCACATATCATCTAAAGGATCATCCATATCCAAGGCCTTTTAGATGCTACCTGTGAAATAACTAGGCAAGATATTCCCATCATGCCCTGCTTCAGAATTGCTGACCCCTGTCTAGATAGAAGTATGGACCCAGAATTTGCCAAGCCTGTGATGAGTATTGTCTTGAAAATGGTATAAAAACTGTCTGGAGGTTTCTGTCCTTACCCAAATCTCAAATTATGTGTAATTTTCTCCACTATTGCTATATTTCAGAGTGAGTGATACTAAGCATCTAGTGTAAGATTTGGGGCTATTTTCCACTGAGTCACAATTACTATTCAAGCTGCCAAGATTATATATAAAGACCACTTGTATACACATGTTTTCCCCCCAAGTTGAGACTGGACAACCACCTGTCAGGGATAGGGTTAAAGGAGATTGTCTTTAGGCTTCCTTGAAAATCTATGATTTAGCCACCCCAATGTGATTCACTGTAATATTGTCCCCCGTTCTTTCTCCCTCGTCCTCTCTCACAGAAACACACACACGTTTCTCTGGTATGGTTCAGTTACACCCAACATAAGCTTAGGCAAACTCTATAAGAAAACCACATTACAGTATACTTTATTGCATTCAGATCCCACCCTTTTCTCCAAGGACATACAGGGTTTTAATCCCCACAAGGACCCTATAGGGTAGAGTAGGGTGAGAGGCAGTGACTGGCCCAAGGTCGCATCCAGTTAGGTTCATGGTCGAGCTCTAACCACTAGGCCATACAGTCCAAATAAGTGAGATTTACTTAAGACGGTTGCTGTCCTGGTGTCAGTGTTGTCACCTAACCCTGAACCTTGTCGCTAGAACCCAATGGGTCCGTCCAATGAAACTGAACGTTGAAAGACTCAGAGGAGACAAAAGGATGCGATTCTTCATGCTGTACATGAACTGTGGAACTCCCTGCCACCAGATGTTTTGATGGCCGCCAACATGGATGGCTTTAAAAGGGGATTAGACAAATTTGTGGAGGACAATGAGGATACCAGCAGCTACCGGACATGGCGGCTGTATGTTATTTCCAGTCTCAGAAGCACCATGCTTTATAAAAACCAATTACTTGAACTGAGGTCTCCCTTCCAGGGTTCCCAGAGGCATCTGTGAAAACAGGAAGCTGGACCAGATGGGCCCTTTGTTCTGATCCAACAGGGCTCTCCTCTTGTTGGGGAGAGAGTCAAAATCCTGATTTTGGGGGCAGCTGGTCCCTTGAGCTGAGTCTGGACTAATTTGCAGTGATTCTCCAGGGTTTCAGGCTTCCTGGAGACACCAAAGATTGAACCTGGCACCTTCTGCATGTAAAGCAGATGCTCTATCACTATGGTACATCTCTTCCCTTGGCCCCGGGTTCAAACCCCAGCAGCTCCAGGCTGGGTAGCTGAAAAGACCCCCTTCTGAAACCCTGGAGGGCTTTTGCCAATCAGAGTAGACAATGCTCAGCTCTATGGACCAATGGTCTGGCTCGGTATAAGACAGCTTCCTATATCCCACTAAGAAGGGGTTGTATTAGATAGTAGCCACTTAGGGGGAAAAGATAAATGGGCTTCTATTCAATATGTCCTTTTCATAGCTCAGTGAGGCTGGACTTAAGCAAGGTTGGATGCTGTAGTCCAGGGGTCAGCAAACTTTTTGAGCAGGGGGCCAGTCCACTGTCCCTCAGACCTTGGGGGGCCAGACTATATTTTGAAAAGGGGGGGAATTGAACGAATTCCTATGCCCCACAAATAACCCAGAGATGCATTTTAAATAAAAGGACACATTCTACTCATGTAAAAACATGCTGTCCATGGGCTGGATTTAGAAGGCGATTGGGCCGGATCTGGCCCCCGGCCCTTAGTTTGCCTACCCACGCTCTAGTCTCCTCACCTAACACTCCACCCTTGGCTGAGTGCCAATATTTTCCTAAAATTGGGGAACCGACTGCTGTCCCCCCATTCCCAGAAATAGGTCAGATCTGATCCAGAACTGACTGGCATTTGACCCCAGCACCTGTTTTTGTTTTAACCTCCTTGATAAAGAGTGCCTCTGAACTTACACAGAGTGCCTTCAGGCCCCTCATGCAGCACTGGAATGAGAGAGAAAGAGGTTTTGGACAAGCAGAAACAATTACACCTCTCTTTTTGGAACTGGCAATGACTCGGAGGTGAGAAATCTCCCTGCGCCAACCTTGAGCTATCTTCCTCCTTTCTCCCTCGCCTCTTGAGCAAAAGAACTGATGCCTTTGGCGAGCCAAACCTCTCCAGGACTGCATCCAGTTTGGATGTGAAAATACTGTATACATGTTTTGCTCTTCTTACCGCTTCTGCAGAGACAGTCCTGCATTGTCCTTGAGCAGCTGGTGTTTTGTTTTTGAAAAAATACTCTCCCTTTTCCTTTCTGCAGGAGGGTATTATGATATAAAAGGCAGGGATGGTGGCAGGTGGGGAAGGGGAATAGAGAGGAGGGGGCAGACCTCACCATGTGACAGCCCCCGTTGTCATGAGAACTTAATTTCTCTTTCTGAATTATTGATGGTTAACGTACGTTGAGAAGGAGAGCATGGATGCAAATCCTCCATCCTTTCTACCGTCTGCCGTGCAGCAAGGGACCTGGACTCAGTCTGTGCTCGTTTGCCCCCCATCCCAATGCAGTTTCCTGGAGTGCTGGCTTTGAAAGCACATGGACTTTATTTCCTTTAAAAAAAATATCAAATTGACATCTCTTAGCCACAACAGGGAAACAGAATATTCATATTTAGAGAGCAGAGTGGGCTGTTTCCATCACGCTCTGCCAGGGAGCCTTTTAGAGCCATCTGATTGGCCACGATTGGAGACACGGTGCTGGGCCAGACAGCCCATTGGTCCAGCCCCACAGAGCATTATCAGGGCTTGGTCCATCAAGCATTGTTAAGTGTCAGTCAGGTCTCCCAGGGGGAAAAGGACATAGCTCTCTTTTGCATGCATAAAGTCGCAGGTTCAGTCCCCAGCTAGGGCTGCTGGGAGAGAGACCCCTCGAGAGCTGCTGCCAGTCAGTGTAGACATTATTGAGCATAATGAGGCCGCTTCCTACGCTTCGCTCTGAATACCAGTTGCAAGGGAAGGCTGTTGTCTTCACACCCAGATTGTGGGCTTCCCAGGGGCAGTTTTTGGAAACTGAAAGATAGCCTTGATCAGTCAGATCCAGGAGAGCAGTCCGGCTTCTTCCCAGTGCCTTCATGCTCATTGGCCAGAAATTTGGAAGTTGGGAGAAAGTTTTAATCCTTGTGGACCACAAATCCCAGAATGGTAGAGTTGTAAGGGACCCCAACGCGGGTGGCGCTGTGGGTTAAACCACAGAGCCTAGGACTTGCCGATCAGAAGGTCGGTGGTTCGAATCCCCGGGACGAGGTGAGCTCCCGTTGCTCAGTCCCTGCTCCTGCCAACCTAGCAGTTCGAAAGCATGTCAAAGTGCAAGTAGATAAACAGGTACCGCTCCGGAGGGAAGGTAAACGGCGCTTCCATGCACTGCGCTGGTTCGCCAGAGGCGGCTTAGTCATGCTGGCCAATAAAGTGAGATGAGCGCTGCAGCCCCAGAGTCGTCATGACTGGACCTAATGGTCAGGGGTCCCTTTACCTTTAAGGGACCCCAAGGGTCATCTAGTCCAACCCCCCTGCAATGCTGGAATATACAGCTGCCCCATACAGGGATCAAACCTGCAACCTTGGCATTATCAGCACCACGCTCTAACCAACTGAGCTATCCAGGCTGAATTTTTGTTTTGAAATTTGAACTGCATCTACACACATAGAACAGCCTATGCACATTTTATGCACATTCGGTTTCCTCTTTCCGTCCCTTTCTGTGGGGAAGTGAGGTGGGTTTCCCCCCCTCTTTGGGCAATTGTGTGTAAGTGCCCCTCCTCAGTCCCAGGGAAGCACTGAGAATGCTCTGTTAAGAGATTTGCCTCTTGAAAAACTACATTTCCCAGAATTCTCTGGGAGAGAGAGGAAGGAGCTCTTGAAAACTATTTGTGATCTACAGGGAGATGCTGTTCTGGTTCCTGTGCACTTATATTCTAACTCACCCGTCTCTGTTTCATTACAACAAAACAGAAATGGGGGAAGCTGAGACCATCCAGATGTTGTTGTTGGACTCTAACCAATGGTCAGGAATGATGGGAGCTGTGACTCCCACAACATCTGGGGGGCCACAGGTTCCCCATCGCTGCAACAAAAGGATACAAGAAGAGCTCTTCTGGATCAGGCCACATGCTCGTCCAGTTCAGTATCCTGTTCTCACTGTGGGCAACCACACACTTGCAGGAAGCTCACAAACCCTGCCTTTGTTTTCCCCTATCATCTGGACGTTCCATTTATCTGCCATGCCTAATACCCATTGATAGACCCATCTTCTCACACAGCCTAGATAGCTCAGTTGGTTAAGAGCATGGTGCTGATAATTCCAAGGTTGCAGGTTTGATCCCCGTATGGGACAGCTTTTTATTCCTGCATTGCAGGCAGTTGGATTTAGATGATCCTCAGGGTCCCTTCCAATTCTATGAAATGTAAAGGTGTATCATGTTTGTTGGTGTTCAGTCACCTTAGCTTATTTTTAAAACCCGATTTATTTTAAAAACCTTATTTTTAAAAACACACCTTTTAGCGCCATCACATCTTGTGGCAGAGGGTTCCATAAGCTCACTGTAGCAATGTGATGCTTGATACTCCTGACGGTCTCTTCAGCCCTGTATGAGTTTGGCACCATCTGCACTACACATTTAAACCAGCACCATACCTGGCTCCCCGCAACCAGGCATGGAATTTCCTCCCCACCAGCCACCTTCATGTTGTAGTTTCCATTGTATGCTAAAGATCCACCTCATTACCCTTCAATAAAAGCATCATAATAGCCTGCTAGAACAGGCCAAAGGCCCATCTAGTCCGTCAACAGTGGTCAGCCAGATGCAGGTGAGAAACCAGTACCCTTGACAGGTGAGAAATATACATATTAGAACCCACCTAACCTGCCCTGCCAAGGGATGCGGGTGGCGCTGTGGGTTAAACCACAGAGCCTAGGACTTGCCGATCAGAAGGTTGGCGGTTCGAATCCCCGCGACGGGGTGAGCTCCCGTTGCTCGGTCCCTGCTCCTGCCCACCTAGCAGTTCGAAAGCACATCAAAGTGCAAGTAGATAAATAGGTACCGCTCCGGCGGGTAAACGGTGTTTCTATGCGCTTCTCTGGTTCGCCAGCAGCAGCTTAGTCATGCTGGCCACATGACCTGGAAGCTGTACGCCGGCTCCCTCGGCCAATAAAGCGAGATGAGCGCTGCAACCCCAGAGTCGGCCACGACTGGACCTAATGGTCAGGGGTCCCTTTACCTTTAACTTGCCCTGGAGCCTTATGGTGAAGGGTAAGCAATAAATTGAAATAATAATAATTAGATAGACAATTCTATACGGCCCCATCTGCACTGTACATTTAAAACAGTATAGTATAGTACCCCTTTAAACAATCATGGCTTCCCTCAAAGAATTCTGGGAAGTGTAGTTTGTTAAGGGTGCAGAGAGTTGTTAGGAGACTCCCCCCCCAGCCCCCGTTCCCCTCACAGAGCTACAACTTACAGAGTAGTTCAACGGTCAACCTTTCTTCCCAGGGGACTTGGAACTATAGCTCTGTGAAGGGAATAAGGGTCTGCAAACATTGCTCTGCACCCTTAACAAACTACAGTCCCCAGGATCCCCTGGGAGAAGCCATGACGGCTTAAAGTACAGTGGTACCTTGGTTTGCGAACTTAATCCGTTCCCGAAGTCTGTTCTTAAACCAAAGCATTCTTAAACCAAGGCGTGCTTTCCCATAGCAGTGGGGGACTCAATTTACAAACGGAACACACTCAACAGGAAGCAGAACATGTTCTTATTCCAAGGCAAAGTTCACAAACCAAAACACCTACTTCCGGGTTTGCAGCATTCTTAATCCAAGTTGTTCATAAACTAAGCTGCTCTTAAACCAAGGGACCGCTGTAGTATAATACTCCTTTGAAATGCACCATGCAGATGTGGCCTAAGATAAAGCTAAACCCTGTTATGATTATGTGCTCTCCTTATTTTCCTGTTTCCCGAATTTTGCCTACACTCAGAAGCTGGCTTTGCCTTTCACAGGGAACTTCCCAGGGCACCCTGGCGGGTGACATCGAGGCAGAGCCGACGGACTTGAGCGCCACCTGTTTCCCCCTCTCGCGTTCCGGGACCATGCAGTCTCCCAAAAAGGGCCTGATCTGTAACCTGAACCACGTCCACCTGCAGCATGTCTCCTTGGGTCTCCATTTGTCGCGCCATCCGGAACTCCAAGAGGATGCCAACACGCTGGCGCCCCCGAGAGACCGGGTGGGTTGCCAGGATTGCCGCGGTCACGGCGGCAACACCCGCGAGCTGGTAGACGCCAACTCCAACAACCCGTCCCTGCCCTGCCGCTGCTGCGACGGCCACACGCTGCATTCGGATCTCAAGCGAGGCCTCCAAGGTCAGCCTCTCTCGCCCAACTGCCTGGCTCTGAAACGTGAGGAAGAAGAGGAGGATGAAGAAGAAGAGGAAGAAGAGGAGGAGGAGGCAGGTTCGCCGTCGGAGCTGGGCTCCTCATCAGTTAGCAGCTCCTCAGATATCAGCCTGGATGAGAGCCCGGTTTCTGTATACTGTAGAGAATTTCCTGCTGAGGAGCCAAGGAGTCCTGAGAACCAGCCCAACATTGTCCCCTTGGAAGATGCTCGTGGCATCCTTCCCCTGGCTGACCGCAAAGACGAAAGCTTGAACCTCAACACCCAGATCAGCGAGCCTCGCCCGTCCCGTGTCTGGGACAGCCCCGACAGCTTGTGCAGTGGTAGCTCGCTGGGGTCCACGCCTGACATGAATTCTCCGTGTGGGGAAAGCCCGGTCAAGTCGCCCCTCGCTGATTCCTGCAGGGCTCCCTTGCCTGTACCGCCCCCGACCCGTCCCTTCAGGGCTCCCCCAGCCGTGCCAGCCCCCAAAATCAGCCCGGAGCTGGATTCAAACTGCAATGCTCTCCCGAGCCGGGAAGCAGAGCCCGGAAAGCTCTTAGTGGACGTCAACTCGAACCAGGCTGCTCCGCCGAGGCCTCGTGTTTCGAGCGGCCCTCCGCCGGTGCCCCCCAGAACGAAGAGGGGGCTTCAGGGGTTGAGGCGAGGCGAAGCAGGGAAGCCTGCAGTGGCCCCGGCAGACCTGCCGCCCTGCCACAGCGACCAACAGGCCGCGGGCAGCCGGAAGAACATCACTTCCTTCCACGAGTTGGCACAGAAAAGGAAGAAGGCCGCAGCGTCGGTCGGGCCCCCACCTCAGACGAGGAAGGACCAGAGTGACTGGCTGATCGTCTTCTCCCCTGACACCGAGCTGCCACCGTCGAATGAGCTGACGTGTGGCGTGGCCCCTTGCCGGGAGACGCCCGGGCCCCCGACTCCACCCTCAGAGCCACCAGCCAACCCCGCCGGCCAAAGAGGGGTGACCACGTTCAAGGAATTGCGCTGCCGGAAGCAGAAGGCCCAGGCGCCCGTGAAGATGGGCACCCAAACCCCATGGCAAGTGGATCCCGGGAAGGGGGTCCCCGACGGGAGCGCTCCGCCGGAGGTTGTCGTGGAGCCACCACCAAGCGGGCCCTTCAGGCCCCCGAAGGAAATCCCGCCCCGGAGGAGGAAATCGCGCCCCGGGCTGCAGCCCATTGTGGAGGGAGGCTTTGAAGAAGGAGAGGACGGAAGGATGGAGGTGAAGGCGTCTGATCGAAGCTCCGAGGGCCCATCCAATGGGAGGAGGGACCCCTGGATGCCGGGGAAGGAGGAGAGAGGAGAAAGGAGTTTTGTGGAGGGTAAGGCTCAGATGATCTCCCCAGATGTGGAGGCTCAGATTTTGGAGAACGGGTGGTGGACCTGGTGCCTGAAAACAGAGCCACATCTGTACCTTACATTTAAAGCACTTTTGCACCACTTTACACAATCGCTGCGTCCCCCAAAGCAATATTGGAGAACACAGCTTGTTTGGGGTGTGAGAGTGGTTGGAGGCCCCCCCCCCCTGACACCATTTCCCTCCCAGAGCTGCTGTTCTCAGAATTCCCTGCTTGATAAATCACCCTGGGAACTGTAGCTCTGTGAGCGGAACAAGGGCCTCCGAAAGACTCTCAGCACCTCAGACAGACTACAGTTCCCAGAGTGTTCTTTGCGGGAAGCCATGACTGTTTAAAGTGAATCATAGGACTTCAGAGTTGTAAAGGACCCTGAGGATTGTATAGTCCAACTCCCTGCAATGTTGGAATCTCAACATGCAGCCCCCCCCCCCCATCTAGGTTGAAATCACACCAGACCCTGCTTCGCTTTGGAAATATCCTAGCAGTTTTATTATTATTTTACTTATTAAATTTGTATACCACCCTATACCCTTAGCTTTCAGGGCTCTTCACACAGTGGTTATTGCAAGTATTGTATAGATGTGACCCAGGGAGGCAGCTAATGGGGGCAGGAAGGCACTGGTTAAAGCACATTAGTGGTTCCACAAAAGTTTGAAAGAGAGCTCAGTCAGGAAATGGAAGTTGATGTCCCTTTTAACCGCTTCCCTCCCCAAAACACCAACCAACAAGCCTTAGCCTACCAAATACCATATAACCCCATGACTTCCTGTGTGTGTGTGATATGGGGATTGTAAAAGATGTGGTTGACTAAGAGAGGGAATATATCTTTGGGGTGGAGCTGGGGTGCTTGTTCTCCTCAAACTTCATATCTGCATGTGTTTCACTTTGGGAATTGCAGCTCTGGCAGGGGACTCGAGGTCTCCTAACAACTCTCAGCACCCTTAACAGACTACAATTCCCAGGATTCTTTGGGGGAAGCCATGACTGTTAAAGTGGTATAGTAGTACTTTAAATGTATGGTGTGGGTTCAAATCCTCCACTCTTCCTGTGAGGCACAGCGGGTGACCTTGGGCCAATCACTCTTTCTCTGTGTGTGTCTCTCACTCTCTCTCTGCCTAAATTACCTCACAGGATTGTTGTGAGGGTAAAATGGGGTGTTTCTCCACAACTACTTATGTATATTCTCCTAAATGGAAAGCTAGGATTAAGAATGGAAGCAGAGTGTGGAGTCTCCATCGAAACACAGTTCTCACAGCATTAACACTCCATTAGATCTTCCCACTCCATTAAATTCCCAGGGAGATCTCCAAGCCACAACTATGGGCCCAACACAGAGCAAGATAAGGACCTTCCAGTATCAGCCAACCCCACTCCCAGCCTACTTTGGCCTATTGTTCCCCATCTGGGGAATTGGGGAAAAGGCCATCCATTTGTCTCCATGGCAACAGGGCAACCTCTTTGGACATGTAAATAGCAGCACTTAATAGGCCATTAAAGGGACGCGGGTGGCGCTGTGGGTAAAAGCCTCAGCGCCTAGGGCTTGCTGATCGAAAGGTCGGTGGTTCGAATCCCCGCGGCGGGGTGCGCTCCCGTTGCTCGGTCCCAGCGCCTGCCAACCTAGCAGTTCGAAAGCACCCCCAGGTGCAAGTAGATAAATAGGGACCGCTTACTAATGGGAAGGTAAATGGTGTTTCCGTGTGCGGCTCTGGCTCGCCAGAGCAGCGATGTCACGCTGGCCACATGACCCGGAAGTGTCTCCGGACAGCGCTGGCCCCCGGCCTCTAGAGTGAGATGGGCGCACAACCCTAAAGTCTGGCAAGACTGGCCCGTACGGGCAGGGGTACCTTTACCTTTACCTTTTTAACAGGCCATTAGAAAGTATTCTTAAGATAATGATCTTACAAAGAAACTTGTCTGACCAGATCAGCAGGTGTCTTCTTATAAATTATAACCTCACAGTATGGACCCACGGGTATTATCTAGACAGAACCCCACCCCCCAAACCTATAACAATGTGTTATTTATTTTCCCTGGAGTGTTTAAGGTCGTTTCAAAGGAGGAATGTGGCCTGTGACTGGGGCGCTCCCTTATTGCGTTCAAAAGAGTGCGCCACCTATGCGCTCAAGTAGTCAAGGTATACAAATGAACAAGTGTATACTCTGTGTGCATTCAATTCACCCAAAGCACAGTTAAAGCAGAGGACTTCGCCCCCAAAGAATCTTGCAGTTTCCTAGCACCCTTAACAAACGACAGCTCCCAGGTGTCCTTCAAGCTGCATGGCACAGATGCAGTCCTTTTTTTGCACAAACATTAGCACATTTCTAGGGACATCTTGTGCTTTTGTTCGGAGTGGCGTCTGACAGACACTCGCTCTCCACTTCCATCTCTGCTCTGCTATTGTGAGTTTTCAGTTGGTTTCTTGTTTTGCTTTAAGAGAATGAAGAAATCAATACCACCCCTGCACCTTTTTCTCTCGCCAGCCTCTAAGGCACACCTTGAATCTGGTTACCTGGCCTAAAATTAATAAATAACCCAAAGGAGTTGCTCTGATTGGTTAACGTGGTTGTCAGTCGGAGCTAGGGGAACTTCTCCCGCCCCCTGCTGCTTGTCTCCCTCAACAACACACACTCAAGCACTTCTGTCAGCAAGAGGAAGCAGGAAGCAGATAACCACTTTGCATTTGTCTTCCTGGACTGACAACCTTTGCAGTACTTTCCCTTTCTTTCTCTTTCCCCGGAAGCAAACTGGATCCTTGCCCCTTCGACTCCACCCTTCCCTAAAACGGGGCAAGGTGTGGGGGCAACTGTGGAGCTATAATCGGCTGCCTTTTCCTGGTTTGGAGAGAATCATTTGTTTTTGTTTTTAAGGTAATGTAACTTCAACGGCCCACGTCATCGTGGCAGCGGTGCACTTAGGAAATCTTTAGACTCTGGACTTCAGAGTCTTTTGTGGATTGAGGCCTGTGTGCTCTCTTCAGATAGTACAGTGGTAAAAGGTAAAGGTAAAGGTACCCCTGCCCGTACGGGCCAGTCTTGACAGACTCTAGGGTTGTGCGCCCATCTCACTTAAGAGGCCGGGGGCCAGCGCTGTCCGGAGACACTTCCGGGTCACGTGGCCAGCGTGACAAGCTGCATCTGGCAAGCCAGAGCCGCACACGGAAACGCCGTTTACCTTCCCGCTAGTAAGCGGTCCCTATTTATCTACTTGCACTCGAAGGTGCTTTCGAACTGCTAGGTTGGCAGGCGCTGGGACCGAGCAACGGGAGCGCACCCCGCCGCGGGGATTCGAACCGCCGACCTTTCAATCGGCAAGCCCTAGGCGCTGAGGCTTTTACCCACAGCGCCACCCGCGTCCCAGTACAGTGGTACCTCGGGTTAAGTACTTAATTCGTTCCAGAGGTCCGTACCTAACCTGAAACTGTTCTTAACCTGAAGCACCACTTTAGCTAATGGGGCCTCCTGCTGCCGCCGCGCCACTGCAGCACGATTTCTGTTCTCATCCTGAAGCAAAGTTCTTAACCTGAGGTACTATTTCTGGGTTAGCGGAGTCTGTAACCTGAAGCGTATTTAACCCGAGGTACCACTGTAATGTGGATTACTTTGTGAGACTTCAAGCCAAACTTGCTACATTTCAGGGTGGGGAAGTTTCTGTTCTGGATATGGGGCTTTGGAACATAGAAAGCTGCCTTCTGCTGAGTTAGACCACTGGTCCATCTCACTCAGTGCTGTCTACACTGACTGGCAGCAGCAGCAGCAGCAGCTCTCCAGACTTTCCAACCCTACCTGAGATGCTGGAAATTGAGCCAGAGACCTTCGATTGAGCTATGGCCCTCCCCAGATTTTGAGACAGTGTCTACTGGCAGTCCTACCTGGAGAACATGGAGAGCTACCTTATAGATCAGACCACTGCTCCATCTACCTCAGTAATGTCTACACTGACTGGCAGCAGCACACACCAGGTCTTCAGGCAGGGGGTATTTTCCCAATCGTACCTGAAGATGTGGGGAGTTGAGAACATGGGACCTTCTCGTAAACCACTGAGAGGCTTTACTACAAGCAAGTAGTGTTTACATTTTGTTAAATAAATTAAGATTAGAAAGCATTAGCAGTCTCATACCTGGAATCACCCGGGGATTGTAACAAACAAACAAATCAGCACAGTTTTGACATCTGTGGTTAAAATCAGTGCAGTTTTGAAAGATTCAGTTCTGCCATCTTAATTCAAAAGGGCTTTTCCTACACCAGACAGGGCAAGCTTGTGACCCTCAAGACATTTTCCGTCTCTCAACTCTCCTCAGCCCCAGCCAACAAGGCCAGTGGTCAGTCAGGGAAAATGGGAGCTGGAAGTCAAGCGACAAACAGAAGGCTTCTCAGGCCATATTCACACCATGCATTTAAAGCCCTATAAAGAGTCATGGCTTCCCCAAAATAATTCTGGGAGCTGTCAGTTTGTTAAAGGTGATGAGAGTTATTAAGGTGACCCTCCGTTCCCCTCCCAGAGCTACAGTTCCCAGAGTCCCCCATGAAAAGGGCTTGGCTGTTAAATCCGCTTTGGGAATCGTAGCTCTGGGCAGGGAACAGCGGCCTCCTGACAACTCCCAGCGCCCTTAATGAACTTTTATCTCCCAGAATCCTTTGGGGGGGGGACGCCATGAATGCTTAAAACGGTATCTCATGTATGGATTGAGTGGGGCAGAGTCCCCCAACTCTGGATTAGGGTCCTGCGTTTCCCAGCTGAAGACACACAGCTTCTCCAAACGAGGTTGGGTGTTTTTGGCGTCGGGATTGTTTTGTGTTGCGTGTCTCATGACCATTATGTTTGTTCGTTGTCTGCTGTGTGACTTCTGGAAATAACTTTGTTTTTGTTTTGTTTTGTTTCATATTCTCTCCTCTCCCTCTCCTTCCTTGCTCTTGACCCCCACCCAAAACCTCTTTCTGGCTTCCCCTCCCACACCCCCGTCCTGCTTCCCATGTCAATCAATCAATCAATCAATCAATCAATCAATCACGCTGGTCTGGCTCATTGTCTGGCTTCCATGCATTTCTCACTGGTTTGTCGACCTCACGTGCTCCCCCCCCCCCACAATCCATCCTTCCCTCGCTCTGCACTGGCTTCACTCCTTGGTCCTGCTGCCGCCACCTCCTGGCCCCCTTGCCCTCGCTCTGGCCTGCAGCTGACGCCCTCCTTGCCCGCTCCTCCAGGCCTCAGAATCTGCCCTACCCACCTCTCCTGGTCCATTTCTCTGTGGTGGACGGCCCGGCACCCCTGCACCCCTCACTCTGCACTGGCTTAGAGAGTGTGGAGCTGAGCTCCCCTGCCCCTCCTGCCCCGGCCTTCTGCCCCAGGCTCAAGACCTTGTCCTGCGAGGAGGTCTGCCTCCTAGCCGGGCGGCAGGGGCAGGTCTTGGGCACTCTCTCGCCCGAGGAGCTGCTCCCCATCCGCCTCTCCCCCATCGGGGCCTACTCCCCCCCTGCCAGGAGCGTCCTGCCTTTCCTGGAGAGCCCTGACCTGGCTGTGCTGTTCTCACCCCTCTTCCCCCGCAGCCGCACCTTCCCCGCCTTAGCTTTCCCACCCCGCCAGGTGCTCGAGCGGCCGTTTGGAGCCCGCCGCGCCCCCCTTGACAGCCAGGCTGGAGCAGGGCTCGGGAGAGTGCCCTGGGGCAGTATGGAAGCCAGAGAGCCGGGAGCTCCCAAGCAACGTAAGCCGCCTCTCCCCTCATTCTCCCTCCTTCCCACCTTCCCTGCCTCCGTCACCTGTTCCCCAAACTGTGCGCCTCCTGGAGGGGTTTGGTTGAAGGCTGTGAGGCCAAAGCAGCTGTCCGCACAGAGACAGAGGCTGCCCGTTGCAACTCTGTGCGAGTTGCCGTTCTGGCCTCGTCCAATCAGCTTCTTGTGGGTATGGCTACTCCTGCCCGTTGGCATCAGGTGTGTGCAACTGGACGGGGGACTTGAGGTCCTCTAGACCAGTGGTTCTCAAGCTTTTTTGTGCCACCGGCCCCTCGGTTCTGTAAACTCAGCTCCAGTGGCCCCCACCCACCTCTCTATAAAGCATGACGCAGAACTGCGGTTTGCACGGCCCGCTAAGGGTGATAATAACACAGTGAAATACAAAACTGTAACAACCATTTGCACATTCATTCAGAATCCAATGAAAACTATTTGCAGGCAGCGACTGTTTTAGGGGATATGTGTGCCATTGCGCACATGTGCATTGCGCTGAAGCCAGAAGTGCCCTGAAAACATCGCAAAAAGGGGTGGAACAGGATGGAGGGGCAGAACAGGGCAGGGTGGCCCCGGTGACCTGCATATGTCCAGAACATAGCAAATTGGTCTCTGTTTTTAGATTAATTAAAGCAACTAAATAGATGAACTTCATCCAGTGATACCAGCTTTTCGAAATCTGGTCGTCATTTACATCGCCCTCTTGCCTCTTAGCACCCACCCCACAAGTAATCACTCTGCCCCCCTGGAGGTGGTACCACCCACATTGGGAACCAATGCTCTCTAGACTCTCTTAGTATTGATCACTGCAACCTGCTGTGGGAGGTGCTTTGGGGCTGAAGAGCAGGGTAAAAAATGCTTTTGACAAATAACTTGGTTGGACTCCAGCTCCCTTTAGCCCCAGCCAGTGAAAATAATGGCCAGGGATGATGGGAGTTGTAGTCCAGCAACATCTGGATGTTCCCCCCCACCTGTGCTAGCAAAAAAATTAACCACCCTGAGAGGAGGCTAATAGTCTGATCATCTCCAGTCCAGACTGGTTGCCTAAGTCAGGATATATACCTTAAAGGCTGACTTGCCAGGAAAATACAGAGGGAGAGCTCCTCCATGGAGGGTACAATTCAAAGAGCTACAGAGGAACCACTAAAGTTCATCGTCCTGCTGATGGGAAACCATATTTGCATGGCTCCTGCCCACAGCTTCATTGGCACATATACTCTGTGTGTGTGTGTGTGTGTGTGTGTGTGTGTGTGTGTGTGTGTGTGCCATGAGGACTGGAAGTTTGCGGGTTTGTTTTTAAAATAAAATGAGATTCTCAACATGTGGGAATCTGAGCCAAACAGAAAGGAAGGAAGCCATTGGGTGGTATAGAAAGTACAGAAATTAAGATATTACAACACTTAATCTAGCAATTGATCGGATCAGGGGTTTCCACATTCAGTGTTCCCATTGATTTTTCATTGTATTTTCATGGCTTCTTTTCTTCTTACATTGTATTGTTTTCTAATTTTATTTATATCCCTCCAAGGAGCCCAAGCTGGCATACATGGTTTCTCCCTTCCTCATTTTATCCTCACAACAACCCTGTGAGGGAGGTGAGGCTGAGAGATGGCACTTGGCCAAAGCTCACCCAGTGAGCTTCAGAGCTGAGTGGGGATTTGAACTCCCGTCTCTCAGGTCCTAGCCTGTAACCGCTGCTTGACCAAAGGATCAGACTATACTGAATGAGACGGACTTTGGTGCCCTCCGCATAAGGCAGCTTCTTATATTCCTGACTTAAGCACATATAAAAGGTAAAGGTAAAGGTACCCCTGCCCATACGGGCCAGTCTTGACAGACTCTAGGGTTGTGCGGCCATCTCACTCAAGAGGCCGGGGGCCAGCGCTGTCCGGAGACACTTCCGGGTCACGTGGCCAGCGTGACATCGCTGCTCTGGCAAGCCAGAGCCGCACACGGAAACGCCGTTTACCTTCCCGCTAGTAAGCGGTCCCTATTTATCTACTTGCACCCGAGGGTGCTTTCGAACTGCTAGGTTGGCAGGTGCTGGGACCGAACAACGGGAGCGCACCCCGCCGCGGGGATTCGAACCGCCGACCTTTCGATCGGCAAGTCCTAGGCGCTGAGGCTTTAACCCACAGCGCCACCCGCGTCCCTTAAGCACATATAACCAGCTTCAAAAACTTAATGGCAAGACAGGCAGAAGGAGAGGCTGTTTCAAGCAGAGCTTGGAACCAACTAGTTCAGAGTAACTAGTTCAGTGTAAGTTCACCAAATTAGCCCACAAATCTCTGACCTACACCTGAAAGGAGTTCCCACAATTGCTGAGTGAATTCAGTTCAATTTGGGGTACAACTTAGAATGATTTGTAGTTCACCTTCAAGTTCATTCCCTTCCATGTGTGGATTATTATTATTATTATTTACTCTTTAGACTCTTTGGCCCGTTAAGCTGAAACATCATAATTGTTGGGGGAACTAAATGAAACCATTCACATTCTGCTGTGTGTGTGTTGATGTTTTCTTCATCTTTGAAAGTACAGTATGTTCTATATCGTAGCACAGCAGCTTGCCACATTCTGAATGTTGATTTCTCTCTCTTTTTGACGTGGATAACTTGAATGGACTCGAACTGAGAACTGAACTAGTTTGTTTTGTAAAAGGATGAACCTGAACAGGGATGTAGTTCCATTGTGTGTGTGTGCGTGTGGACATCTACAACTGGAACAAGTTCATTTAATAATAATCATAAAACCTTTCTAAGCTCTGGTTTTAAGCGGCATTCCACAACGGCCTGGTGGCGAAATGATCTAGGAATCTTGCTTTTGGGGGGAGCAGGGAGATGGGAGATGTGTTGGAAAGGAAGAGGGACGAGAGGGGGGGGACACATCTGCCTGAGTAAGGTGGATCCCTCCTTGTTGTCATGCCAAAGCACGATCTCTCAAAACATCTGTAGAAGCAACCCTCTTGCTCCCCAACATCTGAGTGCCAGGTCTGGTCTGCAAGCACCAACCTGGGTTTGATGAGTGCTCTGAGGCTGTTCCATCACTGAAAGGTTCCCTTGGTCCATATATTCATAGAATCATAGAGTTGAAAGGGACCACAAGTGATATGTACTCCCATCCCCTGCAATGCAGGAATCTTTTGCCCAGCATGGGGCTTCAACTCATGTCCTTGAGATGGAGAGTCTCATGTTGCACCAGTTGAACTGTCCCAGGTGTATATCATCTCTGACCATCCTGGCTGGGGCTGATGGGAGCTGGATCCCAGCAATACCTGGAATCTTCATCTCAGCTGAGATCCAGGACCTGCACTTCTCCCTTTCCTAAAAGAGAGTTTTTAATGTTTGATGTCTTGTCATGTTTTTAATATTCTATTGGGAGCCGCCCAGAATGGCTGGGGAAACCTAGTCAGATGGGCAGGGTACAAATAAATTATTATTATTATTATTATTATTATTATTATTAGGGTTTAGGTGATCTAATTTAGGCCACAAATGTCTGAATCTGCTCAACACTTCATACTCTCTCTCTCTCTCTCTCTCTCTCTCTCTCTCTCTCTCTGTGTGTGTGTGTGTGTGTTTTAAAAAAAGATTTCTTTTTCTTCGTTTCGCTTTGTGAGGGCTTGGCTAATAAGTGGAATAAATAAATAAAAATCCTGGCATCTACAGAGAAGCTAGATAGCTTCTTATCCTCCATATGTTGACTTCCCTTCTTTCTGTCCCATCTTCTTCCAGTCAGACATTCCCACTCCTTTGGTGGGGTCCCAAATACTGGCCATCTGTGGGGGGCCGATGCTGATCGCGTCTATGCCCAACTTCGAGAACAAAAGAAAGGTACAATCTTAAAACACATTATATCTATCTATCTATCTATCATCTATCTATCTGTCTGTCTATCTATCTATCTATCACTATTGATCATCAATAATTGTTGATCAGGATTGGTTATTCTTATTTTTCATTGTTGACAATACTCAGCTTACTGCCTGCGACGTGCTAGGAAATGTCTAGCCTCATGGTGTTAACAAATTAGACAAAAGTGTTCAACTTTAGAGGTTGGGGTGGGGACATGTTAGGAGAGGAAGGAGGGAAACATGTGCGAGGGGAGAGAGATGCAAAGAGCCACCCAAACACCTTCAATATCTGGGAACTCTTCCCAACTCCTATTCAGGCCTTGTTCGTTCCCATGGCAACCCATGTCTCTCCTGGCACCTTTAATTCTCGGAAAACCTGAAGGGAGGCCAAAGAGATGAGGATTTCCATGGAAACGTGTTGTATTCACAGGAAACCCCAGGAAGATTTGCAAAGAAAGAGAGACAGGGAGGGTCTGCCACCTCCTTTTCCATCGGCACCCCCATGGGCATCCAGCGGAGAGGGGGCCAAACGTATGAAACTTAATTTCCAGATCCCCAGCTTTCATTTAAAAGAGAAAGAAAGTGAGGCCCCATTCGCACTATATATTCAAAGCACAGCAATACCACTTTAAATAGTCGTGGCTTCCCCCAAAGAATTCTGGGAGATACTGTTTGTTAAAGGCGTTGAGAGGGGTTAGGAGACCCCCTCCTTCTCCTCACAGAGCTACAAGTTGTTTAACAACCAGTTCCTTTCCCTAGGAAGCTCTGGGAATTGTCGCTCTAGGAGGGGAAAGGAGGCCTCCTCACAACTTTCAGCACCCATAAAAAACTACAGTTCCCAGGATTCCTTGGGGGAAGCCGCGGCTGCTTAGAGTGGTATAATAGCGCTTTGAATGTTTTGTTGTTGGCATCTGTCTGTCTCGAGAGACAAAGGAGTGTGTCTCTGGGGGTAGCGTCAAACCGCTGGAGAATCACAGTGCCTGCTGTGGCCACAGAGTCTGGGAAATCATAACTGCTGCCTCCCATGTTGTTTTTGCCCCGTTAGTGGCACCAAAGTGACCTTTCTGGGGTGCAGTGTGTTTGGAGGACCTGGGGCCCCTTTTCAGCCTCACTGATGTGATCCAAAGGAAAGCAGAGCAATACGTTTGGCACCAGCTTGGCTGCAGGAGTTGCTGGAGGTGTACAAGGCGCCATCCAACCTCCTTAAGGACTCCCACTCCTGATTTGTAACCACAGAGCCTAGGACTTGCTGATCAGAAGGTCGGCAGTTCGAATCCCCGCAGCGGGGTGAGCTCCCGTTGCTCAGTCCCTGCTCCTGCCAACCTAGCAGTTCGAACGCACGTCAAAGTGCAAGTAGATAAATAGGTACCGCTCTGGCAGGAAGGTAAACAGCGTTTCCGTGTGCTGCTCTGGTTCGCCAGAAGCGGCTTAGTCATGCTGGCCACATGACCAGCTGTACGCCGGCTCCTTTGAAGAGTAAAGCAAGATGAGCGCCACAATCCCAGAGTCAGCACTGACTGGACCTAATGGTCAGGGGTCCCTTTACCTTTACCTTGAATGTATAGCTCAGATGATGATGATTAATTAAATACAGTGTTTTTTTCTGGGGGGACGCAGGCATACACATACCCCTAAACATTTTGTGAATTTTGGTTTGGCCTCATTGAGGGCCAGTATTTCAATATGAGTAGGGAAATGAGAGTACCCCTAAACATTTTTTTAAGGAAAAAAGCACTGATTAAATGTGTATATCAGCCTTTATCCAAAGACCACAGGGCAGTTCACAACACAAAAATACAAAACAAGAACACAAAATACATAATAAAAGCAAACCGACCATTTAATCAGCCAAAGGTTTGGCTATAGAGGAACATTTTTGCCTGGCACCTAAAGATATATAATGATAGCGTCAGGCAAGCCTCCCGGATGGTGCTAGTATTTCAGCAGGAAGCTATGACATATGTACTGTATACTGTAGTGGTACCTCGGTTTTTGAACGTAATCCATTCAGGAAGACTGTTCAAGTTCCGAAACGCTTGAAAAACTGAAAACTTCCTATGGAAGCCTCAATACGGAAAACTCAATATGGAAGCTGTGTTTTCAGTTCGACTTCTGAGGCGCGTTTGAAAACAGAAGCATTTTCTTCTGGGTTTACGGCGTTCAAAAACCAAAATGTTCATCAACGGAGATGTTCGAAAACTGAGGTACCTCTGTAATTGGAAAAGAAGCGGGCAGTCTGCCCTGATATTTTTTGCAGGTGCAAGCAGCATGATCGCTCGCAACTGCCCCGATACCAGGTAAAGGTAAAGGGACCCCTAACCATTAGGTCCAGTCGTGACCGACTCTGGGGTTGCAGCGCTCATCTCGCTTTATTGGCCGAGGGAGCCGGCGTACAGCTTCCGGGTCATGTTGTCAACATGACTAAGCTGCTTCTGGCGAACCAGAGCAGCGCACGAAAATGCCGTTTACCTTCCCGCTGGAGCGGTACCTATTTATCTACTTGCACTTTGACATGCTTTCAAACTGCTGGGTTGGCAGGAGCAGGGACCGAGCAACGGGAGCTCACCCTGTCGAACCACCGACCTTCGAACCGCCGACCTTCGAACCGCCGACCTTCTGATCAGCAAGCCCTAGGCTCTGTGTTTTAACCCACAGCGCCACCCACGTCCGATACCATCATACACCCAAATCATAAGCAGAAAGGACTTCTGGATGGCGGCCCCCGAAGCACAAGCAAACAATGCCCCCCCCCCGGTAATCCTCTCTCTTCTCTCGGCTTTCCCCCAGCTTTGCTCGTGGCAGTCAGTGCCTCCGTGGACAAGATCGTCGCCCATTTCAGCACAGCCCGGAACCTCGTTCAGAAGGTTTGTTTTGAAGTTACATTTTATGAAGCCAGCAGCTGGTGCCCCATTGCGGGTGGGGGGGCGGAAGGCAGGGAGCCCAGGTGGCATCAGAACCAATGATGGGCAGTCCCCACTCCTTGTTGGTTCCCCCCATCTTTCTCCCCACCCCAGCTGATTTCTGTAAGGGCAACCCTGAGACCGAAGAGGAGGAAGCTGAGAGCAGGGGCGACCCCTTGGAGTGGCCCTAAGAAAAGAGGGCAGGAAGGTGGGGGCTGGCTGAATGCAGACCGAGCGTTGGTCAGCCGCTGCCCCATTTGCCCTAACAAACCAGCTTCCACTAATTTTATATCCCCCCCCTTTCCTCCAATAAGCTAAAGGTTAGCTCTTGCTCCTCTGCCACTACCCTTGCAGCTGGTTGCGGTTTCAGATTCTGCAGGGGGAGAGAGACACACCCTGCATTTATTACCCCACCCTTTCCTCTGAAGAGTTCAAAGTGGCATAGTGGTTCTTTCCCCCCCTTCAATTCACCCCCACAACAACCCTGTGAGGTAGGCTAAGAGGCAGCGACTGCCCCAAGGTGAGCTGGCAGCAGAGTGGGGATTTGAACCCCTGTGTCAGGAGCGAGCCAGTAGCAAATCATGCCTTGCAAGTTGGAGTTAAATGTGTACAGTGGTACCTCGTGTTAAGTACTTAATTCGTTCCAGAGGTCCGTTCTTAACCTGAAACTGTTCTTAACCTGAAGCACCACTTTAGCTAATGGGGCCTCCTGCTGCCGCCGCGCCGCCGGAGCACGATTTCTGTTCTCATCCTGAAGCAAAGTTCTTAACCTGAAGCACTATTTCTGGGTTAGCGGAGTCTGTAACCTGAAGCGTATGTAACCTGAGGTACCACTGTATTAGCAAAAACACAATCTACATAGGGGTGTCAGGCCTAATGTGGACAGCAACATCTCCAGCAGGCCTTGCCTCCATGGAGCAGTTGTAGAGACTTGTCTTCCTGCTGCTGCCTAAGTACCTTCCTCTCCAAGGTTTCCCCCAAGCAATCTGAGACTGTACCTGCATGATGCTAATTTCTCCTTCCCCATTTTCCTAGTGTCTTGCCTAGTTTTGGGAGACCAGGGGGGAGGGGGAGAGGAGCTTATCGCAGCAGGAGGGAGAGACACCTGTGACTATTCGCCAGCCAGATCCTCTCTGCTCCTTGGTCTCCCTCCACTCCTTCTTCAGCTTCAGCTTCTGCCTCTGATTCTGGGCTGCTCTCTGCCACAGACTCTCCCCGCTCACTAAGCCCCGTTGCCTCTTCAGTTTCCAACACCTCCTGTTCTCCTTCTGACCACTCATCATTGTCCCACCACCACTCCCTGAGCCTTCTTCCCTTGGGGGTTGCCCAGCTGGTTCCTCCCATCATTCCTCTGCACCCCAACCAGTCCACCACACCTGGTTTCTCCTGATCCCTGGCGCTCTCACCGCTATGCCACACTGACATAGAGATACAAAAGTGCGCTGGACTATGCAGAATTAGATAAGGTGACAGGAAGGATGCGAAACCAGCGGGACCAGAGATTCTTAGAGGACTGGAGTAAATATTTGAACTATTTGAAAAGCAATTGTAATAAACAGATTACCGTATTTTCCGCTCTATAAGACGCACCAGACCACAAGACGCACCTAGTTTTTGGAGAAGGAAAACAAGGAAAAAAATATTCTGAATCTCAGAAGCCAGAACAGCAAGAGGGATCGCTGCACAGTGAAAGCAGCAATCCCTCTTGCTGTTCTGGCTTCTGGGATAGCTGCGCAGCCTGCATTCGCTCCATAAGACGCGCACACATTTCCCCTTACTTTTTAGGAGGGAAAAAAGTGAGTCTTATAGAGCAAAAAATACGGTACTCTAGTAGGACTGCAAGAAGATTTGTAAGGAGGGCTGTGCGAAATATTGCAATGAAAGCTATGAAGAGAGTTATTAGTTAAGGACGATGAAAAGTAATAGAGAAATTAAGAAATGTAGACAAAGTGATAAAGATTGAAAAATCTTCAGATGTGGTCAATGGAAGTCCAAAACATTGTATTAGATAAGAAAATATTTTAAATGATTGTTGGAAATGATATGTTAAAAAACTAATAAAAATATATATTTAAAAAATAGAGATAAAAAGTGGGTGTTTGGGGGGCATATGAAAGGCTGCCTGGCAAGGAGCTGCAAAAGGAGCAGCCCTCTGCGCTTATGAGGGTGGGTGGGGGTGCAGGGAGGCTAATTAGAAAGCGCTAATTACCAATTTGCAAGGGGAGGGGGGCGGCGTTAGTTGTTTTCTCTCCCCAGCCTGCCAGCAGCTGACACCCAGCCGTTTCCCTCCTGCGCAGACCCAGCTGGGAGACAGCCGCCTCAGCCCAGACATCGGCTACGTGGTCCTGACCACTCTGTGCCCTGCCCTGCGAGCCCTGGTGGGCGACGGCCTGAAGCCCTTTCAGAAAGATGTCATCACGGGCCAGAGACCCAGTTCCCCGTGGAGCGTTGTGGAAGCCTCAGCTAAGCCAGGTAGGAAGGAGGTGTCAGAGAGGCAGGAGGTGGGTTTGTTTGGTGGTCGTTTTCCTTTTTAAAAATCTTGATTCTGCACCCCAAATGGCCACATTTTGCAGAGCTTCCTGGTTAAAGCCGGTAGGATAAATCTGCTTATTTTGCATAATTGGTTGGTTGTGAGTTCTCTAACGTTGCTAATATTGTTTTGTGGCTTGTGAGTGCTATAGTAGTGCTTTGTGAATCTTTTGCTGCGGTTGTGCCCTTTAGCTTATCTTTTCAGTTCTTTCATTTAGCGATTTATAGAAGGTGGTTGTTTTATTGCTGATATGTAGAATTGTAGATGTGGAAGGGAACCTGAGGATCATTGAGTCCAACTCCCTGCAATGTAGGAATATGCAGCTGCCCTTTACGGGGATTGAACCTGCAACCTTGCCATTATCAGCACCACACTGACCAACTGAGCTATCGTTTTACAGATGATTCGTTAATTGTTCTAGATTATTTATGTTGTAATTGTGATGTTCTAGGGTGGCGCTGTGGGTTAAACCACAGAGCCTAGGACTTGCTGATCAGAAGGTCGTCAGTTCGAATTCCCATGAGCTCGGTCCCTGCTCCTGCCAACCTAGCAGTTCGAAAGCATGTCAAAGTGCAAGTAGACAAATAGGTACCACTCCGGTGGGAAGGTAAACGGCGTTTCCGTGCGCTGCTCTGGTTTGCTAGAAGCGGCTTAGTCATGCTGGCCACATGACCCGGAAGCTGTACGCCGGCTCCCTCAGCCAATAAAGCGAGATGAGCGTGCAACCCCAGAGTTGGCCACGACTGGACCTAATGGTCAGGGGTCCCTTTACCTTTACCTTTATTATGCTATTGCTATATTTTGTTTGTGATCCAATTTGTGACTCGTGGGAGTGAAAAGCAGCATAGAAAGGAATGAATGAGTGTGTTATAAGAATTTTAAGGAATGTATGAATGAATGGGTTCTTCTGGCCCAGGGGACGGGATGAAAAGTGATGTTGCACACTGAAGTTCAGCCACCCCACCTAAGCAGCCTTAAGGACCGTAAAGCTTACTCTTTGTACACATTCAATCTTCTGAAATTTACGTTTTATTTCCTTATTCATTTATTTTTATGTGTTTTTATACAGCTGCTTTCCTGGTTTTTTCGGGTGGCATTCTTGTTCCCACGCTGTGCCGTGCGTTTGTTTCAAGCTGCACACCGCTAAGATGTTTTTCGAGACGTCAAGCGGCGGAGAAATGCTTTTAAATAAATAGAACAAAGCGCCCTGCAATTAAAACAGTGAAAGCAGGAGGTTCATGTCAGGAGATCGGAGTGTGTGTGCGTGCGCATGCACATTTGTCTACAAAGGCTGTGTCTTCAAGAACCAGTGAAATACTAGAGATGGGAGATTGAGGCAGGCTCTTTCTGCCTAGGCGCACTCCTGGTCCATAAGGATTTCGTGAGCTCTCGTATTTGGGGCAGCCGTGGCTTGCTCATTCATTCCTGTGGGTCTTTTGGGGCAGGGGCGGGGAGCTGGGATGTGGCACTAAGTGAAGGTATCTGCTGGAGTTTCTCCATGTGCTTCTCGCCCAGGTCCCCACGCTCGGTCGCTGAACGCCTTGTACTGGCGGGTATCGCGCTTGGCTCCGCTTCGCAGCAACCAGCAGCGCTTCCACGCTTTCATCCTGGGCCTCCTGAAGTGAGTAGAAGACATGGGCGGGGGGGGGGCTGTAGCTCATCTGCCTTACATGCAGGAGATTCCCGCATGTTCAGTCCCCAATGGCATCTCCAGGTCAGGCTGGGAATGTCCCCTGCCTGAAACCCTGGATTGCTGCTGCCAGTCAGTATAGACAATATTGACCAAGCATATCACACGGTGCAAGGCAACTTAAATCTTCCTTTTTTTTTTTAGAATAATATTTATTATGTTTTCCATTTTAACAAGCCAATAAAAGCCACTTTGGAAACATTCCAAATTATAATGCAATCAAACAGTCCAAATTTTATGCCAAATTATAACGCGGGTGGTGCTGTGAGTTAAACCACAGAGCCTAGGACTTGCCGATCAGAAGGTCTGCAGTTCGAATCCCCGCGACGGGGTGAGCTCCCGTTGCTTGGTCCCTGCTCCTGCCAACCTAGCAGTTCGAAAGCACCTCAAAGTGCAAGTAGATAAATAGGTAAACGGCGGGAAGGTAAACGGCGTTTCCGTGCACTGGTCTGGTTCGCCAGAAGCAGCTTAGTCATGCTGGCCACATGACCCGGAAGCTGTACGCCGGCTCCCTCCGCCAATAAAGCGAGATGAGTGCCACAACCCCAGAGTTGTCTGCGATTGGACCTAATGGTCAGGGGTCCCTTTACCTTTACTTTTTTATAAATCTTTGGTTGACTCCCCATGCTCTGAAGTTTGGGGAATGATGATCTCACATTGTGCTGCATTCCTTAATTCATCCAGGTAATTCCAACGAAACATTCCAGTGTCGATCCTTCATTTATAATTAACAGCCTCTGAATTTGTCCAGCAGGCGGATTCGTCCTGCAAGGCAACTTAAATCAGCCCTTTACTCAAATCCATGAGGACTAGGGTCTTGCTTTCTTTTTAGGGCCAAGGCCCATAGCGCAGTGAGGGAGCATTTCCTTTGCATGCCCAAAGGTCTCAGCTGCAACCTTTGCAACCTCCCTGAGGGGGGAAGGATCCCTACCCGAAACCCTGGAGAGCTATGCTGGTCAGTATTGAGCCAGGTAGACCCAAAGGTCTGATTCTACAAGGCAGCTTTCAGGCATTGCTACGTTTGATGCTAAAACCCTTTGTCTTGGCTTGTTCGTCCGTAGCATGATGTCCCAAACGCATCATTGAGACTGGAGGCAAGTCTCCCTTCAGTAGAAGTACGGACTTGGCAAAGAACTCTTAACTTCTGGCTCCGCCTAAACTCAAATCCCCCCCCCCCCGGTTTACTATCCCTAGTACTTCAAGACTCCCATAAAAGTGCCTGGCTTAAAACTGTCTATCAAAAACTTCACTCTTGTGGCCTATCCCCCCAACACCTACTCACAATGGGCCCCACTAAAGCAAACAGTCTAATTGGTCAACGTCTAAAAGATACCGAGCATCAGAACAACCTGGCCACTATAAGGAAATTCTGCCCTTGGCATGTTCATTTTCCACCTCTCCATTGTGATTCTCTGGCCCCATATCTGCACAAACTTATTATCCCAAAATACAGACGTGCTTTTACACTTGCAAGACTGGATGTTTTGCCATCTGCGGTACTTGAGGGTCGATTCCAAAAGATCCCGCCTGAGGAACGCCTTTGGCCCTGTGGAGATGGTAGCACCGAAACAGCGGCACACGTCCTCCTGTCCTGTACTCTCTACAAAGACCTGAGGAACCAGATCATCACCCCACTCGTACTAACCATCCCAGGGCACTCAACCACTGCCACAATATCCTTTCTTCTATCAGATCAAAATGAGCAGATAACAGCAAAGGTTGCTAGGTTCATAGCAGGGGCAATCAGAATAAGGGCCACTAACTGTCGGCTGATTCAGGACTTTAAATTGTGCTCTTATATCACATTTCCTTTTCTGCGTATACTGTAATGTTTTACTGTTGCTATGGCCATTGGCTAATGCGAATAAAGTTTTATCTCATCTATCTTATCTCCGTAGCATGAAGCAGTTGGAGCAGTGGTTTGCCAACCTGCAGCGGAACTCAGGTAAATTTGGGGCACCCCACGTTTTTTATTAGCACCTCCACGACGTACTGATATTAGGCAAGTGCCTGTGCATTACTCTTTTCGGTGCCTGCTAAAACCCTTTTTTGTTTAAGCACGCCTACCATAGAATCATAGAGTTGGAAGGGACCCTATGGGTCATCTAGTCCAACCCCCCCTGCAATGCAGGAATCTCAACCCAGGCACGTATTTGAATATAAGCTTTAATATTTGGAACTGCAGGGGGCAAGGAGAGGGAATGCTGGTTTTAGTTTATATCTTTAAATTTGTTAGGTTCACTTGTGGTTTTTTTAAATACACAAGAATTAGAAATTTGGTGGTGGTGGTTCTTTTAAAAAGTGAAAATGGAAGATTAATTCTGCTCCCTGGTGTCACAGCCTCTACTTTCACCCCCACCCTGTGCTCCTGGAAAATTACAGAATTGTACATTTGGAAGGGACCCCAAGAATCACCTAGTCCAACTCCCTGCATGGACAGCCCTTCTCAAACTGGGGTCCCCAGCTGCTCTTGGACTACAACTCCCATCATCCCTGACCACTGGTCCTGGTAGCCGGGGATGCTGGGAGTTGTAGTCCAACAACAAGGTTGACTTAGAGGGCTGCGTTTCTGACCTGTTCATGCCGTCTCCCGACCCCACAGAGCTGATCTCGGCGCTGTACTTGCCCACCGCCTTCCTGGTACTCAGCCAAGGCTTCTGCCGCCGCTGGGCCGACGAACTCCTCCTGCTGCTCCAACCGCTCTCCATGCTGACCTTCCAGCTGGACCTCCTCTTTGAGCACCAGCACCTGCCCCTCGACGTCCGGCCGCCACCCCGGCGTCCCACCCCACCGACTGAGCTGCTGGCCGGTACCCAAAAGGCTCGTGGAGGGAGCCGAGTCGCTTTGCCCAAACGCCCACCTCCTCTCGCCGGCCTGGCGGAAGGGCCCGTGGCCCAATCCAGCCCGCTCCACGAGCCCCAGGCCGGGCCGCCTTTGCACCAGAGACTCCTGCGGTGGGGCGACCGGCTGAGCCACACCTTCCGAGGCGGCGAGGGAGCCCCCGGGGCGGAGGCTGGCGCTGAAGGGAGCTACCAGGAGAGCGAAGAGAAGCAACAAAGCTGGTGGGAGCAGCTGAGCCGGGCCTCGGGGGTCTACGGCGAGCCCCCGAAGCAGGAGGGCTTCCCTCACACCCACTGGTCCAAGCTGAGGGCGGCTCTGGGAGAAGCCGTGGAGGTGGCCCGCAGCGGGGCTGGAGAAGCTAGCGTGAGCCCCGACGTGCTGCCCCAAGCGCCCAGCCCCAGAGGAAGCAGCTCAGTGGAGAGCCCAAGGCAGGCACCCGCTGCCTGCGAAGAAGGCAGCTCACCCCTAGGGGAAGCTGCAGGGAAGCCAGAGGCGACCTGCTTGCCCGATGCCCAGGAGGCAGCCGAAAAGCTTGAGGGCGCTGGAACTGCAAAGGGAAACTGGCTAGGGTGGCTCTTCGGAGCAGCCGCTCCAGGATGCGCCAACGAGGCCGATTCTCACCTGTCGAAATCCAGGTAAGTGGATGGCCGGTGGGGACGGGACCTGAAGCCCATAGCTGTCAACCTTCCCTTTTTTTTGCGGGAAATTCCCTTATTCCAGAGCTGCTTCCTGCTGCTATCCCGGATTGTTAGATATCCCGTAGACTGTCCCCAGGACAGGTGAGGCTGCTGATCCCTTAAATTTCGAGGCTCCCCGGGACAGGTGAGGCTGCTGATTCCTTATTTTCGAGGCTGCTGATCCCTTATTTTCAAATCTGAAAGTTGACAGCTATGCCTGAAGCCAGCAGGCCAAATGCGGCCCTCTGAGCCTCTCTATGTGGCCCTTGGAACTATCCCTCAGCCCACACCCCTTCTTCCAGGGCACACCCCTCACCAGCACTGCTTCCCACCCTCCTAGAGCATTTTCGCTTGTCTGAAATTGGGACTCCGATCCCTTGAGAACTAACCTCCCATACAATGGAAATATTGACATCAGTTTCTCCGCCAACTTTTGCCTTTGGCCCCACCCACTACTTTCATGTGGCCCCCAGAAGGTTGCCCTCAGAAGGGAATGTGGCCCTCAAGCTGGAAAAAGCTTCTCTGCCCCTGAGTTTAAAGCGATTTGATCAGAAGTAGCAGCTCCCTAGGAAATATATAAGGCAAGTTATTCTCGCCATCTCCCGCTTGTGAACTTGGTCCTTGCCAGCACTCAGAATTAGCCAAGTAAGACAGACTTGTGCCCTGAGGTCAGCATGGTTCTCCCTAATTTTTCCCAGCGAACTCCTGGTTTGCCGGAAGGGATAAAGACACCGCTCTGCCTGAAAAACTGGGATTTGAACCCAGGCCTTCCAGACTCAAAAGTTAGGACTGTCCCCTGCCTAATACTCCAACCAAGTGCCCAACATTCAGGCAGTTTCCCCTAAATGTCTCTAATTAAAATTGCACCCCCAATGGCAAAAAAGTGGGTTTTTCTCGTGGTTCAAGTATATTCTCTTTCCTATCCAAGCAGGCGCCCGTCGAGCTGGTTGCCGCCCACCATGAACATCCTGGCTCTGGTGATGAAGGGGGCACCGGCTGAGAAGAGCTGGCCAGAGGAATCATGGGAAGACGTCCCACCAAGCCCACAACAGCCATACAGGTGAGCCATCCTCTCTCCGTGCCCAGGGCTGCAACAAAGTGTTGCAGCGTGAAGTGCTTCTGCTGGGGGTTTCAGGCACACCACTCTATTACCCCTCCCGCTCTGGGTTTTCCATCAGTACCCCTCCCTCAGTCTGTATTCTGTGCCCACTGAGCATTCTTGGTGCTCCTTGGGCTCGGAAGAGGGAGATGTGTCCCCCTTAATATTTTCCTTTCCTTTCCTAAACATTTCTTAGTACTTCTGCAAAGACTTTGGCGTGGTAGAGCATGAGACTCTTGATCTCAAGGTCGTGGGTTCGAGCCCCACGTTGGGCAAATGTTTCCTGCATTGCAGGGGTTGGACTGGATGACCCTCGTGGTCCCTTCCAACTCTAGATTCCCTGAATCTGCCAATTCTTCTGAGTGGCCATATTGGGTACTTAAAGCAACGGTACTTACAGGAAGCTTGATGCATATCTAGTCAGACCATGGCCTCATCCAGTATACCTGAAGGAGCATCTCCACCTCCATCGTTCTGCCCGGACACTGAGGTCCAGCACCAAGGGCCTTCTGGCGGTTCCCTCGCTTCGAGAAGCCAAGTTACAGGGAACCAGGCAGAGGGCCTTTTCGGTAGTAGCGCCCGCCCTGTGGAACGCCCTCCCACCGGATGTCAAAGAGAAAAATAATTACCAAACGTTTAGAAGACATCTGAAGGCAGCCCTGTTTAGGGAAGTTTTTAATGTTTAATAGGTTACTGTATTTTAGTGTTTTGTTGGAAGCTGCCCAGAGTGGCTGGGGAAACCCAGCCAGATGGGCGGGGTATAAATAAATTATTATTATTATTATTATTATTAGCTACACTCTGGAGGTGCCATTGGGGACTGAACCTTCTGCATGCAATGGTGGTGTTTCCTGCCCCTTCCCCTAGCAGCCTTTCTCAACCTGTGGGTCCCGATGTTGTTGAACTAGAACTCCCATCACTCCTAACTAGCAAGGCCAGAGCTCAGGGATGATGGGAGTTGTAGTCCAACAACATCTGGGGACCCACAGGTTGAGAACCGCTGCCTAAGGGATGTGCACTTTGAAAGGAGACCCGTCTGTGTTTTGGGTGTTTGTCACCCCCCGCTCAGTCTGTGTCGTCCCTCTGACTCCATCCAGGGCCGTTCGCGCTCTCTGCGACCACGCCGGGAGCCGGGACGACCACCTCAGCTTCCGCAAAGGCGACGTCTTGCGGGTCCTGGACACGGTGGACGAAGACTGGATCCAGTGTTGCCACGGAGACCGCCGAGGCCTAGTCCCCGTCGGCTACACCTCTCTCATCCTGTGAACTGCGCAGGGAGGTGGCAAGGCTGCGGCTGTTGTGGGGGGAAGTGGGGCACACCAGAGGATCACCCCACTCCTGCCTACACACAAACACACTTTATAAACGCACCGCTGAAGGAATTTCAACAAAATGACATGGACACTAAGAACCTGAGGGTGCCTACTTCCCCTCACCCAGATTGCACCCTGGTTTATCCTCATGAACCCCAAACCGATGTCTCTGTTCTTCCCCCCTCCCCTCCGGCTGCGGGTGCAAATTCTGCCGCAGGGGGTTGGCAGAGCTCCCACCGCCTCACCGTTTCCTTCTTTCGAACTCTTCTCCTGCCTCTCGCCTGACTTAGCCAACTGCCCTTCTGCTCTTCCCACCCCCCGAATCACACGTTTAACCGCTTGTGCTTGCTGCTTTCCACGATCGTGTAACACACACACACACTGTCGGCCAAACTATGGTTCTCATCTGTATATTGCATATATCTGTGTAGATATACATACATATATATATATATATAATATTATATATTTCACCTTTCCTGCTGCTTTCGTCTTGCGGGCGATCCTCACGTCTCTCTCCCCTCCCCACCCTGAAGCGATGTCGATCGTAGAACTGGAGACTTGGAAGGGACCCCTGAGGGGCATCTAGTCCAACCCCCTGCGGTATAGGTCACCAGCCAAGTGGATCGGGACCCGTCTGGAATGGCTGTCCCTACAGGGCCCCCTCTTGAACATCCACCCAGCCCCAAAACCGCGACAGAAACGGCTCCTGTCTGAAGACGGGCACCATCCATTAAGAGATTGTGCAGAAGGGAGGGAAATAAAGGTTGTGCGAAAAGACAAGCAAAGAGGCGTCACCGTGTGAGATTGAATTGCTGCAGGCTGCACGTCTCCAAAGGGTGCGGCTTGAGAAAGATTGGTTGGCAAGCGGGGGCCCCAATGAAATGTTGCAGCCCTCTCCCAGGATACTCCATTGCACCCCCCACCCCCTTGCCATTGCTCCCAAGCCTGCATCAAGACAGCTGGCATTCAGCGAGGCCAAAGGATGCATGGGCGGTTAGTGTGGGTGAGGGTTGCAATTTTAATTTGCTGGGTGGGAGGCAAGGAATAGTGCGTCTAGCTGTTATCAGGGGGTCGGGCAACACTGATCGGCTTTGCCTGACCCCTTCCCCACAGTGCTGTGTGGCAAGTGGCTTTTGAAACGAGTTTCCAAGCAGGTTGCAATATGGTGTGGGCAGAAATCCACACTGGCTTTGCCCAACCTTTCTGAACTGTAGTTCTGAGTTCCCCAGCTGCTACTCAAAGGAGGCTGGCCCTTTAAGAGTTAATGGGTCACTGTCCCAGCAGCCTCGATCTGCCCTCAATCAGCTCCCATTTGCCTGCCTGCAAAATGATCTCTGCTGGATCCAACCAAAGGCCTTTCTAGTCCCTTATAGAAATGGAAAACCAGAGTTTGAGAGCACAATTTCTCTGAACACCAGTTGCTGGGGAGCAAGAGCAGGAGAGAAACGATGCTCTCATGCTCTGGTTTTCCATTTCTATATGGGGCTAGAGTCTGGCCTTTGGTTGGATCCAGCATGGATCATTTTGCGCCTAGATAGGATAGAAATAGAATCCGGACCTAGGAAGGAGCTGGCTTATACTGTGCAGACTTCAGACTCTTAGTCCAGTGTTCCCAAATTAGGGTTTCCAGCTGCTTTGGGATTACAATTCCCATCATCCTTGCTAGCTAGAGATGGGAGTTGTAGTCCAAAAACAACTGGGTACCCAACTTTGGGAAACACTGCTTAGTCCAGGTAGCTCTGTATTGCCTACGCTGACTGGCAGAAGCTCTCCGGGGATCCAGAGGGGTGTGTGTGTCTTTCCTAGCCTTACGTGGATGTCGAGACCTATTTGCAAAACAGATGCTCTCCCATTGAGCATCCCCCAAGTTTCAGACAGGGGGCACTACCTAGAGATGAAGGAAGCTGAATCTAGGACCTTCTACATTCAGATCAGATGCTCTACTACTGAGCTACAGCCCATCTTGCTTTCCCTCTCCCCTCCCAATAAGCCCCCCCAGTGAATCAAGGCCTGCTAGCCTCCCAGCCACATCTGGCTATTCTTTCTACGCTACAAGATTTCCTTTCTGCGACCTGCATCTTGCCAGGTATATAACTGGAGCTGTTGGGCACCCCTTTTAATAAAGACCAACCCAATTCCCCCCGCTCTAGCAGATCTAAATGCAAACATCTTGTAGTCACAGCCACTTCCAAAGCTGAGCTAGGAAGACTAAGGGAATGGTCACTAGTTATGGGCAGGATTCAATCACACACTGGCCAATCCAAGTTGTGCAATTCTAGTCTTGCACAACAAACCAGCTTCCCCAAAAGTTTGGAATTGTTGCAGGAAAGAAAGTTCAGGCAGGAACACACTGGAGAGCATGGGATGACACGCTTGTTTTGATGTTGCAGCATCCAACCTTTGGGGCAAACCAGAATGAATGTGCATTGAATAGTCAACGTCGTCTTGCAAACAAATCCAGATGGAAAGCTCAATGAACAGACTGGATGCACTTTTAAGTACAGTATTGACATGTGTGACTGTCAAAAGACCAGAACCTCCCCCTTGTGGTCATATGTTGAAACAAAACCTTCAAAAAAATTGTGGAGTTCTATTGTACATACTTTTATGATTCTCCTTTTGGGAAAATAAAATCCATAAAAGGTGCCACCTGTTTCCCTATTGAGAAAATATTAAAGAGGCTTGTTTGATTTCTTAATACATCAAGAAAGATAAAATAAAATCCAGGGAGTGAAGATATGACAAAGGCTTAGATAAAATCTGAGCTTCGGAGATGTGACTCTCTGTGCCAATTAGATATGTGTATTTAATGAAACCAATTAGCAAATAAAAAAGAAGGCATTTCTCCACACAAGGCCAGGGATGTAACATGATGAGTCATGTACCACCTACTGGCAGCCATGTGAACTGCAACGTGACAACAACCTTACATTTTTATGTGTATAGGAAGATACATGTTTGTGTACAAAAGTGCAGAACAAGTGAAAAAGAAAAACACCCAAGCCATTGAATAGGAAACATTTTTTTTCCATTTAATACTAGAATCTCTCAGTATTTGAGATGCAGGCCTTTTATGCAATTACATCCAATGTTAAAATTGGTAATACATAATTTACAAAGATTAACATCAAAACAATGGTCTATTTAGATATGCTCTTGTAAAAAGGAAATATCTTAGCAGCATTTCTCCTCAGCAACCACACGGCCTATCCCCATGCAGACTAAAAAGAGTTCGTATCTATATTTGCAACAAACGTAGTGCTTTTCCCTCCCCTCCCCATTTTCCTGGGCTTCTATCAGCGATCAGGTGAAACGCTGCCAGTCTCCTCAGTTAATACAAAATAAGCCACCCACCCACCCAGAATTTTTTTTAAAAAGTCAGTAATTTTCTACACCAGTAAGAAAACAAAACCAAAAACTTAAAAAAACCCCAAAACCAACAAATTCTTCGCACTTACCTAGAATTTGATTGTCTAAAAAACATTGTTTTTAGTCTTTCAACGAAAGAAAGATAAAATGGCAGAGCTAGTGTCTCGCATCAGGGCAAGCTTTTCATTATTCTTCTTTAAAAGGACTTCTCATGGTTTTTTTTCTTTCTTTTTTTTTAGTGTTTAACACCATTTTGAGATGACGATTTCCCCCCCGTTTTGAACTAAATGGAGCGACTCAAAAGATTTTTCAGACATGCGATTTTTTTAAAACTTTTTTTCCCCCTACGACACGCATGAGTATTTAATACTCAGGGTTCTCCTGTACAATGCTTCTCTACAGTAAGAAAATATTCCAAACTATTTTCTTATTTGTCTTCTCTTTTTTTTTAATAAAATATGCTTTCCCCCCTCCTCCTCTTCTTTCCCACCCCTCTCTTGCCCCCCGCCCCCACCCCAAACTTTTTTTTTTTTAAATCGCCAGGTTAAAATTTGAATGGAATGGACCCTTTTGTTGTTGTTATTGTTCCAAACGAAGAGTAAAATAAGGATTATATAGTCAACGAGAATGTACAATCAGGACAAAGGTTGGTCCGTCGGGAAGGAACACGGAGAGAGATTGTGAGAGAGAGCTACCATATTGCTTTACAACCACACAGCAAAGGAAGGGGGAGGAAGAGAGAGGAAGATTTAAGATATATACAACTTGGCACATTTAAAAACGGGATTCTTTCGTAAGGACATCTAAAACAGGACCATAATATGCATATGAACGCCAAAGAGAGACTGAGAGCAAAGCCACGTTTAAAGGGCCAGTGTATGCCTAACTGCCAGCTCCCTTTGCCCGTGCATCTGCCCGTAAGTTGCTGGTGTCCGGAGGGAGGGGGACATGTGGTACGTCATCACGGAGTGACGCCCCTCCCTTGGGCCTGGCACCGGACGACAGCAACTAGGGCGGCTGAACACCCTACTGCGTTAACACTTGTGTCTTTTTAATCCACCCCCCTCCTTGGATTAAGGGCAGAGAGAGAGGCGGGAAGAGTAATATACACTGTCTCTTTAAGAGACGGACGCTTTTAAGCTGTACAGGTTTTATATTTTTTTTTTCTTCTTTTTCTTAAAAAAAAAAGAAACACACAGAGTAGTGTTAATCAGTGGATAATAGTCTACAGTTTCACAACAAATACGCGCTCAGAAAATACTGCTTGACGGTTCATGTAGTGAAAGGTTGGTTTTTGTCTGTTTGCTTTTGTTGTTTTGACAGTTTTCCTTTGTTTTTGTTTTTTGTCTTTGAAAGTTTTCACAATGCACTGGACACACAAGAACCACAGCTTATTTAATTTTTTTCTTTTTTCTTATATATATATATATATATTTATATATAAAACCCAACCGAAAACACTAAAACGAAAAATAAGTAAAACAGGGTGGACTTGGCTTTATAAAAAATCTTCTGCAGCAAAATAAATGGGGGGGGGAGGGATAGAGAGAGAAATTAAAACCACCGTTGTTCTCCTTGACTGCCCACCCCACCCCCACCCCGAGGTGCAGAACGCAGAACCAACTGCTTTCATTTCAAGTCCGTGGCCTCCGTGGCGATGGGGCGCTTTCCACGCAGAATGTCCGACAGCCCCCTCACGCTCAGAGCGCCACGCTTCCTCTGTTGCATCTTGCGCAAAATCGAAGATCTCGCCCTCCCCCTCCCTGTATCTTCGGCCCCTCAGGGCCCGGACACTTCCTCATGCCGTCACCTCCGCCCTCCCAAACAACTTCCGAAATCAGACTGTTGCGCCAGCTGAACGAGAAATGATGCGGGTTCCTTCGGAAAGAGCGTGGTTCCGAACCGGTTCACCAACCCGCCCACCTTGTACACCCCACTTTCCCCTCCCTTTGGCGCAGGGACGCTGGGGTGGGGAGGGTGGAGGGGAATAAGTTAAACTAAAATTTGACCGTCTTGGACAAAGAACCACAAGGTGTGGTTTTTTCCTTAGTACCTCAACATTGACAACAAGGCACGCCCGACACCACACACATCGTAAGACCACTGCCAGGCAGGCCGCGGGTGAAGGGGCAGGGTGGCACGCCTGCCCAACCGTTTCTTCTAAGTGCTACAGAACCGTGGGGTTTTTTTTTTTTGTGTGTGTGTGTGTGTCAGTTTCCTCTTGCCCACCTGATGCCCTCAACGCACACTGCAGAGGCACAGGAAGGCGGCAAAGCCTCGCCCATCCAAGTCCGTCTCACGTACAATCCGACAGCGGAAAACTCCAGGCCGCAGCCTCTGTCCCCGGGGCACAGCGTCACTTCCGAAAGCTGCTCTCGGGAAGAACCAGAGTGCGCCGCCGCAGCTTCCTCCCCGAACCTTCCTCTAGCAGGTACGTGACGTCAATGGCTGGAAGAGACACACGCACCAAAGAGAAATAACAGTGTGGACTTAAGAGAGCAAACGCTCTTGGAACCCAAGAAAGATGCTTTGCTACTTGGTGAAGAACCTCAGACCCAGGGGGCAGACGCCTCTCTCCCTCAGGCCATGCCCCCCACCAGCCTTGCTCTGTACCACAGAGGACCTTAAGGTCCAAAAATAGCAACACCCTAGAGGTCCCAGGCCCTAAGGAAGTTAGATTAGCCTCAACCAGAGCCAGGGCCTTTTCAACACTGGTGGAACGCTCTGTCTCATGAGACCAGGGCCTTGCGGGATCTGATTTCTTTCCGCAGGGCCTGTAAGACAGAGTTGTTCTGCGGGGCCTTTGGCTTAGAATCAGTTTGATTCCCTCCCCCTCTCTCTTTTTTCCTTTCTCCTCCTGCGAAGAGGCTGCATCTTAATGTTTTAATGTATTTTAATCAACTTATTTTTATTATTGGTTGTTAGCCGCCCTGAGCCCAGTCTTTGCTGGGGAGGGCAGGGTATAAATAAAAATTATTATTATTGTTGTTATTATTATTATTATTATTATTATTACCAGCTGGGCTAGCTTTTGGTGTGATGATTATCTGGGCTGCTTTACTCGAGCTCCCCCACTCCCCAAAAAGTTGGGAGCTACTTTACATTACTAACAATCCTCTAACTTTAAAAGAGGTTTCTGGAAAGGGGAATTTGGGGGGGGGAGAAGAGGGGGCTGCGCTCTTGCCTCTTACCATTTTTCCCTGGGATTTTCTCTAGGAGGGTGAGGAGGATGAGGTTGAGCCTCTCTCGCTGCATGTGCCTGCGTTCCTCCGGGGTGCAGGGCCGCCTGGGGACGGGGCTGCTCTCCTCCACCTTTTTCTCCACCTCGCCACTCTCCTGGGGGGGCGCCTCTTTCTCTGGCTCCTCCAGGCTTGGCGCCGGCTCGCTGGGAGCCTGGTCCTGACTCACGATCACGTCTTCCATCAGCGGCAGGGGGTCCTCCTCTTGGCTCAGGTCTTTGTTCTGGGGCTTGGAACGGTCAGACTTCCAAGATGACCTGAGGAAGGAGATGTCAGCCACATGTCAGGGGGAGAACCTTCCAACATGGTCCTCCCTCTCTCTCTCTCTCTCACACACACACACGGGAGGGATGCACACTGCTGCTGCAGCTTGCACTCCTGTGCTGAGGGCTCCCTGTCCTTCCTCTCTAGATCTCTGAAAGGGGTCATGTTTGGGAGGCAATCCCCCCGCCACATACCCCCAGTCTTCCTACATAAGAGGTCACAGAAACCAATCGAGAATGTACCTTTTCAAGGCACTGCACAGAAATGAAGCGGCAAAATTTTGGGCTGCACTACTTCAGGTTGTGAGCAGTGTGTGTGTCTCAGTAGTGTTTTAAATTTGTTGTTAGCCACCCTGAGCCCGGTTTTCTGAACCAGGAAGGTAAAGGTAAAGGTAAAGGGACCCCTGACCATTAGGCCCAGTTGTGATCGACTCTGGGGTTGCGGCGCTCATCTCGCTTTATTGGCCAAGGGAGCCGGCGTACAGCTTCTGAGTCATGTGGCCAGCATGACTAAGCCTCTTCTGGTGACCAGAGCAGCACGCGGAAATGCCGTTTACCTTCCCACCGGAGCGGTACCTATTCATCTACTTGCACTTTGACGTGCTTTCGAACTGCTAGGTGGGCAGTAGCAGGGACTGAGCAACGAGAGCTCACCCCGTCGCGGGGATTCAAACCGCCGACCTTCTGATCAGCAAGTCCTAGGCTCTGTGGTTTAACCCACAGCGCCACCCACATCCCTAACCAGGAAGGGTGGGGTATAAATAAAAAAATATTATTATTACTCTGGGCTTTTGCATAGAAAACACTCCAAACCCCAATGGCATCTCCAGGTGAGGCTGGGAGAGACTCCTGCGTGAAACCTGGCAGAGCCACTGCCAGTCCTTGTGGACAATGCCAGGCTATAGGAGTCAATGGTCTCACTCTGTTTAAGGCGGCAGCTCCTCCTCCTCAGAGGAACACCACACTAGGGAGCGGGGCTTGGAGGAAAGCACACACACACACACATGTCACTTCTGCTCCATTTGATTTTTTTCCAGACCTCTGAGAGTGGCTGCCTCACTACTGCTCTGGGAGGTTTTTAAAAATTTGCTCAAGAGCAGAGCAAACATCCTTTAAACAAGTATAAGTATAGTGAAAACACCTTCTTTTGCTTGCCGTCAACTTGCTGCCAAGTTCCACTGGTGACCCTGAGTTCTGGGAGTTGTGGGAATCCTGGGTTATGGCATGCCTCACTTTATTACCACCATCCTATCAGCTTTTGGGGGGGGGAGATTGAGGGACAAAGCCCCTCTTTCTATGATCCTGTCCCTGAACTGCCCAGAGTCATTTCTACTGAGGGAGCACCACACCCCACTTGCATGCTGCCTCAGCTTTCTGCTAGCGGCCTTGCAGGATGCCTTCTCTGTACTGCTTAAGTGTCGCAGGCAAGCTATGCTGCTCTTGCTCCCATCCTGTCTAACTCAAAGGAAGGCAAGGGAAGTGCCATTTGTGCTGCAGTTAAGCAACTGAGTGCAGGAGCTCCAAAAAGGTCTCTGCGGAAGCACCCACCACACTGAAGGCCCGAAAAAAAAAAAAAAGAAAAAAAAGGAGCCAAAAGAAGCTAAGGCAACTCACCTGCCTCCATTCCTCTTGTAGTTGTCAGGTACATAATGAGGCTGCAATGGAGAGTAAAAGAGAACCAAGTGAAAGTTCAGAAGAGGCTTAATGCTGTAAGCGCAGAGAAATAGCACCTGCCTTGCTTGCAGAAGGTTCCAGGTTCAAATCCCTGGGTAGGGCTAGGAAAGACTCCCTGTCTGGAACCCAGGAGACCTGCTGTCAGTCAGTGTCAACACAGCTGAACCAATCACCTGACATGGTAGGGGGCAGATTCCCATGCTCCTCTTTAATTCCACCCTATATATTCAGCAGCATGAGAGCTGGCATCTTAGGTTATTTTACTTGAAGCTCAGTGGTAAAGTATGTGGAATTGAGGGGGGGGGAGAATGTGATTATACTATAATGCAGGTGCTTATCAATGTACTGCTTGGAAGAGCCTCCCACTCTTGCCACTGCTGCAAAGGAAATCAGATCTGAAGTCAAAGGAAATCAGGTCTGAATTCATCCGGGAGATGGCAGCTTCCTGCAAAGGGTGGCAACTTAAGAGAGATGCTCTGATTGGAGTTGCCTGTGGCTTAACCTTATTATTCCACCCTTGTGTCCGTAGGAACAACCAGTTTGTGGTTACTGATGTTCGCTTGTAACAAACTAAATGAAAGCAGAGTTTTAGCGTGTGGGTTAGGATTCCCCTTGATGCCAGAGAGAGAAGTCGTGGAGCCGCTCACCGAAAAGTCTCTCTTCGGCGTCATCCTTTTGGGGAAGTGGTCGAAGGCGTAGGACTTGGTGCAGACTGGGTAGCGGTTCCGGTGGATCTTGTAGAAAAGGTGGGCTGACTTGTCGAGGCGGTAGTCGCAGATGTAGACGTCCTGCTCCTTCACCCCCTTTGGCCTTCCTGTAGGGAATTTTGGCACAGCAAGAATATCAGGTGAGGCAGCGTGCCAAGAATCAAAATAAGCATGACTACGGAGCTTAGCTGTTCCAAATTCCTCCTGGCAGGGCTGGAGAGGGTTTTTAAAACTAAAGGAACTTGCCACCCTCGCAAAACTGCAGGATATTGTCTTTTTAATCCTTGTTACTGTAACTTTCCCTGGACGGAAGCAAATGTTTGTCCCCGCATTTAAAAAGAAAACAACTCCTTCTTTATTCTTACCTCCAAATGAAGGTTTAGCATGTGGAAGTGGTTAAGAATTGGGGGCCAACCTTCTGGTTTTCAGCACAATTCGCTTTCAGGTTAGCTACATCCGAGGGCAGGTAATTCTGCTGTGTGTGTCTGCCTGGTGAGTAGCTAAAACTGGTTCACTTAACCCTCAGCACATAGATGCAGCAAGGCCTGCCTGCCTCCTGCAGGTGCTGGCGCCCAGGCTAAAGCAGTGAACCTTGCACAGATACATGTATGGAAGGGCCACAGCTCAGTTGCAGAGCATCTGCTTTGCATGCAGAAGGTCCCAGGTGCAATCCCTGGCATCTCCAGGTAGGGCTGAGACTTTTGCCTGAATCCCTGGAGAGCTGCTGATGCTGCCAGTCAACGGGTAGACAACGCTGAGTAAGATGCAGAAAGGAATGACTCGGCATGAGGCAGCTTTCTGTGGTCTGTGTTCTACAGGGAACGGAAGTTAAGTCTGTGCTGTTGGACGAGACCAAAAGGGCCCAGCAGCCAGTTTTCTACAGAGGACCAAGCTGACACTCCTGGGTAGACCAGAGGCACAGCTTGAAGGTAACAGAATGTGTCAGGGGTCAGCAAGGCTTACTGGGCATGGGCCAGACCACTCCCGCGGAGTTCCTCCATGAGCCGGAATGGCGCAGTGCGATGCTGGAAATCGCGTCTGCACATGTCCGTGGCACCGGAAATCACTTCTGCACATGCCCAGATGCAGGAAATCACATCTGTTCATGTCCGTGGTGCCAGAAATTGCTTCTGTGCATGCCCAGACATCGGAAATTGCGCTTGTGCAGAAGCAATTACCGGTGTCTGGGCATGTGCAGAAGCAATTTCCGGAGCCGCAGAAGAAAGTCCCCACACGCGCTGCGCCAGTTTAGCGCAGCGCGTGGGGACTCACCAAGCAGGCAGCTTGGTTTGGGGCCAGCTCATGGGCCGGTTAAGCGACCCTCATGGGCTGCTTCCGGCCCATGGGCCTTAGGTTGCCGGTGTCTGGGCTGTGTCCTCCACCCCATCTTCTCAGCAACTGGCGTTCAGAGATTCCATTCAATCATCACAGCTATAAGCAGCTGTTGACAGAAGCTTCACAGAGGTCTACCAGCCATCTTATTTTAATGTCACCTGAGAGCCACGATCCATCATCAGATACGGTGACAGAACCACTGAAATTAATGGGCATGAACAGCTTTCGCTCCACGAATTTCAACGATCCTCCTGTGGATTTTAGGCGGATACCTCCTGTCTGGCCTAGAATCCTCCTTTATTGGCCTTTACCGTCAAGAGTGATTTAAATGGGTGACTCTCCGGAGCTCGAAGCAGCAGGGAAGGAAAAACACTTCTCTACATTCATTTTCTCTACCCTGTGCCTAATTTTATAAACTTCTGATGGTGCCTCCTCCCTGACCGTTAAAAAGGAAACGCTTTGGATTTCCCTGTGAGAAAGATGCTCATCCTCCTCTTTGCCCCAATCATTTCTTTGTTGTTCCCTAACTTCAGGGTTGGGACGCGGGTGGCGCTGTGGGTTAAAGCCTCAGCGCCTAGGGCTTGTCAATCAAAAGGTCGGCGGTTCGAATCCCCGCGGCGGGGTGCGCTCCCGTTGCTCGGTCCCAGCGCCTGCCAACCTAGCAGTTCGAAAGCACCCCCAGATGCAAGTAGATAAATAGGGACCGCTTACTGGCGGGAAGGTAAACGGCGTTTCCGTGTGCTGCGCTGGCTCGCCAGATGCAGCGATGTCATGCTGGCCACGTGACCCGGAAGTGTCTCCGGACAGCGCTGGCTCCGGCCTATAGAGTGAGATGAGCGCACAACCCCGGAGTCTGTCAAGACTGGCCCGTACGGGCAGGGGTACCTTTACCTTTACCTTAATCTCAGGGTTGGGGGTTCAAGCCCCATATTGGGCAAAAATATTCCTGCGCTGCAGAGGGTTGGACTAGATGACTCTTAAGGGTTCTATTGTTCTATGGTTTGCACTTTTCCCAGCTCTAGCATCTCCTTTTTAGACAGGACACAACCAGAACTGTGAAGAGTGTGTACAGGCTGCTGAAGGGGGTATTTCAGGGCTCAAACAGGAGCCTTTACCTATTTACACCTGGCACTGTGTGCTGGGGAGCACAACAGCCTGGGATCATAGGTCCCCCTGGAGAGAAAAACCAAGTGGCTCCAGGCCGCCGGGAGCATTGACTTGCCTTTGCAATAGGTGTAGAGATCCAGGACGCAGCAGGTGCCCACCACGGCCTCCAAGGGGATGATCTCGTACAGCGGTACCCGGAACAGCTCGTTGTGGTAGAACTTCCGGGACGGGGAGTGGTGCGTTTCATGCGGACGGAAATAGTGGTGGCCGAAGGCAAACCGTTCCTCCCTAAGGAGGAAAAAAGGAAGGAGGTGTTTTCCATTGGAGCCGAGATGAAGGACCCAACGCACCCACACACTTCTTCTTCCTCCCCGTCCTCTACAGAATTTGCTCCCTTTCGCTAGGCTGACAGCCACAAGCCCTGGGATTCTGACACAATAGGTGAGCTGAGAGGAGAGGTGGTTTGGATGCTGACGATGGAGCACTGACTCATGAGAGTCCCAGCCAGACCCAAGGTGACCTCAGTAAGGGAGCTTGGCTTTTATTCCTCTCCCTCCTGGTTGCCTGCAAATGAATCTGTGTTTACGGAGGAGCTTAATACGATCGCTGTTAAATATAATTAAGTTTTAAGTGTGTACTCGTTGCCAGGCCTCAACTAGAAGCTGGGAATTGATCATTGCCATGTGGAAAAATGCAATTTTACAGCAGAGATTTGGCAGGCACCCTCCTTTTCAGCTTTTAGGCATCTCTCAAAGATGTTTTTATGCTGACTGATTTAGACAGCTGTCGAAACTTTCTTGATTAGCCATTCATTTTAATTATTTGGCTTTTATGGCATTTTATGCTTTTCCGAACTTGTATAGATTGTTGTACACACACCATAATATTTTGTGTAACTTGGTGCGTTTGTATGGTGGCATATGTATATAAATATATATTATAAAAAACAAATATATTTATGGGTGATGAGTGCTGAGGTTCAGATCAGCCAAGCCTAAGATTGAAGATAAAGATCTGAACTGCAGCCATTTCTCAGTGCAGTAAGAGCACACTAGTGGAGGAGCATGATGACATCCTGTGAACCTCTCATTGGTCTCTGGAGACAGGGCTTAGCTGAACCTCCTGTCTGCATTGGACACATCCGCCAAAGGAGGAGAATGATGTCACCCAACGAATGTCCTCCAACCCTCCAGGTCTTGCTGGCTTACAACTGCAGCTTGGCTATTCTTGCTGGCGATCATGGGAGTCCAGCAACATTTGATATGTGTGTGTGTGTGTGTGTGTGTGTGTGTGTGTGTGTGTGTGTGTGTTAGTTATAGGTTACCCACCTCTTTAGTTTTTTCACCACAGGAAAAGAGGTGGGAAAATCTTACGGCTTCATGAACTGCCACCACCTGCTACTTTCATGCGAGGGAAGGACGGGGATGGGAAAATTCTCCAATGACACATTTTTGATGGGAGTCCAATGTGGCTGGTCTCCCACCAAAGGTCAGTGAGATGGAGCTCCGCTTTTTTTAAGCAAGGTGGGGCTGGGACTTACTTCTCGTTCTTCCAGAGCTTTTCGATACGGAAGATGTCGAGTCTCTCTCTGTTGATGTGGGAGAGCAGGCGGTACGACTGCCGGACAGGGTGGCCGTCCGGGGTCCTTCGGCTGTCTCTCATCAGGTACACGCAGTCACCTGTTGATGGGGTGAGGAAGGGCGTATCAGAGCGGCTCTCTCATACCCCAGCAGGGTGGATTTACAGAAGCCTAACAAACTGAGTGGCGGTAGCAGAGGTGGCTCAGCAGTTGCAAGCATGGGCTGCGGGCAAGAAGAACTGCCAGGTTCACTGAAATGGCGTCTCCAGCTAGGAAGCCGGCTAGATCAGACCAAGCTTCTGTCCAGTCTAGCATCCCGTTTCCTTTAGTGGCTAACTAGAAGCCCACAAAGCAGGGGCTTAAGGGCAATGGGTCTCCCCTGTTTGGTTTTGAACAATTAAGCATTCAGAGACATCCTGCCAATGAACAGGGGTGGCCCATTTAGTCTTTGTGGCTAAGAGCTGTTGAGTGGAGCGGTCTCCCTCGGGAGGTTGTGGACTCTCCTTCCTTGGAGGTTTTTAAGCAGAGGTCGGATGGCCATCTGTCATGGATGCTTTAGTTGAGATTCCTGCATTGCAAGGGGGCTGGACAAGATGGGGTCCCTTCTGACGCTACAATTCTGAGATTCTAATACCATGACTTTTCCATAAAAGCTGCCTAATTCCCTTCCTCCTACCCAACTACCACCACAGAGCCCCAATTTCAGAGGCTGAGGAAACAACCTGGAGAGCTGCTGCCAGTTGGACCAGGTGGCCCCAGTGCTTAGGTGACCCAAGATTTCTAACTCGCTTAATGTCTCACCTTTAATTTTGATACCCTGAATCAGTGAGCGAGGCAGGCTCAAGCACCTTGACAAACAGCAGTCACGAGAGAGGGGATGGATGTCCCAAAGGACTCTCTCGGCTGCCTCTTAATTAATCCAAATCCCCAGAATTAGTGCTTTTGTGTTTGAGGTAGTCCCTGGAGGGGAGAAGGCACCGGGCACTCTATGCTATACTGTGAATTGTATGAAACACCTAGAAATCTTCAGCCGCGACTCCAACCCTCAGTAATATGGATAGGATTAAGTATCTGTTGTCTGGTTCGGACTAGTCTGTAATGTTCAATGCAGCTAAATTTGCAGAGAAGGCTGCTAAAATTAGACAATCTATGTGACTGCCCTTGAGATTTAAGGTTCCTGTTTTGTGTAAGCTTTATTTATTGTATAGGTCCAAGTTTTTATCTTTATGTATTATTTTTATGTATAGTTTATGTTCCTATGCTTCTGCTTGGCTACAACCTGTGTTTTGGCTGCCTTCTTAAAAACTTTGAATATTATGAATTTCCCTCCCGCCCCCCAGGAAGTCAACACACTCACCTTGACGTAGCAACAGATCGTCCCGTAACAGACAGATGAAGTAAACGCAGCCAGGCTGGGCGTAATGAGGTCGGGGAATCATAGGAACCTCCTGTGAGAAAGAAAAAGTCAAAAGGCGTTGACACGTCTTGTCATCCTGACTATGTTTAGAAACCAAGATGAACGCAGACGCAGCACTAATAAAGCCTGCACCCTCCATGGAACCCTAGGGACTGTGGTTTTGTGAAGAACACTTGAACGCTGGAGGGCTATGATTCCCAGGCTTCCTTAGAGGAGAAAGCCACTGAAACAGCCCGGCTGTGTGAAAAATAAAGAGGCCAATGGCGTGAGGGTTTCAAAGTCACCCTGCCCAGTTCTGGGCAAGCGAAGGTGGCTTACCCTATCCACCGTGCGAGGTTCACACTGCTCACACAAGTAGTGTTCGACGTCAGAGTTCACCCCCATACAGTCACAGTGCTGCCAGACCTACAGGAGAAAATAGACACATCAGAAAAGGAGATCCACCCCAAAGCATCAGAAGATGAGTTTTATTTATTTTAAAGCATTTCTGAACAGTTTTAAGATTTTTTTAACTCAAATAATGCAGCCTAAAAACAACGTAACAGCATCTTAAAATCAGAGATTATCAGGGATGGATAAGGCTCTCTGCCTGAGATGCCAGAGAGTCAATGTCAAGCAGAGTAGAAAATACTGACTCATATGTGCCAGTGGTCTGACTCATTCTATATTATTATTATTATTATTATTATTATTATTATTATTATTATTATGTGCCGCTCTTCACCCGTAGATCTCAAAGTGGTTCACAACATAAAATTACAATATAAAAACTACAAAATTCATAGTAAAGGTAAGAACATCAACAAACCAATAATGCTCCCTCGCACAACACATTTAAAAGGGCATTGGATGTCAATTAGCCAAAGGCCTGGTTGAAGAGGAAATTTCTACTTGGCGCCTAAAGGTGTATGAAGGTGCCAGTCAAACCTCCCTGGGGAGAGCGTTCCACGAATGGGGAGCCACCACAGAAAAGGCCCATTCCCGTGTTGCTACCCTCCGGCCCCCTTGTGGAGGAGGCACATGAAGAAGGGCCTCAGGGGGCCCACCTCTGTTCTAATAGGTTCGGATTTCTCTGGCCCACCAATACCAGGCTTCTATAGAGGAGGGAATCCAGCCATTGGTCTGGACCTTGCTTTTTGACAGAACAGGGCCAGGTACAGGGGCTACATATGAGCAGACGTTTCTCATCTTCAGCAAGAACGCAGCCCCGTCTTGTGAGGGAGAGGAGTGCACAACCTGCCCTCACCATGCACTTGTCGCACTGGATCATGAGCCCTTCGTCCTTGTACAAGCCACAGATGCAGCGGATCACGTCCTCGTCCTTCTCGTGCCCGCTCTCCTTCTCGCACATGGAGGTCTCGCTGCTGTCCGCCTCGCTCGCCGTCTCTCCGACAATCTCATCGATCTGGGCAGCTGCCTCATGGCGGGCGTTGTAGTAGGCCTTCCGCAGCCGGCAGACATCCCGCCCAATTGGGGATTTCCTGCCGTAGTACTTCTGAGCAGGAGACAAAAGTCCAGAAACTCAGAGCCTTTCCCAGCCCCACTGAAATGCCCTTTCTGCTTCAATCTTTGCCGCCATAAAACTCTGACATAGGCGCCCTCTGCCCCGGTCCCGTCACCTTCTCCTTCATACCCACCAGTCCCTCCCAGTTTGGTTCATTTTCTTCCAGCACGAGTAACAAGTGGGCACTGCAACAGAACATTACAGCGTATCCGCAAGACACAAGGGCGGTGGCTTCTGATTCAAGACTCCGCCCAGCCTCAAACAGGGGTTGTATAAATTCACGGGGTTCTCAGGAGTGGGGTGGTGGAAAGGAAAAAGGACACCTCTCCTCCTCTGCCACTCCCCTGTGTTATTTGGTGTCGCAAGGCCTCCAGCCCAGAACTTGAGCATTTCAGAGACAATTGTATCCAAGGCAATTAATGAATACACCCTGACTCTCAAAGGACCAGCTGGGACCCTCTGCTAGAACCAAGTGCCTTCCTCTGCCAACACAACAGCAAACTCACTTCAGTGTTGCGGAAGACCTTCAGCATGTCGCCGTCAAAAGCTTCCACAGTTTTGTAGTAGCCTGTCAAGATCTGCTTCTCGATGGTGGTGAGATCAAGGGGGTCGGAGATCTTCTCATAGTAATCTGCATTTCTAAACCAGGCAGGGGGGGGGGGAATGTGCAAGGTTACTGATAAGCCCGTATTTGAGGAATGACATGAAACCTATTTTGTAAAATCACAGATTCTCCACCACTCCCCCTTTGGAGAATGAAAAAAACCTACTTTTTCTTTGGGGGAAGATTCAGCAAAGGAGTTGCAAGCAGCTGTCTGGAGGAATCTGTAACGGAAGCAGAGGGATGCAGAGCAGTTGCCACAGGGGTTTTACAGTATGGTTGGTCTTGGGTAGTTTTTGGGGTGGGTGGGCGTTATTTGGAAGGAGAAATTATGAGGAACTATATGTAGGAAAGAAACACGTGCCCCTTAGTCCCTGACTTGCCTAAGTCACAGCTACATCACAAGCCGAAATTAAGAGGCAATGCAATTTACAGTTTCTTAAAACAGGCCCTTGTGGCAAGTGCTGTTCGAGTTCATGCCCTTCTTGTGGGCTCAGGTGGGGCCACGGTAAAGATAGATGGGCCTTTTGGTCTGATCCAGCAGCCAGGCTCTTCTGGTGTTCCAATGAATTTCCTCCACCTGCTGTGTACTCCCTTCCCCCTCCCTCAAATTATGTCCACTGCTTCTAGAGCTACAGCCCCTTCTGCTACAGCTCTTTACAATTCAAGACTAAGGAGGTGGGAGCAGCATGTGTATCAAGCACTGGACAGTCCTCATGGGTGATGGACGGAGAGACAGAGGCTGGCCACCCCACAGCAAATGCTGCAAAAGCCAAGGAAGTGTATGGGAAGCTGCCTAATACAGGATCAGACCACTGGGTCCACCTCACTCAGTGTCACTGCTGACACTGGCTGGGCAGCAGTTCTGCAGCTTTTCAGACCGGGGTCCTTCCCAGCCCCATCTGAAGATGCCAGGGATGCAAAGCCTTCCCCCAAAGTAGCTCCTGCTCTCCCCCATGAGCCACTCATCACTGAACCCCTGAAATCCTACACTCAAGCTCTCCTCCCTCTGGAAACCCAGCAACACAGGATTGTGGAGCCTGTCAAATGATCCTTGGCAGCCATCACCTTTGTACGAGATGATCCCGTCGCAGATCTCCTTGAAGATTTGCGCGAGGCGTGCGGCCCGCGCCACTTCGATGTTCTCCTCGGCCGCAGCCAGCCGCCGTGTCCGCACTGAGCGGGCAGTCTGCAGGGCAGAGAACTGTGTCATGAAGACATCTGAAAAAGAGAGGGGAGGAAGAGACGCCTCTTTAGTCAAAGCCCGCAGGAACAGAGGAAGCAACCGGCCCAATTAGTTTGGTTTTGTCTGCGCTGACAGGCAGCAGCTCTCCAGGGTTTCCGTCTCTCTCAACCCTACTGGGAGGCAGTTAACTAGAGAACCTGCGACTTCCTGATCTGCCACTGAGCTACCTTCCCATTTCCTCTCCTCTGAACAACATGTTATGTCTGAGGGACTTAAAAACCAGCAACTCTCATTGTACAGAGTGGGGGCTTTGAATATATCATGCCACTGCTGCTGGATATCAAATTTTAGTTGAATGCAACGCAAAGGGTAAAATGTGGTCAGGGCACTGCTTGTCCAATTGCTTGTGGCAAGGCAGAATCGCTTTTAGGCGACTCGGAAAAGGAGGTTCAAGTTTGGTTCATTAGGTCACAAATATCTGAGACAGACAGGGTGGCAACTTTTTGCAAGACTGATTTGAGAAAGGTTAAGGTGCTTATCGCTTATCCAGGAGACATGGAGAAAGGCTGGGAGATTCACACCAGTTGCAACAGGGGCACTGACCAGATTTTATATTGCCATCATCCCGGCACATCCCATTCCAGCGGGTGTATAACGAGGCGGACTGAAGGTTGTCGCTGGCGTGCTTGACCTCCTCTTGCTTCTGCCGGATCTTCTCCCAATTGCGCACCAAGAAAACATGATGCTTCAGCACAAAATTCCTTGGGGAAGCACAAATAAAGATGAGGGATGGGGAAGAGAAGAGGTGGGGGCTGAAATAAAAGGCTTTCTTCGCCTCCCGAGGTTGGCTGCTGCGGGATATTTGCAGCACATCGCCACAGCATAGTAGTGAGAGATCCCTGCCCTAAGGTGTTGGAATCTACATGAGATCAGAATGGGAAGAGGAGGAGGAGGAAGGGTCAGGAATAGAGACCAAGCAGGGGAAGCGTCAGACAGATGCCAGGGAGACACAGGTTAAAAGCAAGGGTTGGGCCATTTCTGTAGAAAGGCTCGACTCAGACCTACCAATCTATGATTTGTTCTGATCGTGATTCGGAACACATAATCACAGCCTGAGCATCTTAATAAAGCCATGATTTAGACCTGCTTGTCTGCTTCCATTTCAGCTTTTATATAATGCAGCTGGCTCTGGGGAGGCAGCAACGAGTCTGCGGTTTGTCAATTCTAACATCTCACCAAACCACTTTTTAAAGAAAATCTATTGGCCGGCCGTTTGCAAACCATGGTATAGAACATTGTGCAAAGTCACAGCTAATTGTGGGATGGCATGAAGTGTGAATAATTTCACACAGCTGCTTGTTAAGTATTGCTCATCATGTATTATGTACTATTGTGCATTACCTGATATCACGCATTACTGATTATTATCAGCAATAATTATGAAATTATATATACAGGTTTTTATAGAGAGAGAGGGAGAGAGAATACTGCATGCATATTATTTTTGCATTGTATTTGCAAACAGTCTGCATCTGTACTGGGACTATCTTAACTGTTCTTATATATGGAATTGTTTTTAAATGTTTGCACTGCTTTCAATACATGGAACTGTTTCAATTTGTTTTTACAATTTTCTTGTTCTACGGTGGTAACTATTTCATTTGTTTTACAAGTGTGCACTTTATTGCTGTAACCTGCCCTGGGACCTTATGAGACCTGCTGAAACCATTTTTGTTTGGGCAAGTCTAAATGTGGATGGTGATGTGTTTCAATCTCTTTTTAGTTTACTGCTGATGCTAACAGTTTTCTAAATGTTTTTATTGATAATTTATTGTTTTTACTTTATTGTTTTTATTGATAATTTATTGTTTTTAATATTTCCTGTAAATCACTTACAAGGTATCATTACAATCAAGTGGTATATACATTTTGTTTTTTTACAAAAATGATAAAGTGTGGGTAAAAAAAATCTAATAAATGAAGTTGCTTATGCTATTATGTTGCAAACCATCCTGCGGTAGTTTCATAGAATTTCAGAGTTGGAAAGGACTCTAATGATAGGCTCTTCTTACTTTCTGATGACAAAAGGCAGGGCAGAAATTTCTTAAATCAAAATGAAATAAACTGAGCCAAAATGCAGCTTTGGGGAAGATCTAGCTCAGGCTTCCTCAGCCTCGGCCCTCCAGATGTTTTGAGACTACAATTCCCATCATCCCTGACCACTGGTCCTGCTAGCTAGGGATCATGGTAGGCCAAAAGCATCTGGAGGGCCGAGGTTGAGGAAGCCTGATCTAGCTCATGCCCCCTGCGCCCAAAGTAGGGGGGAGGGAAACTTGTTGGGAATGGAGCTGCCCTTCTTCCTCACCTCTCCCTGTTGGACATGGGCTTCATTTGGAGCTGCGGTGTCAGCCGAGTCGGGGTACTTGAGCTTTCACTGGGCTCCTCAGGAACGTGACCCTTCTGCAAAACAAAACAAACCCCTCTTGAGAAGAGAATCCAAGAACAAAGAAAGCCAACTGCAAAAAGACAGTGGTTAGAATCCTGAACTTGGGTCAGGCAGGTTCAAATTCTTACTCAGTGTATAGCTGAGCTGCCCAACACAGGCAAGATTATTTCCCTTTCAGGGCTTAAATGCTTATAATAAAGAGGGGATGGGAGGATGGAAGTTAAGGTAAGTACATGAAGCAAGAGGGGGCCCCCACTTTGTTCCTCTCATTCAAAACCATTATTGGAATGGGCATGTCCATGCTGTTCCCTCATTACCAACAGGAGGCTGATTTGGGTCTGGGTGGAGAAGCATGCAGAACAGGAAGCACGGGTTATATGCGCATCCCACCCCACCCTCATTTTGTAAAGTCTGATTCTGTCCAATCATGGTGGACAGAAGCATCCCAGCTGGTGAGGAAGAGAGACCCCCTATTGTGGTCAACATTAACATGAGTGAAGAGACGTCCTGGAAGGGGGAACCCAAGTTTTTTTCCGAGAGAGTATTAAGTTCCCTGTTCCTGCATGATTATACAGTTGTACCCCGCAAGACGAACGCCTCGGAAGACGAAAAACTCGCTAGACGAAGGAGTTTTTCGTTTTCTTAGCCGCTTCGCAAGACACATTTCCCTATGGGCTTGCTTCGCAAAATGAAGCTTGCCCCGCAAGCTCCGGAGATAGCGGGGAAGCGCAGCGCGTCTTCCCCGCTGTCCCCGGACCCATTTTGAAGCAAGGGGCGGCGGGGAGATCGCTTCTCCCTGCCGCCCCTTGCTTTAAACAGGTCCGGGGACAGAGGGGAAGGCGCGCGGCGCTTCCCCTCTGTCCCCGGACGGTCTCCATAGGAACGCATTGATTTTCAATGCATTCCTATGGGAAACCGTGCTTCGCAAGACAAAAAACTCGCAAGAAGAAAAAACTTGCGGAACGAATTAATTTCGTCTTGCGAAGCACCACTGTATCAGGGTGGTCCAATGCCCTCAAGCCTCTTTTGGAGGTCATCGACACCGTTTGATGCTCCCCAAGTCCTCACACTACCTTCCCAAAGCCAGGTAACTGAGGCCCTGGGCTTCAGGAAGGAGGTGTGAGGGCTCAGACAGGGTCCTAGAGATCTCCCTCCTCCTTCCCAAAGCCAAGTGCAGTGTTTACCCAGCTTCGGGAAGGCAGCATGAGAGCTGGGGAGGGGGCACCGAATTCTGGGCTTGCTCTCTCCCCATACATGACAAGGCAGAGTGCGGCCCATGGGTTCCATGCCACAACTACTCTTGAGGCACACTTGGTATGGAAAGTTGGGCCGCCCTGCGTTAGATCATTGCCACAAGTACTGTCTTTCCCTGAAAGTAAGACATCCCCCCAAAATAAGACCTACTTCCAGTTTTGCCTCTTGCTGTAATATAAGGCACCCCCCCAAAGACCTCCCCGATAATAAGGCCTCCCCCGAACATAAGGCCTCCCCGGAATATGACGCCCCCGTAAGCTACCGTAAGGCGTCTGACTCCTCTGGACCATAGCGGCAGGCACTGCCACATAGCTCACTGATTGGCCGCAGCACAGCCAGAGCTGTTCAGGCAGTGTGAGGTCTCTTTAAATCAGAGAGCCCTGCTGCTCGCTCTGCCCTGACCGAGTCTGGCTGACTCACAATTACTGTCTTTCCCCAAAAGTAAGACATCCCCCGAAAATAAGACCTAGCGCATCTTTGGGAGCAAAAATTAATATAAGACACTGTCTTATTTTCGGGGAAACAAGGTAGCAACCAGATTATTGAAAGAAAAGTCAAACAAACTGGGCACATGAAGTGGTCCCGCACTAGATGAGACCACTGCTACCCACTATGCTTTTTAAAACAGAGATGTTGGACATTGAACCTGGCGCCTTCTGCACGCCAAATACGAGCTCTCTTTTTAAAAAAAATAATAATATTTATTAAAGTTTCAAACAAAATTACAGTAATACCAAAAAAAAAAAAGAGAAAAAGAGAAAATAAAATACAAAAAACAGAAAAAATAGAATAACAATTAAAAGCAAATCAGTATTTCCATATCTTGTCTTTCATTCACTTATTTCCCGGACCTCCTCACACCTCCCTTTTTTGCATCCCAAATCAGTTATTTAATTCAGCAAATCCTTTCCCTTTTTGTTCTTATCTTAATCCTTGATCTTAATATATTATTACTTCAAGTTCCCATCTATTAACAATCCATTTTTACCTAAACCTTAATAACATTGCTGCTAAGACCACTTAACTTCATTCCAACATCATTCTAACATTCATTAATTTTGCAATATTTCTGCAGATAGTCTTTAAATTTCTTCCAATCTTCTTCCACCGACTCTTCTCCCTGGTCTCGGATTCTGCCGGTGAGCTCTCAACCACACTCACCCCCCTCTGACCCAAGCGGCAACTGTAGGCATGGAGTGTGGCAAACGCCTCCCACATCTGCCTCCTGCTCTGTGCACACTCACCCTCTTCTTCAACTTGTGCTTGGATTTCCTCTTCTCTTTAGACCGGCTCGGCCTCCTCTGGGCAGTGACGGGCTGGTTGGTTTTGCTCAGGAGGCCGTTCACGCGCTGGCTCTTGCCCCCAATGATCCCTCTGCACTTCTCAAAGCCGCATTTGCAGAGTTGCTTGGAAGAGAAAGGAGACAACACCCACCTTGAAACATGCCCCCTCGGCAAAGCTTGCAACCCAGGCCAACAGGACCCATCAACAACTCCTGCCTGCTCATACAGTCCCATCCATTCGATGGGACACTGCAGGGGCCAATGTATGAATGGGCTTGTTGGCGCCTCTGTGTTTCTGCCTCCTTTTTTCTGGCCTCCTTTTTTGTGATGACTACTCTGTTTACTGTGCTGGAGCTGCTGTCTCAATTTGACAACCTGAGTGGATCTATCCTTTACGCATGAAGGATTATGTGGGGATCTCATGGCCACTGTCTGGTGAGCTAAGATCCTGTTACTGTGCTCAAATAAGAGGCATGTCTTATGGTGCTAGGTGTTCTAATTTCCTGGACTTTTGGCCTGCCCACTCTGTATATGGGCAAACTGGGGCTCCTTCTCTCAGGTGAGAAGCTTTCTGCCATTGCTGCTGTTGGGCGAGCACCTCTGCCTCACCTTTGCCCTTCCCTGACTCCACCATACCACCTGCTCCTGGCAGGGTGACAGTAGAAGATGTTAGGGCCAACAGCGGGATCAAGCTGGGTATCTTGGGTGTCTACATCTGCTTAAATGAGGAGTCTTGGTATACTGGCTGCAATAATTTGAGGGGCCCTTTTTAGGCAAGCATTCCATGAAAGTCTGCAGGGTGTATTAACTGAATTTCCCAGGTGATCAAAGTGATCTCACAGGGCATCTCATACATTTGCGCCTCCAACTTGTACCAATAAGGAGGGACTGGCCTAAAGAATTAAAAATGCAGCCGTGCTCTTCTCCCCCAGGCCTTCCTGGGAGTGAGGATGCAACCCTCACCTGCTTTTCCACATTGAAGGAGTGGAAGTTGTAATCGTAAGTCAGCTCAGTGCCGGCAGGCATATCCTTCAATGCATACAGCCCAATCCTGTAGACACCGTTGACGGACCTGCAGGCGGAAAGAGAAGAGGATGTGCTTGCAACTCTGGACAGGGCAGGAAGGCACGACAGCAGTCTCAGCACCGCCAAGGTCCTGGAAGCGTATTATACCTCAGTTGGAAACCAATCTTCCCCCCCCAAAAAAAACAGTGCTCCAGGAAAGGGGTGGAATTGTGGCTCAGTCCGCTTGTAACCACAGCTTCCCTGGATCTGACAGAGCAGCAGGCATCAGATCTTAAAAAGTTACACAGCTGTTCTTAAGATGACCAGCTGGAATGGGAGATGGTGTCCGTCTACACCAGGGGCCGGCAAGGTTTACCTCGCCTGAGCCGGTTCACCCCAGCAGAGATCCCTCTTTGGGCCGGATTGTGAGCATGCGCCCCCACAATTTCTGGTGCCTGCGGAGACATGATTTCCGGCACCACGGAAGTGAGTCCCTGCGCTGCGCCGGTTTAGCGCAGCACGCGGGGACTCGCCGAGAGGGTGGCTCGGTTCGGGGGCGGCTCATGGGCCAGTTAAACCCCCATGGGCCGCTTATGGGCCTTAGGTTGCCTACCCCCGGTCTACACCCTCTAAACTGGTTGACAGCTCTACTCAGAACTGGGGCAGAGAGGCAGGGGAGAAAGAAGAGGGACCCCAACCTTCAGGCAGACACTGTTCTTTTAGCGTTCTGTGTGCAGCACTTTAAAATAAACCAAGTACTGTACACAAAGATGTACACACCTAGGGACTGGACACAAGCGTAGGCATCAGTTTTATAAAGGTACTAAAAGGCTCTGTTGTTGCCATAGCAAAAGCAATGAAAACTAGCAAGTCGACCCCCTCTGGAAACTCTTACCATTTCTGCATCTCACAGTTTGGGTTGCAGCTGTGGTTGATGAAGCGCGCCTCGTTGCCCATGCGATAGCTGTCAATCACCATCCCGCTGTCGAGGTTGAGGCAATAGTGATCGCTGTGGTTGTGGTACTGCTCGATCATCCGGTTCCTAAAGAACAATGTGGGACAGCTGGTGTAACACTCCCCGTCTTCTTGCTCTTCCGAACAAGGGCTGTGCCACGAACGCTTCTCCTCCACCCAGTGCTTTGCCCACGGCTTACCTGAACTCCTGCTCGCTGACCACTTCTCCCAAGTACTCGATGATGAACTGCCCAGCTTTCAGGGGCTCTTTTGTGCGGATGCCCCAGCCTTTCTCCTCGGCCCGGAAGCGCTCCAAGCACTGCACCCACTCATGCCTCTGGATCCGCTGGTTGCAGCACTGCTCCCCGCAGGGGCAGGTGTTGGGGGAGCACTCAGCGAAGATCATCCTGAAAGCAGAGGGAGGGCAGGCTGGCATGTCAGCATGGGCGCAGGGAAATGTCAGGAACATCGCGGCCGCCTTTCCGACAAACCTTGAGGCTCATTTTCAGGGTTTATTAAAAAAAAACCCATGTTTTTATCCACGCTCCCCTCCAACTAGCTCAGCACCATACATATGGTTCTCTGCTGCCCACATTTCCCTAACAACAACTCTGCGAGGTAGGTCAGGAAGCCCTGTGTAGGGAAGTTTTTGATGTGTGATGTTTTACTGTGGTTTTGTAATTTTTTGGAAATTATAAAACCCAGCCAGATGGGTGGCATAAAAATAATAAATAAGTTGTTGTTGCTGTTGTTGGACTGAATTCAAACAAAACCCTGACAATTAGCCATGGCCGGGTATGCAGTTTTGTATCCAGCTCAAAAATGTTCCCAGCTTAAATTAACGGACCTAAATTAAGCCTGCCCATCAATCTCAATGATTCTACTGTGAGTAGGGCTTAGCAGTGTTTAAGTTAAGGCTGAAGTGAGGGTTTGGACACCCAGGGCTTTTTATGTAGTCTGAAAATAGTGCACCCAATGCATGCTGGCTGTCTCACCTTGCTACTTGTGAGAAGCAGGTCTCTTTAATTTCCAGTGATTCTGTGTGTGCGCACGGACATGTCTTCGGTTGCAGCATTAATTATGTTGCGGCCCTGCAACTCACCTGTTCAAGCAGTCATCCAAACAGCCATTTCTGTTGCCATCCTCGGCCTTCTTGCAGTTGCAGGTCGTGGCCTCGTAGCCAGAAAGAGGCTTCACATCCACATAGACGTCTGCAGAGGGAAAGGAGGAGTGAAAAGTATCTATCAGCTTCTGAAACAGAGCTCCTCCCAGTCTACAAACCTCTCTCTCGGCTCGCCCACCCCGTTGACCTCAGTCCATAGAGAAAAGAGTAAAAGGCGGCAGCCTAGGAGCGGGGCTACTGCCAGGAGGTCAAAGAGGGTGCGGTCAAGTGGAGATAAAAGGCTGGCAAGGCTCCACAATTGAGGAAACCATAAAACCAGGGCTATATAAACACAAAGCTACTTACTAGAACGGATTTTTTTATAAAGCGGGACGTCTGGCTTTTTATACAACTGGAAAGAAAAGAAATAAGTGTTCTTTATCGCTTTGCAAGACAACAGCAGAATAAAAATTTGCATTTTCCCCAGAAAGGAAGGTTTGATTTACGCCTGACAGAGCCTAATGAAGAAAAGCCTTTGTTACAAGAGCACCAGAGGACGGTTTTGATCTTTTTTTGTTTTTTGTTTTTTTTAAATGTAAACGTTTATTGGCCTGGATCCAAAGAGCCACGAGGGGAAGGAGAACATTTCTTAGCGCTGTTCAGTGTGTTACACTTGTGATGGAAAACAGAAGATACAAAGATGTGGCACATAGAATCCAGGGGGCCATTAAGATGATGTTGAAAAGGGAATGTGAGAACATCTTGGCTGCGAGTCCTGGAAGACATGCTCCCTGCCTGGCAGGCCTTTTCCACCAGGCCTGGGAGGGGAGAGCCCTGGCTGACTCCAGCTACAAAACGCTGAGACTGCTGAGGAGACTCTTGAGCTGGGGTGTTTTCTGGGGTGTTGCTGTTGCAGAGAGAGATGTTGCTGTTCTTCTTTTATATCTTTATTTTAGATCTTGTTGTGATTCACGTGGTTGTGTATTTTTAAAACGTTTCATTTATTGCTTATGACCACTTTCGTTATGTCGTAGTCATGAATTTTTTTCGTGTTGTAAGCTGCCTTGAACATGGTTTGAACTGTGGAAAGGCGGTCTACAAATAAAATTATGTATGTGCAAAGTTTTCCACAACACATTGCGCAGGTGGAAGAGCTTCTCTGGGTTGCCATCGTTTTCCGGGCAATGCTCAGAGGCAGCCCTTCTAGGAACACAGGAAACTGCCTTACACAGTGGTACCTTGGTTCTCAAACTTAATCCATTCTGGGAGTCCGTTTGACTCCTGAAACCATTAAAAAACCAAGGCGTGGCTTCTGATTGGCTGCGGGAGCTTCCTGCACTCAAGCGGGAGCCGTGTTGGACATTCAGCTTCCAAAAAACGTTTGCAAACAGGAACACTTACTTCTGGGTTTGCGGCGTTTGGGAGCCGATTTGTTCGGCAGCCAAGCCATTCGAGTACCAAGGTACCACTGTACTGAGTCAGACCACCAAGTCCATCTAGGACACTGACTGGCAGCAGCTCCCCATGGTTTCAGGCAGCCCTACCTGGAGATGCCGGGATTGTGCATGCTCTGCCCTGAGCTACGGGAGTGGAACAGACTTCAATGCCAACTGAAGAGGATCTTTGGACCCAAGCCACAATCTTCATTTCCCTATTTTAACGGTAGGGCTCCCCAATCCAAGAGAGCAACCAGCTCTATACTAACTTCAGTTTCAGAAATGTTGCAGGACCAGGTGGTCCCAGAGTGTCCATGGGGCTCCCAAGGCCTCGCAGCTTTGTCTACATGGGGAAGGCTTTAGGACAACCCTAGTATAAAGCACCTCTGGAGCAGTTCAGCAAAAAATAGACAGACGCTTATACTCGTTTCGAGCACCATATCAAAGAATCCAACATACAGTGGTGCCTCGCAAGACGAAAAGAATCCGTTCCGCGATTCTCTTCGTCTAGCGGTTTTTTCGTCTTGCGAAGCAACCCCATTAGCGGCTAAGCGGATTAGCGCTATTAGCGGTTTAGCGGCTATTAAAGGCTTAGCGGCTGAGCTGCTAAAAGGCTATTAGCGGCTTAGCGGCTTAGAAAAGGGGGGGGGAAGCGGGGGGGAAATGGCAAGACTTGCAAGACATTTTCGTCTTGCGAAGCAAGCCCATAGGGAAATTCGTCTTGCGAAGCACCTCCGAAACGGAAAACCCTTTCGTCTAGCGGGTTTTCCGTCTTGCGAGGCATTCGTCTTGCAGGGCACCACTGTATATGCAGCTTCTTGACTAAAATCAGCATGGCCTATTTTGAGGCCAAGATCATTCCCTCTAAAAAGAAGCAGCAGAATCCAAAGCCAGTTTTGTCAGAGACAGACGTGCTTGGAACCAGGTACTATCTGCTCCTTTTGACAATACTTAAAGACGCCTGTAGATCTCATTATGGAGTTTCCCCGCAACATGTTAGGAATGTGAAATGAGGAAATGTAAACTGTAAACCATGCAAGCTTTGCAATTAGTAAAAATATGTATTTTTTAGAGAGGGGGCTGAATCACTGAACAGAATGGGGTGGGTGGGAACAAATCCTTGTTTCTATAGCATATTGCTAAATAAAGTGGGCAACAGGGAAAAGCAGGTGCTTAATTATAACACACATTGTCCCTTCTGGAGTGCATACATACAGCCCAGTACATGGAATCCTGGGAACTGCAGTTTAAGGTAAAAGGTAAAGGTACCCCTGCCCGTACGGGCCAGTCTTGCCAGACTCTAGGGTTGTGCGCTCATCTCACTCTATAGGCCGGGAGCCAGCGCTGTCCGGAGACACTTCCGGGTCACGTGGCCAGCGTGACGAAGCTGCTCTGGCGAGCCAGAGCCGCACATGGAAACGCTGTTTACCTTCCCGCTAGTAAGCGGTCCCTATTTATCTACTTGCACCCGAGGGTGCTTTCGAACTGCTAGGTTGGCAGGCGCTGGGACCGAACGACGGGAGCGCACCCCGCCACGGGGATTCGAACTGCCGACCTTTCGATAGGCAAGTCCTAGGCGCTGAGGCTTTAACCCACAGCGCCACCCGCATCCCCCCTGCAGTTTACTCCAAGCTAAAATTCCCAGCACCCTCAACAAACTACAGTTCTTGGTATTCTTTGTGGGGAAGAGCCATGTGCTTTCAAATGCACGGGGTGTGTATGCAGCCCTGGATTTCAAAGTGCTGCACATCCACTAGGTAAAGGTAAAGGTACCCCTGCCCGTACAGGCCAGTCTTGACAGACTCTGGGGTTGTGCGCCCATCTCACTTAAGAGGCCAGGGGCCAGCGCTGTCTGGAGACACTTCCGGGTCACGTGGCCAGCGTGACAAAGCTGCATCTGGCGAGCCAGCGCAGCACACGGAAACGCCGTTTACCTTCCCGCTAGTAAGCGGTCCCTATTTATCTACTTGCACCCGGGGGTGCTTTCGAACTGCTAGGTTGGCAGGCGCTGGGACCGAGCAACGGGAGCGCATCCCGCCGCGGGGATTCGAACCACCGACCTTTCAATCGGCAAGCCCTAGGCGCTGAGGCTTTTACCCACAGCGCCACCCGCGTCCCATAATCCAGTAATCCTAAAAATAGTCCTCAAAGGGAAGCTGGTGTTATTAACCCCACCATGCAGGTGTGGAGCCCAGTGGGAGAGGGCAGGGCTGGCTGGAACCCTGAGCTGGAGCGCTGCTTTTCATTTAGTAGTAATGCTGAGGTATGTTTCTCAGTGCATCACCATTTTAGGATTAATAATGTGCATCAGCATTATCATGTATAAATCAAAAGTGAAAATGTGAAAGTGGGTCCCATGTTGCAGGTTGTGAGTCAAAGGTGGGTCTTGGGTTTAGGCCAGGCTTCCTCAACCTCAGCCCTCCGGAGGTTTTTTTGGCCTACAACTCCCATGATCCCTAGCTAGCAGGACCAGTGGTCAGGGATGATGGGAATTGTAGTCTCAAAAAAACATCTGGAGGGCCGAGGTTGAGGAAGCCTGGTTTAGGCCCACTCAAGTCCACTGATCTGGAGTAAGAGCAGAGGCTAGGCAAAATCCCACTGCAAAACCTCTGGTGGAAACCTTTTGTCAGAAGGAACACCAGCCTATTTTTAGCCTACCGCATGGACAAATGAGGGAGCTCTTTGGAAAGAACGCAAGGCGGGCTATTCAGTGCGTTCCTTCTGACCCCTAAACATCAGCTTCTAATTGGAATAATAATAATAATAATAATAATAATAATAATAATAATAAAACAATAACAAAAATAAACCAAACCTCTACTCTCTTTGCTCGGGACTGGGTCCAAGTAAAATAAGGCCTGAAATTTTTCAGCACTGCTGGCAGAACATCTGAATTCTCCAGAGGCGTGTCAAAAAAACAACACAAGATCCCAGAAGCAGGAGCAGGCAGGCGCTATCAGAATAAGAGTCCCTGGTAGGATTAAGGGCGGACGCTTTCTGAGAAGCAAAACTGCTGCTAGTTTGAAAGCAGCGCTCTCTCTGTGGGTGTATGTGTGTGCAGGCGAAGAAGGATGGAGGGAGGCAATGGAAATTGTCTGCATTAAATATATATTCAAGGATTCCCACCCACCCAGCCTCCTCCCTCAGCTGCAACATTAGCAAAAGACTCCTGAATGCACAGCTAGTATCAGTGCAGCAGCAGCAGCAGAAACCATTTGATTCTTCTCAAGCATCTTGGAATGCAGCCTTGGAAGGATGTGACTTTTCTTAAAAAAAGATAGTCCCCTACCTGATTATGTTTCCACTGCCAAAGAATGTCATAAGGCAACTGGAAGTCTATTCGCTTTTGGCGTAGGTATTTCCCTGCAGTGGGGGGAGGGGAAGAGAAGAAGAAATACAAAAGTCATGCATTTATTCTTTCCTAAACACACGCACCATGAACAGAGCTTGACTGGCAGAAGCAGACCAAAGACGTCTTGACGACTGAGGCAGAAAATCCAAAGGTCCCTGCCACACATACTAATTAACCAGGTGTAAAATGCACCAGTGAAGTTCGTCCTGGTGCAGCTCTTAATTGAAATGAAGAGGAACAGTGGAAGCAACGGAACGGCCCTGGCTGGATCAGACCACGGGACTACCTGCTTCAGCATCCTCCCTCACACGGTGACCTACCAGACGCCTCTGGGAAAGCGCAGGGCATCAAGGCAACAGTCCTCTCCTGTCCCTTAGCCAATGGCTATTCAGCTGTCTCTGAATGTGGATGCTTTTTTAGCCCTGGTGACAAATGGCCACCGATAAGCCTATCCCTGTGGATTTTTATAATCCTTTGCAAGGACCCATGTACTCATAAGAACAGCCCAGCTAGCAGCCGGGGGGGGGGGGGGGCTTCTCCATCTCTGCAGTTTCCCCTATTCCACCTTTTCAATTTACCGTATTTTTCGCCCTATAGGGCGCACCGGCCCATAGAGCGCACCTAGTTGTTGTTGTTTTTTTGGGGGGGGGAGAATAGAGGAAAAAAAGTTTAATTTCCCCCCAGCCCGAGCTTCCCCCAACCCCAGCCCCCAGAACAGGCTGCTGTCCGCAAGCCTTGGGAGCCCGGCGGGAAGTCGCGCAGCACTCCCACGGCTTGCGGATAGCTTCCTGAAGCTTGGAGAGTGAGAGGGGTTGGTGCGCACCGACCCCTCTCGCTCTCCAGACTTCAGCGAAAGCCTGCATTCGCCCCATAGGACGCACACACATTTCCCCTTCATTTTTGGAGGGGGGAAAGTGCGTCCTATAGGGCGAAAATACGGTGAGTGGGGAGCCAGCGCTATCTCTGGCAGCAGCCAAGTCTATACATCAATGTCAATAAGCACTTTCCCCCTGCAGGTTTTGCTGGGGAACCCTAAAGAACAGGCACTATATGTGAGAGAAGGGAAGGCAAAGTTCTCCCTTTGCCTTGTGCGGTTTTGTAAAGCTCTAATTGTAGGGCTGGGGAACCTGCAGCCCTCCAAGATGCTGATGAGCCAGCAACTCCCATCATCCCTGGGCCACTGGACCTGCTAGCTGGCACGGATGGGAATTGGAGTCCATCAATGTCTAGAGGACCACAAGTTCCTCGGCCCTATCATGTCCTTTCTGCAGCCATCTTCCCCCTAAAGTATATGTGGGGACCTTTGGCCGTCCTGATGTTGCTGAACTACAACTCCCAACATTCTTGACCATGCATACTAAAGCTGATGGGAGTTGTAGCTCAGCAACATCTGGAGGGCAAGAGGACATCCACACCTGCTTCTAAACTAGACAGAACAACACCACAACAGCACTGAGAGTTAGTTTTTCATAGGGCTGGTCTTCTTCTATGGCCCATGCTGGCTTCTTACAGACCAAGGTGCCGTTTTGTGAGCAGCTGAGCCCTGGACTGAGAACCAGCATCCACATTCCTGCAGGCTGAGCAAATGCACTTTGCTCAGCAATGACTGGGCTATGAGCAGCCATCTCGCAATCTAAGACCTGGAGAGCGTGCTCCACTGCTCCAGCCCACGTTTCCAGAGGCTGCTTGCCAGAAAGTGGCACTTGAACTGAAAGCTCGCAAAGCCAGGGAAAATAATATGATGCTCTGTATTGATCAGACAAGACTGGAGGACCGACCCCTAGTTATTTATAACAAGCCTGGCAGATACAGAGACTTCATGCCGCCCGGGTGCCACTATCCTTTCCCCACTGTCCCTGAAGAGAGTCCTGAAAGTTGCAGAGACAATATCCTGAACTGGGAAGGCTTAGGCCATGGGTAGGCAAACTAAGGCCCGGGGGGCCAGATCCAGCACAATCCTTCTAAATCCAGCCTGCGGACGGTCCAGAAATCAGCATTTATACATGAGTATAATGCGTTCTTTTATTTAAAATGCATCACCTGGGTTATTTGTGGGGCATAGGAATTCATTCATATTTTTTTTCAAAATACAGTCCGGCCCCCCGCAAGGTCTGAGGGACAGTGGACCGGCCCCCTGCTGAAAAAGTTTGCTGACCCCTGGTAGGCTGTGCTCAACACTGCTGTGTCCAGTTCCAGGCACCACAGCTCAAGGATATTGACAAGCTGGAGGGTGTGCAGAGGAGGGCGACCAAGATGATAAGAGATATGGAAAACAAGCTTTCTAAGGAATGGTTGAGGGAGTTGGGTATGTTTAGGCTGGAGAAGAGAAGGCTGAGAGGTGACATGATAGTCATTTTCAAATATCTGAAAGGCTGTCACACAGAAGATGGAGCAAGCTTGTATTCTGCTGCTCCAGAAGGTAGGACCCGAACCAATGGATTCAAATGTCCTGAAAGGAGATTCTGACGGTAAGAGCTGCTCAACAGTGGAACTGACTACCTCTGAAGGTGGTGGAGTCTCCTCCACTGGAGGTTTTTGAACAGAGCTTGGATGATCATCTGTCAAGGATTATTGAGCTGTGATGACTGCATTGCAGGTGGCTGTGACGAGAGAACACTTGGGGTACCTTCCAGCTCAACAATTCTGTGATTTAAAGCACATTCTCCCAGCAAAATAATCCTGGGAACCGTAGTTTACAATCCACAGCACCCTTAAGAAACTAAGTTCCCAGGATTCTTTGAGGTGGAGGGGAATGTGCTTTAAATGTATGCTGTGCACACAGCCTTAGTCCCCAACCAGGACATTCTCATCTCAGACCTCCAAGTCCCAGACAACCCACCTTCAAAGATTAACAGAGATTACAGCTCCTAACTTAGAATCATAGAGTTGGAAGGGACCCTGAGGATCATCTGGTCCAACCCCCTGCACTGCAGGAATATGCAGCTGTTCCTTACGGGGATCAAACCTGCAACCTTGGCATTCATCAGCTCCACGCTCCAACCAACTGAGCTACCCAGCTTCCTCCTCTGAAGGTTCACCAGAGCTGTAACCTGAATGTTTTCAAGACAACAGACACATGTAAGCTTGTCTGAGCAGGCATTAGGTGGCAAGGAGTTTCACGGTGTTTGAACCACGCCAAGATAAGCAAGGCAAATGAGCTCAAACAAAAACAAACTGCTAAGCCTAAAAAGAAGAGAGAGAGCCACCTTTCACCCTCTGTTAGGATGCGAGAGCAAAGGGAGGCAAGCAAAGCCCAGAGGCCTTGGCTTTCCTCTGATGCTGCAGGCACCTCTTCTCGCTTCTGAAAAACTATTTCTTTGTGCGGGGGGGTGTTGGTGGGGAGAGAAGAGCAGCTGTCATGTTGTCTTTACAACTTGCTCTTAAAATTTGTTCTTATTTTTCAAAGCCTCAAGTTGTGCTTGGCGAGTTCCAGGAAGTAGCAAAGTCCACTGGGAATCTGTTTTCACTTCTATGACCTCACTGGCTAAAACAAAAGGCTCTTTCAAGGGCCTGGCAGCCGGCCCAGAGAGTAGGGAGTGCTCTCTCTCTCTCTCCCCCCCCCCACCTCAATAAAAGGAGGCACCCAGACAAGGAGTTAGCCCAGCAGAGAAATAATCCTCCTAACATGATTGGGGAGGCGAGACTGCTCTGCCTTTACGCCAGGCAGAGTCATTAAAGCTGCCTTATCTTAATAGGACATGTTTGTTTGTGTCTCCTGGCGCAAATAAACTGGAGGGCTGTGACCTGGCGAGGGATTGGGGGCGGGGCGGGGAAGGAGCGCAAGCCCAAGGCACAAACAAGTCTCAACCCTTAAATAAGGGAAAAAAACGGTCCCTGGGGTTGGAATACGCTCAAGCTGGATCACTAACAAGGCTGCTCAAGTTAAAGGGACTAAATAAACCTTTCTCCTCGAGTCTCTCCACAAACAAGCGAAATGCTTGAACTTTCTGCCTTTTCACTTTTACAGACTAGCACAGCTACCCCGCTATAGAAGTGGTTCTCAAACTTTTTTCTCTGGGCCACACTTTAAGAATAAAAATTTGTTCGCACCACAGTGAATTTTTTTATTGATAAGACATGCATTGGAAAACAAAAAGATCACCACTACAGTGCAAAATGTCCCCAAGTTTCAGCTGTCACGCCTGCAAAGCAAGCTTTGAAAAGTGCAAGGTAACTTCAGCCACCGTCTTGCGGCAGACCAGGAGTGGGGTGGGAAAGCTGAACTCCACAGCGCATGGTACAACTGTCAATCCTATTTCCAGCACAAATCTAAGCACACAAATATTGGACTAGTATGGGCTTGCATTGTTCCCAAGAAAGCAAAGCGGTGCACCCCTAGGACTTTAAAGTGACAAGCCAGGAAAGTAAATGAGCTATTTTACAATGCAGTCTCTAAAATCCCTCTCGGCTGCACATGACCTACAGCATTTTAGAGGAGGGTTTCACGACCTCCCTCCCCAAATGAGTGGCTCTCCGTTGGCCCAGAAACAAGGATCTTGAACCCATACTAGGAATTTCCTCCTTTGGGGGTCGATTCAAGCACCCACCCCCTGCCCCGCAAGTACCCAAATGATAACCTGGGGGCCATTCACTTCCTCTGGCTGAGAGGACGCATGCAGGGCCCATTCAAAGCATGCACAGAGAACCCACTCACCCACGTGGATAGGTGCCGGGAACAATCCGTACTCGTGCTCCCCAGGAGTGTACTCCAATTTTTCCTTCTTCAACTGGATCAGTCGGCTTTTGGGGCTGGGGATGGAAGAGAGAAGAAGCAAGTGAGCGATCGTAGAAGACCGTGCCGTGTCACCGGGGTCAGCACCCTTCACCACATTCCAGAGGCGACGTCGCACAACAGGGGAGAGCGTGACCTGTGAGCCGCAAATCTCCGCTTGGAATCTTCCCTCTGTTTTGAATTCCGTTTGCGGCTTTAGGCAGCAGAGGATGGTCCATTAAGGTGAATGGGGGCACTGACACACCAACTTCGGTCTGACCTCAGCTATTCCCACCACCCAGCCTTGCCTTCTTCCTTACAATCAGTGGGTGGCAATGCCTGTCAGCTTCCTCCTCCTTAGACTCAGTGTTGCCCCACAGAACTAAGCAGGGAGGCGGATGGGGACAAGGCTACAGTTAGCTGGTTCTGCCTGGCACTGGTTCCACCACCTGCTGGGCACTTGCCTTTCTCCCCACCGGTCCCAATGGGCACCAGCCACAACTGGCTATAGGTAAGCTATTCTTTCCGGCAGGGATAAGAGGGTGAGGTAATAACTACTGCTGAGCAATCTCAAGACTCACTCCAAAGCCAGCCAAGCTCAATTTTGGTGAAGGGGTTTAAATGCTTGTGGAACAGTGCCATTCTGCTACAGCCCAAAGCGATAGCTCAAAACACGGCCATCGCCATAAATGAGTTGACATGGTTAAAGGGAGCTTGGTAGCTGGACTGGAACTTAGAGCAGCGATACCTCTCTGCAGCTGATGAGAATTTCTCTCTTTTTTAAAAAAACAACAACAAAACCCTCAAAGCATCACAAGCTTCCAGTGCTAATGATTACAGAGGAAATGTGCAAAGGTCATTTTCGTAGAGGAAAGAGGAGCAAACTGACATTAAAATAAACCAAGCCTAACCTCGACATTCCATTGTCAGGTTCATAATCTATTAAAGAAAAACTCTCTGAATAGTAATACTGTACAGCCACAGGGCACTACATCCACTAACTTCAACCTGGCACGTTCACAATAAAAAGCCTGCAGATTTAGCCAGCCGCATGTAACTAAAACCTGCAAATTAGGAGTGGTCCTAAAGCTCTTAATTTATTTTCAGTGTGTGCAGCACATACAGGCTGATAGAACTGCCCTCTGCTGACCTACTTTCAACAAGCCTCTATACCGCCAGCGCAGCAGTAAACTGTACTGCCACAAGAGGGTACTGTACCATTGTAATAATTAGGTGTGCAGGCTCAAAACTTCTCCAGCACAACCCCAAACAAGCAGCAAACACTGGTAGGGCCAAGGGGGGTACATTGCTCTGGACGTCCTGAGAGGGTTCAGGGCCCCATTTTGCACCATCACAACCTCTGTCCGACTGGGATGGAGGTCACACCCACCCACGGCAGCTTTTTGCGCCCTCTCGCACAGCAAGCAAAACCGTTTATGAAGTTCCGTTCCGACAGTCTGAAAAACCCCAGCTTTTAAGGAGGGCCTCAAGGTTTAATAGACGACACTTATTAAACGCTTTTCAGAGGGCACAAAAACGCACACAGTTTTTAACAGAAGTACAGTTGTACCTTAGATCCCGAACGCCTTGGTACTTGGACGTTTTGGCTCCCGAACGCCACAGTAAGTAAGTGTTCCAGTTTGCAAACGTTGGAATCCGAATGTCCCGATGGGGCTTCCAATTGGCTGCAGGACCTTCCTGCAACCAATCCGAAGCCGAGCTTTGCTTTCCAAACGTTTTGGAAGTCGAATGGACTTCCAGAACGGATTCCATTCATCTTCCAAGGTGCGACTGTACTTGCAAAACTCTCCAGTGGCAAGACACCATCCTCTCTTAGGAGGAAGATAGACCTCTCCTGAGACCAGCTGCAGGTGTGCCACATGTGCACATTTTCCCCCTTCAGAAAAATCATTTAATTATTAGCTCTCCACAAATTTGCTGACTGGTAAAACTCACAGCCCCACTCTGGACAGGGTTGCACTCCCATGGAAGGAGCGGGTACAGAGAACTGGGGTACTTCTGGAACCCAACTTTGACATTTAAGGGCCGGGTGGTCTTGGTGGCTGCAAGTGAGTCCAGCTAGCTTGCCAGCTGCAGCCTGCTTTGGACAGGTTGACTTGGGCCAATGTACTCCAGCCTCTGGATTATTGTAATGTGCTCTACGTGGGACTGTCCCATGGTTCAGAATGCAGCAGCCAAGTTACAGGCTGGGGTGCCATCTAGAACTCCTGTTTTAAAGCAGCAGTTGTTGGTTGCCTGTTCATTTCAAAGCCCAATTCAAGGTGTTCGCAGACAAGACTGACTTAAGGTCTCAAATATGTGAGAGACCACCTCCTTTCCTGCAGATCTTCCCAGCCATTAACATCAGCAGAAGGGAGCCCTCACAGCTGCCCTGCCATCTTCCCAGACTCAGAGGCTGGCAACCGGCAAGAGAGCATTCTCTGTGGCAGCGCCAAAACCACAGAATTCCATCCTTGTAGAGCTACATCTAGTGTCATCATTATTCTGCTTTATTGCATGCTGAATACATCTCTCTTTATCCTGGCCTTTGACAGCTGAAAAGTGTTTCTGTTATCTACCTACAAATTGTTAATTTATCAGGTTTTTATTTGGTTTCGAATGGCATTATTTGTGCCATTGAAACCCGCCCTGTGATCTTAATGTGAATGGCAGGTAATAAATCTGATAACCAAATAAAATCAATGAAGCAATATTTCTTTATCTACACCAACAGCCTTACTTTCAAGCAAAGAGGCCTGTTTCCACCCCCCACCCTGCAATTATCCCACTGAACAGCATTTCTGGTCTGCGTTTGTGATGCTATTTGTGGCTGAGCTCTATCTCATGGGAAGTTGCCTTATCCGGATACAGACCCACTGGTCCAAATAGCTCAGCACTGTCTCTTATACTGATCAGTAAGGCTGCCCAGGGTGTCAGGCAGGGGTCTCTCCCAGCCCTACCTATAAATGCTGGGCATACCTCCAACATATCAGTGTTAAGTGAACATGTGAAAAGCGCCTGCCTTAGGTTTGCTCATTTTACCAAAGAAAAGAGAGCTTCCCCGGCACTCACTCTTCATCAGGAGCCATAAATATCATGTTGATGAGACTTATCCTCACCAATATCTTAAAAATACAGTGGTTTGCATTTCAAATATCAGAATTCTGCTCAAGTGTTTGTGAAATGCTGACACAGTTGCCTTTGGAAACAGAAGGCTGACTGATAAACATTTGGTATTTTTATTTCTATGAATGTCTGTGTCTATAATGTGTCATTTCAATGTTAGGATCTTTTTTAAAGAGATGTGATTTCAAAGTGCGTGGTTTTTGGTTTGTTTTTCCTTTTAATGCAACCCTGAGGAATTTCCAATTTGCATATCTTTCACAAAAGGAGAATATGTTTTTCGGTTAATGCACCGCTAAAACCTTCCTGTGTTTTTTACTTTTGCAGAAACAATTCATCCCAGACTCAGTTCACTTCCCATGGAACACCTTTCTCCCTGAAAACTCTGCCATCACCAAAGAACAATCAGAGGCCAAGTGGCAAAATTCTTCCTCACTTGGGGAAAAGCAATTTATGAGAGCGAGCAGAGCTGCCAAAAGGGTTCTCAGGAGAGTAAGCCGCTCCCTGGTCTTAAGAGGAGATGCTTCCAATCCGTCCTTTATAAACAAAAAAGGAAAGGAAAGGAAATGCTGATGAGTCACACATCTTGTGAGCAAAGTATTCTTTAACTTGGCTACCATTCAGGAATTTTGCGTGTGGGCTCCAGAGAGGAGACGAAAAGTTGCATCAGATTGCATCCCAGAGCAACGGCATGCCTGCACTGGCTGTCTCCCTTGGGCTAATGCAGGCTCAAAAAAACCAAGGTTTGTGCCAACTGGTGTATGAAAACTACAGCAACTCGTGTTGTGGGGATGGTGGGGTCCAAACGTGCCAACCTGATGTGAATCATATTCTAATGGTTTCCCTATGTTCTCAAGGTATGTTACAAGCACACACCCGGCGGCAACAGGATTTGCCACTGGGCCTCAGCCCACTTCCTCCTGAAAAGGGGACCGTGGGCAAATCAGTCACTCAACGGGGCTCCACTGCTATGCGCTGTTTGGGAAACCGGTTAAATAGGACTGAGAGGAAAGTACTCCACTTTCCGAGTGTCCCGTTATGTCGTTGTTTAGAAGCAGCTGATTCCCAAAACCTACCTCAAGAGAACAATAAAGAGGGGCTTCTCATTTCGTGTCTCTCTGGACTAACCAGCCCAACATCAGTCTGCCCTCTTGCCAGGATGAGCACGTGAAGCTACACGGTCAGAAGATCAGGACTGTCCCTGTGGCCTTGTGAAATTCTTCTTCCACATGCTACAACCACACCCCACTCTCCTTTTCTCAATGGATCAGAGTGCAGCATTACGTTTGCTAAAGTGGGACACTCAGGAGCAGTGTTTGAAATTAGCCAGGCACCGGGCGCATTTTGCACCTGGTTTTCGACCACTTGTGATCAAGTGAAGATGCCCAGGCACCAGGATGACACTTGAGATCTCCACCATCTGGAGGTACATGCCTTGGGGATCATTGGATGTGGACTGTTTTCACACACTACCCTGTAGAATTTCACCCCACCCTGTAGAATTCTATCGGTTATATATTATCTGCACAATCAAAATGAATTTCTGGAACCTACCGTATTTTTCGCTCTATAACACGCACCTGACCATAACACGCACATCGTTTTTAGAGGAGGAAAACAAGGGAAAAAATATTCTGAATGAAACAGTGGACGTATCATTTTTGTGCTTCATGCTGTGGCCACAGACATGTGATCTGATGGTGAATTTGGGGTGACCCAATGCAAAGATCCTGAGGATCCATGTGGATCCATGCTTTGTAACCACGTTTTTGCACCATTGCAGCCCCAGGCAACAATGGGTGTGTGATTTTTTTTTGGGGGGGGGACAGGCTGTAGCCATGGACATGCTATGTGCTCTGATGGTGAATTTTGGCTGACCCAATGCAAAGATCCTGAGGATCCATGTGGATCCATGCTTTGTAACCACGTTTTTGCACCATTGCAGCCCCAGGCAACAATGGGTGTGTGATTTTTTTTTGGGGGGGGGACAGGCTGTAGCCATGGACATGCTATGTGCTCTGATGGTGAATTTTGGCTGACCCAATGCAAAGATCCTGAGGATCCATGTGGATCCATGCTTTGTAACCACGTTTTTGCACCATTGCAGCCCCAGGCAACAATGGGTGTGTGATTTTTTTTTGGGGGGGGGGGGACAGGCTGTAGCCATGGACATGCTATGTGCTCTGATGGTGAATTTTGGCTGACCCAATGCAAAGATCCTGAGGATCCATGTGGATCCATGCTTTGTAACCACGTTTTTGCACCATTGCAGCCCAGGCAACAATGGGTGTGTGATTTTGGGGGGGCAGGCTGTAGCCATGGACATGCTGTGTGCTCTGATGGTGAATTTGGGGTGACCCAATGCAAAGATCCTGAGGATCCATGTGGATCCATGCTTTGTAACCACATTTTAAGTGGGGAGGGAAGGAAAAACACAGAAGGCTAAGAATGCAGGAGAGGGCTATAACGTGAGGAAAGGAAGGCAAAAGTTTCCCCCCACCCACCCACACAAGCCAGCCAGCGTGCTCTCTCTCTCTCTCTCTCTCTCTCTCTCTCTCTCTCTCTCTCCCTCTCCCTCTCCCTCCCACCAGCATGACAGAAGAAAGCATTTTATCTGCATTAAGAACTATTTAGCAGCGAAACCTAAGCTTTGCCATCCCTTAAGAGGTACAGACACTGTAATCTTCCAGATCGCATGAATTTACAGGCAAAACACTGTTTAAGGATTTCATCCTTTTAAATGGAAGAAAGCATATTTGAATGCTGTGTGTCTCCAAAAACAAAAAGCAGGAAGTCAAATCAGAATTTTAAGCCGAACCTGTAATCTCTCTCCCTTCACAAACATTGTTCCCTCCGGAGCAAGGAGAGGATAGAACGAAGGACGCTCTGCTTTCCTCTCTTCTTGCCTGGAGGGGAGGGGCTTTCCCTGCTCTTTGTTCCGTTTGAGCAAACACAGTAACGAAACAGAGCAGGGTGGGCAGTAAGACCCTGAGGCAGAATGCAGGAAAGCAACAGCTTCCTCTCTCACGGAGCTCCCTTCTCCCTGAAGCGCGGTTTGATTTTTGCCTCATTTTTTCGGCTCCAGGGACCACACATTCGCTGCATAACACGCACAGACATTTCCCCTTCCTTTTTAGGAGAAAAAATCTGCGTGTTATAGAGCGAAAAATACGGTAAATGTTTTTTCTGTGCAGACCGAGCAGGAACAGTCACCATTAAGAAATAGAGGTCATATAATAGGCCAGTAAATATGTGGACTGTCCCTGGATCAAGTGACTTTTCTTCTTTAAGTTCTCAAAGCTCTTAACCTAGCTCAAGGTTGTCAACTGAACTAGCCAGATGTTTAGCTGAGAATCAATCCCAGCCAGTCCATCATTTGAAAAATATGACTTTAGCAGCATCTTGACCCAAAATTGCAACTAGAAATTCTGTTTTGGTGACTGTAACCTTAGTTTAAGGAGCCATTTGCCACCTAGTTTATATATCTGAGTTTCTGAATGCAGTGAGTCGTCTTCTAGGGCAGTGAAAGCAGGTCCTGCCCAACCATAAGGCAAATTGAGACAACTGTCTCAGGTGGAAGTCACAGCAAATTGGCACTCAAACATGCCTCCCCCACCACTACCAGATATCCACAGAAGCCTTGCCTTGGCAATGCCTCTGCATGGCTTTCCTCCTCCTGTGACACTTTCAGAAAGGGCCACAGGGGTCTTTGCTCAGAGTGAGGCATCCTGGGCAAAATGGCCCCCAAAGTGCCAGTGTTTTCCATCAATAACATGGTAGAAAAATATGGATCCAAGGCACTCTCACAAAAAAGTTATATATATATATATAAAATGTGCTTTATAACTTTGAGCTCCTTCAAGGATGGCAACTGAGCAACACGGCCAAGACTTCTAGAGGTCTCTCTCAGACCAGGGTTACCTGGGAAGGTCTGTGGTATCATTGCAGGCCTGCATTTTCAATTTTTATGGTTCCAAGTGTCTTAATTCAGGGAGAGGTAATGGACTGACCTAGCAGGCTATGACATTTCAGTAAGTCCGACTTACTCGGTGGTTTTGTACACATCAGAGTAGAGCCCTGCCTTCTGATATTTCTTCTTTGGGGGGCGCGGAGCTTTCTTCTCACGCTGCACAAGGGAAGTCAGAGGCTGCTCAACATTCTCCAGCTCACGCGGCTTCACTATCGCCTCATCAGGAGGAGGGGACTCAGTTGTTGTCTCAGAAAAGCTGGAATGGGGGGGGGGAGAGAGAGAGAAACCAGGAAAGGTGAGCAGACCAGCAGCAAGTAAGGCAGGAGAAAAATTATGCGGGGAGTATGCATCATTCAGGGGCAGAGTATGCATTCTGCATGCAGAAGGTCTCAGGTTCAGTCTTTGGCATCTCCAGTTCTCTTGGTTGCCTAACAGAGACCTTGGAGAGGTGGCTGCCAGTCAGAACAGGTGATACTGTGCTAGATGGGCCAGTCATCATCATCTGTATGCCACCTTTGCACAAAACTGTGCCCAGAGAAGCTCCAACAGCTCAGGCTTCCCCAACCTGGTGCCTTCCAGATGTTTTGGACTACAACTCTCATAAGTTGCAGCCAGCAAGGGAATTATAGTCCAGAAACATCTGGAGGACACCTGGTCAGGTAAGGCAGTCATAGCCAAGGCCAAGTATCTGACAGCAGTTGTGGGAAAGACCTTTACCTGACATCTTGGGAGAGCTGCTGCCAGCCAGAGTAGGCAAGAATGGGCCCAAAAACCAATGGTCTGATGCAGCTTTGTGTTCAAAGGTCAGCTGCTGCATAATTCCCTTCCTCAGTGGTCATGATGCTGTCTTTGTTTTTATTTTATACGGTATGGATCACAAGGACTAGAAACTTTTATGCACACCTACAACAATTCTGTGCAGCTCAGATTCTCCATGCAGCTCAGATACGGGGAGCCTTTGGCCTCGTCAGTTGCTGCTGAACTGCAACTCCTATCACCCGTGGCCATCAGGCAACACTTCCTAGGGCTAATGAGAGTTGTAGTTCTGCAAACTCTGGGAGGGCCAAAGGCTCCCCACACCTGGTGCAGCTGAAGCCCAACCAGTAGTGTTCACATACAGAGGGATTACCTTTTATTGCTCTCCTGCTCATCATCTGGTAGAGGCTTCTGCCTTTTCCTGGCCTGCTCCTCCTCCAGCCACCTCTTCCTCTTCCAGCCTTTCACGTTAACCCCCTGAACCACCGATTCTATGGCATCAGTAACCGTGTCAGGACTGCAGTGGAGCAAGCAGCCTTGGCCCCCGCCGTCCAGTTCTTGGCTGACAAAGCGGCTCACCTGGAGGGCGTGGACTGAAACCACTGAGGGCAAGGGGTACTTCCTGGGCCGGCCGGGCCGGCGCTTCACAAAGTTATTGCCAGTCCGCGCCTGCCTCTGCAGCTTCTTGGCTTTGAGGATTTTGTTGACGTGGTCCAGGTTTTTCTTAGTGGCCAAAAGCTTGTCGTAATTGCACATTTTCCTCGCCTGGCACTGCATGGCTTCCACCATGCTCCTCTTGAGGTGATGGGAGGAGTAGCCGCTCAACAACCGGTCTGAAAGGAGAGAGATGCCGTCGCCACCCGCGTTGCCCGGAATCAAGAGCCCGCTGCTCTTCTCCCTGCTGGGGCTTCGGCTGGGGCTACCTGAGGGCAGAACAGGTGTGTGCGTCATGACGGCCTCAAGGGTCTTGTCCAGGGCACCCTGGCTTTCATGTTGAGCCATGCGCTGCAGTAGATTATCCACAGGATCCTCCACTGCAGTCCCGAGCCTTGTACTTCGTGAAGGAAGCGGGGCCACTGGAGAAGGAGAAGAAACATCAGGAAGCATAAGTAAGTTCGGATTTTCATTTTTCCACTTATTTTAAATACATATATGCCACATAGGTTTGAGCAGATGAAATAGGATAACTTATAGTACAAACACACCCTCCAACTTTAGCAGCAGCAGCAGCAGCAGCATCAATCATTAAAAGCCTTCTGAAAAAGACAGGCCTTTAACCACATGACTATAAGTGATGGGGCCAGGTGGGTTTCTCTGGGGAGGACTTTCCACAACAATGGAGCCATGACCGATAACACCCTGACTGCTTAAACGCAGGTAAGCAAAAGGATCTAGGGCTTTAGAAATAACAACCAGTACCTTGAACTGGGCCCAGAAGCAAGTAACTAACTAGCCAATGGCGATGGAACAACGTTGTGCTCCAGCCAACCAGCTGCACTCCAAATTCCAGCAGTATCAGAGTTGGACCAGTTGAAGTTTCCCCGACTCTTTTCCAGTAGTCTAATCAGGAATTACAAATGCTTGAATGATAGCAGTGAGGTCTATCTTCTTCAAGAAAGGGTGCAGCTTTTAAGCCAGCCTAAGCTGGTTAAAAGCTTTCTGATTTTTTAGGGTTGTGTATGGCCATCCTCACACTGTGCTCCTTTGAGGAGGGTGAAATTATCTGGGATTCCTCGCAAGCTCACCATCTGTTGAGGAAATAGAGGGGCCTAAGCAGCTGCACTAACCGATGCTAATCCAGCTACACAACGTGGCTTGGGGGGGGGGGAGAGATGCTGAGTCTCGATAGTCTGCCCTTGAACTGATGCTCCCGTTTTTGGAAACGATCCAAGAGGATCCAGGCAACCCCAACCGCATGAGCCTGGTAACAGCTGCAGCGCTAGGCAGGGAAGACCAGAGAGCATTTGATTAACAAAGGAAGTTTTTCGTAAGGCTACGGTGCCTAGGGAGGATTTCACGGTGAGGATGGGCAACATCAGCAGCTTTCATTATCGCATTCTGACCCCTCCCAATCTACATCGCTTCCTCCCCGACCGCAATCCAATTCTAACACTGTCTCAACCTAACCTCACTCTCCTCATCTGTCTCGCATGGTGTCAACTGCTTAAAATGCCACCTGCTGCTATCTTTCCAGCTGCGGCTCAGCCTCTCTGTACCAGCCGACAGCTGTAGCCCAGCCACACTGGCAGCACAACGGTACTTTAGGCCACAACATAAGCTTTCCCCAACCCCCTTTGGTTATTTCAGTTTAATTAGAGTAAGGATGGGGTGGGGATGAAGTCGAGAATCAGGAATAAATAAAAATGAATAAAAAGTAGGAGTCACATTAATCACTTGAGGGAACCGAAAGATGACCACAGATGTGGACTGAAATTCATGGAGAATCCCACCTGGGACTTCCCCTTATTTGTAAGATGGGACACTCTTAGGCCTGTTTTTACTTGTTGCTGTTTCTACAATTTTTTATTGCTTTTTGTGCTGCTGTTGCATACTGCTTAAGAGATTTTTAAAATAAGCAATTGAGACAGGTTTATAAATACGTACATTTGTAATTTGTTTTTAGTGTTGCATTTTAAATTGCTGTGACTCGCCCTGAGCCATTAGGGGTGAAGGGAAAGGGAGAATCACAGACTTGTAGAGTTGGAAGGGTCCATGCGGGTCATCTAGTCCAACCCCCCCCCCCCCCGTAATGCAGGAAACTTTTGCCCAACATGGGACTTGAACCCACAACCCTGAGCTTAGGAGTCTCATGCTCTACCAACTGAGGGAAGGGTAATAAATCAAATTATTTTTATTATTATTATTATTATTATTATTATTAGATAATACTTCTTCCAAGCTTCCTCCTGTGAAGAATGACACAAGCAGAAGAACCTTCAGTTGTCTCCATAACGCTATGACCCTAAAAGTGCATTCTTTAAGGCGACTGGCTAGGCAACTTGATTGGGTGGTTGACCCGGGAGCAATATAGGGCACCTCCATGGCTGTCCAGCAACCACAAAAGTGACCGTACCCACTTCCTCTTCTCTTCCTATGCAGCAAAAACCTTTATTTAGCCCACCTGTCATAAAGACTGCTAAAAAGCGGCACACCTGGAAACACCTTAAAGCGAAGGTGGTAGCTGGAAGACAAGTAACAACCCAACTGGTGCAGGAGTCGGATTAATTGATGAGCTCTGTATTACTCTCTGATGCACTCTGAATAGAAGTTTCACCATGGAGAGGTATCTATTGTCATCTTACTGTTAACGAGAAAGCTGGTGGTTCGAGCCCACCCAGGGATGGCTGTGGACAGGATTCCTGCACTGCAGGGAATCGGACCAGCTGGCCCTTGGGATCCCTTCCAACTGTACGATTCTGTGATTCTTCAGCACCAAGTTCCAAAAGGAGTCACAAGCCTACTGACTCCCCATTTATTTTATAATTTCTACCTCACTTTTTACTCATTTGAAGACAACACCCAAGGCAGCCGCACTGCTGGCATATTGAAGTTAATACAGCAGCTACTGAGAAATCCGACTCCTGTGCATCTGCTGGTCTTCCAACGTGGTGGGTTTTTAATTGACGGAAAGCTGATTGCCTTCCATGAACCAGATTGTGCCCAAAGGATCCATGACCAGCCCTTCTAGATTATCTAGCAGAATAACAAGCACAACATAGCATTTTAGAGTGGGGATGGGGAACCTATGGCCCTCCAGATGACGCTGGATGCCAACGCCCATCATCTATGACCAGTGGCTATGTTGGATGGGGCTGATGGGAGTCCAGCAACATCTGGAAGGCCACCAGGTTCCCCACACCTACTATACACTTCTCTAAGTGCGTTTAATATGAGATCCCAGATTGGCTGGGACATAGGTGTAGGTCAGAGATGGGGAATCTGTGGCCATCCAGATGATGCCTGACCACTGGGCCATGCTGCTGAGGCTGATGGGAGCTGAGGTCCAACAGCATCTGGAAGCCCATGGGATCGCTATCCTCATTTGAGAAGCAGCAGGAGGTTTATTTGCCTGTAGAAGATGTGCTCTCGGATGAAGACCTCTTCCTGGAGGGGCTGCAGCTCGTGCCCTCTGACGGCCTCTGCAAGGGTTTGTCTTGTGCTGGAAGATTTCCTGGCAAAGGAGAAAAGCGTGTCAAAGAGAAATGGAAGGTTTTTAAGCTGTGCTTACCAATGTCAGAAAAAGATCAAAAGGAACCACAAGATCAGCGTTTCCCAAACTTGGGTCTCCAGCTGTTTTTGGACTACAACTCCCATCATCCCCAGTGTTCAGGGATGATGGTAATTGTAGTTCAAAAACAGCTGGAGACCCAAGTTTTGGAAACGCTGCACTAGATGAACCCCTGTGGTTTTGTGTTCAGCTGAAATGAAGCCTAGGTATGCATTCAGCCCTTGCTTTCCTCCTTCCTCCCCCACCTTTCAACTGTAAGCGCCTTGGGGCAAAGACCTGGCTCCCCTCCATTTGCATCTTGTGCTATTTCTCTAAAGTCCAAGCACATCAATAGTAACAAAGTGGCCTTTGACACTTGAGATATATTCAAGACCCATCCAAGTGACTTTAATTTATTTTTAACGGTTTTCAATGCTGTAATTTGTTTTGCTGTAACCCACACTGGATCCTTCTGGGGAACAGCAGTTTAAAAAAATCTGTCTAATAACGGCAACAACAATAGGCAAAAAAACAACAACCACAAAATGGAATATAGAGCAGACATGTTCAATTTGGACTCCGGTGCTGCAGTTGAGAAAGAGGAAATGTTTCGATCTAAAAGACCACCAGGTGAGAGGCAGCATTTACAAAAACATGTCAGAAGGCTCCAATCACCACTTAAGAGGAGCTCTCCACGGCTGCTTTCTCTCTCCATCACTCCCTTCTGTCCCATCCATCCTTCCACTGAAAGGAACACCTGGCACATCTGGTTCAATGAAATTCGATTTCTCAGTTTTCCTTTTCCCACTGCTCTACTGACATCCAGAGAAATTGGTTCAACACCCCACCCCAGTCCACACACAGCATTTTTTATCCCCCATCTCTAAATGTCTCTTGTACTCTTCCACCTGGAATTTTTGGGGAATGGGGAGGGAAACACACCAGAGTATTTAAGTGTCACAACAGCATGTCAGAACTTGGATACACACACACACACATGTTGTTCATCCTTTCCCCAGCTTATCATAAACAGCAGCCTGAGATTCTTCCTTGAAAAATATGAACTTCTTTCCATTTCTGCATAATAATCCTGATGTCCACATACTTTCCCCCCTTAAGCCCAGATAATACTATTGCCATGCTGATGGTTTCTATTTTCAGCTTTTGTTTCTTCTCCCTCCTTCTAAGTAGCAAAAAGCTAAGTAATGCCTAGGGACAGTATCTCCAATACTGTGTGTTATTTGAAAGTATTGTTTTATTAAAATAAAAGGCCTTTATCAAACCTTTGCAAATATACCAAGCAGAACAATCTGATCATTGGGCTGTGCTGGCTGAGGCTGATGGGAGTTGTAGTCCAACAACTTCTAGGGGGAGTCAGGTTCCCCAGCCCTGTTATAGAGTGACTGTGGAGCTGGCGAGGGAGGTTGGACAAATAAACTTCTGAATGCTCCCAATAAGGATAATTTGTCTTCGGGCTGCGCAGTAACTCTCCTTCAGCACTGTTGCACATCAAGAGTACTGCTGAAGATAAATGGGACAGAAACTTGCTATCTCACACACTCCCTGCTTTCATAAGTATCGTTTCTGATGTCTAGACAGGCAAAATAGATGTTGCGAGGGCTGTCACACCCCCCCCATGTATAAAGCAGAGGGTGGGAGGGTCTAAAGGAGTGAGTGCCTGAGAAGAGCTGAACTTTCCCCTCTCACCTTCCTATTTAAAGTTATCATAAACATTCTTCATCTAGCCAGGCTGAGGGAAAACACTCTCTGCAGAAAGCTGGGGAGGGTTCAGCTTCTCCTGCAAAAATGAAGAGTCTACCCCCTGCTCTTCAACAGCCAGCCAGTGTGGTGTAGTAGTTAGACATGGGTAGGCAAACTAAGGCCCAGGGGCTGGATCCGACCCAATCACCTTCTCAATCCGGCCGGCTTATGGTCCGGGAATCAGTGTGTTTTTACATGAGTAGAATGTGTGCTTTTATTTAAAATGCATCTCTGGGTTATTTGTGGGGCCTGCCTGGTGTTTTTACATGAGTAGAATGTGTCCTTTTATTTAAAATGCATCTCTGGGTTATTTGTGAGGCATAGGAATTTGTTCCCAATTACGGCAAATGAAGTACTGCCCCACCAGCTTCAATCTGCTCTCAATCAGCTGCGGAACCGGCTCCCTCTTCCTAAATCTCAGTGTTGCCCATTGTACAACTGAGCAAGGAGGGGACTGGAGACAAAACCAAAGTTAGTTGGCTCTGCCTGTCATTGGCTCTGGCTCCCCCTACTGCAGGATCACTGCCTTCTGCTCTACCAGTCCCAATCGGCAGCAGGCACACCAACGTTCGAGCCCCACATTGAGCAAAAGATTCCTGGACTGCAGGGAGGTTGGACTACATGAGCCTCGTGGTCCCCTTCTAACTCTACAATTCTATGAAAGTAAAATTAGTTACCCCCTCCTGCTGCACTGTTCAGTGCTGCTCCTTCGTTAATTCTGTTTCTAGTTCAGTTCTGTCATTTTATCTTATGGCTTTAATATAATTTGTACCTGTTTTATCGTTTTAATTGGGAGATTTCTGCAACCTGCCCTTGGACCATTCGTGAAAAGTAGGCTGTTAAGTATAACTGAACAAACAAAATAAATAAATTAAATAGAACCTCATTGCAGAGGAGACTGTATATCGATGCTTTAAGTGGGGGCATGTTTGCAAACTTGAAGATGATTTTCTCTCTTTTTTTGCATTAATTCTGGCTAAGTGAACGGTGGTGATGGTGATGCAAACAGCACCACGTGAAATTATGGGTCTCGTCGTATGTTATATAGGCACGTTTGTCAGGAAACCAAGTGCAGCCTTGGCGATCAAGCTTGCAATGGCCTCCACAGTGTGTGTGTGTGTGTGTGTGTGTGCGCGCGCGTGCGTGCGCCGCAGGCCAAAGGAGGAAAGTTCCAGAGGTGTTTATCTCGGCGCTACTTAAATGCACAGCCCTCCAGGGCCTTTGCTGCACAACATGCCTGAGATGTGGCAAGGAAAGGTGAACGAGCCAAGCGCAGAGCTGAAAGCTGCTCTCAGATTAAAACAGCTGGTTTCAATTGTGGGAAGCGCACTTACTGAAAGCGATACATTTTCATCTGACTCACCAATTAAATGCACTAGCAGAGAAGCAATGATTCAGAGATGGCACTCGGCAGGCTTCGGCCTAAAATGTCTGTTTTCCTTCTAATTAAGGCTGTTTCTCATCAAATCCAAGTCAGCTCACTCACGGTAATGGAATTCCTCGGGAAATTCCCAGAACTGCACTAACCAACACAACCTGTTTTCTCCTCCTGCTTTTCAGACTTAACCCGTTGAGGGAGGGTGTCGCACTCAGCCTCTAAGAGGGAAGCTAAACTGGGGGCTTTGGGGGGAACCAGGTACCTAACCTATGGGAAAAGAGGAGGGGTAACAAGCCAAATCTGGGGTATTTGTAGGTGCAAGAAGGGCAGCAAGAGTGCCACTAGATACTGGTGTGGAGGCTTCTCAGCAAGGTCTAAAAGCCTGAATTTGGATCCAGAGTAAAAATTAGCTTGCAGAACAAACTTTTTTTTTTAAAAAAAAGCACTGTTAAGCACTCTTAAGTCCACTGACATCCATTGGTGTTACTAAAAGGATGACTAAAATTGAATATTTACCTGCTTGTTAAAAAACAAAAACTTCATAGCGACTGTAGCAAACCTGGCAAATTCTAGAGGAGTAATGGTGTTAGTAGTATATTACGGCAAGAACAAAAACGGAGCCTAGTGGCAGTTAAAAGACTAAAAGATTTATTACAGCATAAACATTTGTGGAGCAGAACCATGAAAGCGTAAGCCTCAATAAATCTGGCAGTCTTTAAGATGCCACAAGTCTCTGTTTTGTATGGAAATGTTATCAACACAGTTTTTTGTTGTTGTTTTTAAACCACCCAAGAAACTGATTTGTGCCTTTGGTGTTTCAACCCAGTAACCAAGCCCACAGAATTGTTTATAATAGGGTTTCCCAAACTTGGGTCTCCAGCTCTTTTTGGACCACAACTTCCATCATTCCTAGGTAGCAGGACCAGTGGTCAGGGATGTTGGGAACTGTAATCACTCAGTTTGCTTAACCAGTGCGGTTACCAGACATAGAGAAGAAACCATGAAGAGTTTCGTGGAACCTTCATGACTAAAAAAATTGTTACAGCATAAGCTTTTGCGGTCTACAGTCATCAGGTGAATGAAGTGTCATCCTCAGTTAGTTACACATGATGTGTGGGTGTGTTGTTGGGATTTTCTTTAAAAAAATTTTTTGAGAGGGGGAGAATTGTAAACAGTGAGGTCAGAGGGAAAACAAATGCAGAAAAGTAGAAATGGTGATGGTACATAAGAAACGGTGGTAATTCACAACACAGTTGTTGATGACAGGCACATTTCGGCAATGGTAAACCAATTAACATATATAATGTGCTAATAATCCATCGTCTTGATTCATTTCACTTGTGAAACCATTAAACCTCTTGATATATTGTAATTCAGCAGTTTCAAGTTGCGGTCTGCTTTTGAAATTCCTTTGCTCCATAAAGTCCACTTTAAGGTCACTTGCAAAATGTCCTGGAAGACTCCGGTATGGCTCCCCTTTAACACATACACAGTCTAACAAGACAACAACACAAACCCACTGACAGCATACAACTGAATATAGCTATCTTAACCCAACAACCCCCCCCCCCCGTTCTGTAGAAAATGAAACCTGAAGAAAGAGACAATGCATGTGATTTTGTGAATGAGGAAAATCTTTAATAAAAAACATTTTTTTAAAAAAAAATGTCCTGGAAGGTTGAAAGGTTCCTCCACTGACTTCTGAATATTGCCATCTCCAATGTCAGATTTGTGCCCATTTACACACAGAGTTACCAGCTGAAAACACTCAAGCATAGCATTAATACTCTACAGCCCATGCTGGACACTTGACACTTCACTCACAGGCCTTGTGTGGTGGATCTGTATATAATGCCCTATATGCCTGAAGGAGTGTCTCCAGCCCCATCATTCAGCCTGGATGCTTGTTGCGAGAAGTGAGTTACAGGAAACCAGACAGAGGGCCTTCTCAGCAGTCCTGCCTGCCCTGTGGAACGCCCTCCTGTCAGATGTCAAGGAAATAAACAACTGACGTTTAGAAGACACCCAAAGGCTGCCCTGTATTTTAATGTCTTTAATGTTTTATGTTTTACTGTGGTTTTATAGTTGTTGGAAGCTCCCAGAGTAGCTGGGGCAACCCAGTCAGATGGGCAGCATATAAATAGTATAGTAGTAGTAGTAGTAGTTTATAGACAACTCTCCGACTTAAAACAGCTGCTCACCATCAACAACAGACCATGTAACAGAGATAGAGGCAAAGAGACCAGCCCCTGTAGGAGACAACTTTGCCCCTATGTCTGCTAAGGCAACATGATTGCAGGGCCTAATAATGGCATCTGAACAACACTGGGGGTTCAGTCACCTGCTCATCTTCCAATGTGCCATCATCTGCCAGCAATGCGCTTCTGCATTCTACCAAGAACAAAGAGAACCAGTCTCTATGCAAAAGAATGGACAAAACTCTGACATCAGAAATGGCACTATTCAAGAGCTGATGAGGGAACATTGCAACGTCCCAGGACATTTTTAAAAATTAAAATATGTTTAAGTATCCAGTTTAAGTATCTCACATTGAGAATCCTATAGTCATCAATACTTTCCACTAAACTTAAACATGTAAATTGATATAAGCCCTCCAGGTGTCAAAAAACAAATTTGGTGTGTAAAGAATGTGAAGGTACTTTTTTTTCACCTTTGGTGGACGTGTCCAAAGATTAAGACCTTCTGGGAGATGATGTATAATGAGATGAAAAAGGTATTTAAATATACCTTCCAGAAGAAACCAGAGGCCTTTCTCTTGGGCATGGTCGGCCAGTTGGTGCTAAAGGAGGATAGAACTTTATGTATGCTACAACAGCAGCAAGAATACTTATCACAAAGTATTGGAAAACACAAGATCTACCCACCCGGGAAGAATGGCAGATGAAGGTGATGGACTACATGGAACTGGCTGAGATGACTGGCAGAATCCGAGACCAAGGAGAAGAGTCGGTGGAAGAAGAGTGGAAGAAATTTAAAGTCTATCTACAGAAATATTGTAAAATCAAGGAATGTTAGAAAGAGGTTGGAATTAAACTAAGTGGTTTTAGCAGGAAAGATAAAAGGATTAAGTAAAGAGGAATTGTTAACAGGTGAAAATGTAAAGTTACAATATATTAAGATAAGATATTAAGATAAAAGCCAAAAGGGTAAGGATTTGCTAAAACAACTATTGAATTAGAATACAAAAAAGGGTGGTGAGAGGAGGTCAGGGAAATAAGTAAATGAAAGATAAGATATGGAAAGACTGATTTGTTTTTAACTGTTTTCTATTTTTCTGTATTTCGTATTTTTTGTTCTTTTTAATTTTTCCTTTTCTTTTTTTCGTAATTTTTTCGAAACTTTAATAAATATTATTCCAAAACAACAACAACAACAACAACAACAACAACAAAAACAAATTTGGTGTTTAGAAAAATATATGTTTAAATGTATTGTGTAATAGGCAGTGGCTCTTTATACTTCCAAGCTTGACTTACAAGACTCATAACAAGCACAAGGGTTTGCAACACCCACTTTTGTTGTCCTGCTGTTAATCCCAACACTACAGAAATATATAGTTTTAAAGTACTTGAACATTTGGGAATATAAAAGATTTCATAAGTACAAAATGTATACACATCACTGGACATGCCTGAATCATGTGCCTTTTCAGCTTTACACTTCCAGAATCTATCATTATTAAGCAGTACCTTCATGCAGAAATATAGTGGAGTCCAATGTATCTGAAACAATTTTTTGCTGGATCAGTCTCAATTTCAAATCCAGAGAAACATTCTGTATCGATTTTAATGCAATTTCCCATTGTTTAGGTTGTCCAGAACATCCTAATTCCCTATTCCACAACTCTCTATGCTCCTGAACACCTCCTTTACAAAGGTCTAATAGGCATTTATATACAGGAATTGTGAATTTAGTTTTCTGAGAAACTCCAGTGATTTCCTCCAACAAAGCAAACCGCCCATAAATAGACACCAACAGATGCTATAACTGAAGAGACTGCCATTCAGCACTCACTGGCAAATAATATTTATACCACAAAAAAATGAGAAAAATTCTCCATCTGAATGTAACAGCTTATCTAATGTATAAATCCCACATTCAACCCATTTCTTACAGACACACTTGACATTCCCAGGACATGATGTAAAGGACCTTAGAGTAGCCACCCTGAAAGAAAGGGACTTTCAAAGGGAGGCTGCACTATGAAACTGCTGAATTACACCGTATAAAAGGGTTCAATGCTATCACATGTGGAATGAATCAAAATAGCACACTGCCTGTGTCGACTGGTTTACCAATGCCAGGATGTCTGTGTCATCAGCGACTGTTTTGCTAATTACCACTGTTTATTGCACATTCTCATTGTCCTTGTACTTTCCACACTTAATCCCCTTCTGATGTCATTGTTTACAATTCCCTTGCCCCATTATGTATGTATATATACTTGCAACTCAGGATAACACTTCCTGCATCTAGCAGAGTGGGCTGTAGACCACAAAGGTTTAATGATTTGTTTAGCCTTTAAGGTGCCACAAGTGACTAACACAGCTACCCCTCTAAAAACAGAACATGATCTTGAGAAATAGCAACTGGCCATTCAACATAACTATTTCCAATTACTAGGAGATGGAATCACATTTTTATGATGTCAGGGATTATAAAAGACCTGGGATTCTCTTCAGTTGCCACTGGCTCCCCTACAGAATCAGGCCTTTTCCTCCTTTGCTAAGAACATATCCCGCTGCCAGCACACTAGGAAAGAGAGACATGTAGCATTGGTCCTTATACACAAATGACCTGATTTGGGGCGGGGGGGGGCACTGCAGCTCAGAGGCAGAGCTTCTACTTTGCCTTGGTTCCATCTCCGACTCAGGTAGTAGGTAAAGGGGAAATACCTCCCCCAATATTTTAATCTTATTTATCTATACAAAAACAGTTTTAAAACTGCTTAATATGGTTTTTTAAAAATCTAAGCAGTCTAAAACAATAGTTAAAGCATAAATGCAGCAAAAGTCTTGGGAGAGCCACTGCCAATCAGAGTATTAGTGCAGCTGCTTTGCATGCAGGAAGACCAGGCTTCAATCTCTGGCATCTCCAATCTCTGGCATTTTCCTGTCTGAAACCCTGGAAAGTCACTGCCCATTGGTGTGGACAACAAAAAAGGTAAAGGTACCCCTGCCCGTTCGGGCCAGTCTTGCCAGACTCTAGGGTTGTGCGCTCATCTCACTCTATAGGCCGGGAGCCAGCGCTGTCCGCAGACACTTCCGGGTCACGTGGCCAGCGTGACAAGCTGCATCTGGCGAGCCAGCGCAGCACACGGAACGCCGTTTACCTTCCCGCTGGTAAGCAGTCCCTATTTATCTACTTGCACCCGGAGGTGCTTTCGAACTGCTAGGTTGGCAGGCGCTGGGACCGAACGACGGGAGCGCACCCTGCTGCGGGGATTCGAACCGCCGACCATGTGATCGGCAAGTCCTAGGCGCTGAGGTTTTACCCACAGCGCCACCCACATCCCCAGTGTGGACAATAGTGGACCAATAAGTGTGGCTCACTGTAAGTCAAGAGTAACGGGCTAGATGAACCAACAAGGACCAAGCACAAAACTGGGGTAGCATCATAGGCAGGCAAAAAGCAAAAAAGATGATGAGACGATGACCAGGGGACAGGAGTTACTGCAATATTTTGTTGCTAAAAATCTACTCAAGTAAAGATCTCTTCCCCCTCCCCCTCCAAAAAAACCACTGTGTTAAACTCACAACGAACATGGTGAGTTTCCTCTTCTCTTTTTAGATGGACCAGTGGTCTGATCTGGTATACAGCAGTTTCTTATGTTCATTTGGCAGAGAGCATGAAGCCTCTGGATCGAGTAGGCTGCTCTGAACCTGGACACACCTGGTCAGCAGGTCAGCCCCCTCTGCTTGATGTACTTCAAGCTCCAGATCTCTGGGAACACGGGCTGGAAAACATCCCCACCCCCAGGCAGGTCTAGATTTGCATACAACTGCTCATAACCCCAGAACCTTCTTTTTCTGCCTGCCTGACACGATGAAGTGGTGGCAGGCTCAGCCTTGCTAACTCCAGGTGCTGTTAAAAGTTTGCATTGACACACATACAAGAGTAGAGGTCTCTTACCTGACAAGGTTGGCCCTGCCTTCTCCATAGGGGGCAACGTCTCCTTCCGGAGAGGCCGGCTGAGCGAGGCTTCCTGGGGGCCAAAGAGTCCGGAGCCATCAGGCAGTTTTTTGCGCCCGCCGGTGGCAGCAGAGCTGGAGACTCGGCAGCTGCCTATTGCACTGGTAAAAAGGTTTGTGTGCTCGTCGCTGCTGACCGGCTCGGAGCTGGGAGTGAACCTCCCCAGAGGCAGGTTGGGCGGAGTGTCTGAGCAGTCTATCTGCAGCGGCGTCTGTAGCCCCAGAGCCAGGGAGGAGTTGGGCTCTGCCGGCTCCCTCCGGACCCACTGCTCTTCCCTCCCAAGCAGGCCTTTCGAAGGGGACAGGTGTGGGCAGGCCATGTGGCAACGGTGCTTCTCCTTATGCTTGTACCTCTCGCCAACGGCCTCCTTCCCAAACCGGTAGCGCTTCAGGGACTCCAGGACGGTTCGGGAAGGGCCGCTGGGCGCCAAGGTGTCAAGGGAGACCTGCGGCTGCTCTGAGGAGGAGCGGTGCTCGCGGTGCTTGTGGCGGTGGCGGTGCTTGTGCTCCAGCATCCAGCCGTAGGCCATCTCCGGTGGGACGCTGGGGTGGTAGGTGCTCATGGAGAGGAGGGGAGCCCGGCTGGCGGTGAGGAAGGCCTCCTGGCGAAGCAGCTTATGCTTCTTCTTGTGGTACTTGGCGGGGTTGAGGAGCAAGTGGCCGGTGTGCATGTATGATGGAGGCGGCAGCGGGGTGGTGAACGAAGGGGAAGGCGGAGGCGGGTAGAGGGTCGGCGGGTACCGCCCGTAATAGCCCAGGCCAATGGGAGCGGCCGCAAGGGGAGAAGGAGAGTAAGGCATGCCGTAAGAGGGGTAGAATCCAGTGCCAGAGAGGGGGAAGCTGAGGCTGTGCATAAAGGGCATTTCCGCCATGGCCTCACGCATTTTGGGTGGCCGGCCTCTCTTCTTCTTCAGGTCGGGCTTTCGGATGTAGTGCAAAGGATCCAGAGGGAAGGTGGGGTGGGAGTAGAAGCTGTTGAAGTTGATGCGGAAAATCGTGGGCAGCAAGTCCCGGGGGATGAAATGGTGGCTCCGGTGGGTGATCCGGATTTCGCTCAAGCGGCTGATCAGCTCCTCTAGCTCCGCCAGGAAATCGGGGTCCTGCCTGCCCCGCAGCTGCGGGTACTTCTTCTTCCGCTTCCGCTTCTGCCTCTTCATCTTGTCGTAGGCCAGGTAGTCGTGGCTGCGGCGCTTGCACTTGTGCTTGTGTTTCTCTTTGAGGCTGCTCAGGACCGTCGAGGTCTCGGGGGGGACGAGGGAGATGTGGTCGAAGGAGTGCCGTCGCTTCTTCGGGCCGCAGAACTTCTCCGCCCTGTCCGAAGTGCTGTTGTTGTCAGTCCCGATCCCGCTGTCGCTGGGAATCGTCTCGTCGCTGTGGGACTCGCTGATGGGCGACGGAGTGGCTTCCTTCAGCGAGCCGAGTTCGCTCATGTGGGATGGGGAATTGGGGAGAAGAGTCGGCGGGGAGAGCCTCCTCCGGGCCCTCGAGGCCTTCCGCATTGCCAGGGTCTGAACCACGCTTCCCTGCCTGGAGTGGAGGTGCAGATAGGGCACTGAGTTGGGCTCCACAAAGCCCATGTCGCTGCTGACAGGGCTCTGCCCTCCGCTCACCCCAGATGACTGAGAACAAACGGGTGAAGGGAGAATCTCAGGGTTATTTGTGGCTGAAGGGAGCAAAGGAGCCACTGCTTGTCCGAGCGCCGTCCCCGTCGCCTGCTGGGCAGACTTTTCAAGAAGAGTCAAGCTGTCAGCATTAGCGGCCAAGATGCCATTCAGGACAGCTTTCGGCTTCCTGCCTCGCCTCTTTCCTATGTAGATTGTTCCTTTCTTGCTGACGTTGATCTGCTGGCCTAGTTTTGAGCCAAACGTGGCAGCGAGGGTCGACACTGTCGTGTGGAGCTTGGATTGCACGTTCCCTTTATTTGGTTCTGTCGCAGTAGACGAGAGGATTTGATTCAAGAGCTTCTTCCGCTTCAGCGTCTTCATCTTGTTGATTTTCCTGATGATGGTTTTCATCAGCTGCCCATTGCTGCGCTTGCTCTCCTTGCGGTCCGGCTCTACCTCAAGGTCAGTCATGTTGCAGGCGCTCGTCTTCCCAGGCTCCTCGGGGCCTCCTAACGGGCTTGCCACTTCAAAGAAATCCTCGCTCTGCCGCTGGTCGCTTTCACAATCCAGCTTGTTGGAACTGTCTGCAGTGACAAAGGGCGCCACGGAGAGGACAGGGGGTTTCATCTTGACCCCTGATCTGATCTGCCTCTTCGGACGGCCCCTCTTCTTCGGGAAAGCTTGCTCTGTGAGGCTCTGCTGAAAAGACGGGATCTCCACCTCCGGATGCAGCACTGGAGGTTCTTGCTCTTCCTTCGACTGCACTGAAAACACTTTAGAGGCAGGGATCTTCAGGGTCCGCTTCGGGGGGCCCTCCAGGTGGGGCATCTCTTTGGATTTCGACCTGCCCCTTTTGGACTTGTACATTTCAGGCAGCAGGTCGTCCGAGATGCACCCAACGGAAGCCTGCATGTGGGGACTGTAAAATTTGCTCGGCTCCTTCTCAACGCTGCTGAGCAGAGAGGGGGACTGTATGCTACTGGACTTGCTGAGCTTTGGCAACTGGCGTTTGACAAACTCGTGCTGGGCAAAGGAAGGCGGGCCTGCGCTTTTGAAGAGCTTGGCCTGATCTAGGCTACTGTTTGACAGCACGCTGCAAGAAATGTTTTTGAAAAGCTCAGGCCTCCCCAATTCTAGGCCTTTGGGAGGCCGGCAAGTGCTCCTGGAGACTACCTTAGTCCAGCGCGGCTTCCTTCCTTTCCTTTTCTTCAGAGGTGTTGCTTGCGGGCCACCGCCACTACTGCTCAGAGTTTCCACCCCCTGGCAGGGTTTACCTGATGCAGCCATGGCACCAATCTTTAGAAAGGGCTTATTGTTGAACAAACTGGAGAAGCTAACCACCGAAGGGGCAACAGTGGCACGGGTGTTAGAGTCAGTTGCCAGGCTGGGCTTCCTGCCTAAGGTGGGGCTCGGTTTGGGGTCATCGGCATGCACAGCTTTGGAACCGTTTAATTCCCTGCCGACCCCTTTGCCAGCAGCGTGCGAGCCAGGATTCAGCACCCGGTTCATACTTGAGCGCGTGCTGTCAGAGGCAAACGGGGTCTTGCTAATCTGCTCGGAAATTCCTTCTAAGAGCTCAGGCGTGCTATTTAAATGCAGAGGGTTGGAAGCTAACTGAGCCAAGGTTGCTGTGGGGCTACGCGTTAAAGCAGTGACAGAGGCGGCTGGGGAGGGGGAGGGGAGGCCCCCCTCCCCAACAGCACTGAATGGAGATTTGGCTGTAGATACATCAGAAGCGCCTCCTGAAGTCCTGAATTCGGGGGAAGTGCAATACACGGGCAGTTGTTTATCATGCTTGGGTGCTTCAAACGTGCCCCTTTCACTGGACGAGGAGCTGTCCTGCTGACTGCAGGCCCCTTCCTTGCCTCCACCTGACGCTTCTTTTTGAACCGTTACCTTTTCCGGGATGCTTTCTTTACTCTGCCTTGCAACATGCTTCTCAAAAGGCTTACTGCCCACACTGTCTTTCAAGAGGCCTGGCGGCAAAGGACTTTCGTGACTTACGACATTCGCAGAACACCGTTTGAAGGGTTCCACGGAAGGGTGAGCAGCATCTGCCTTCAAAGCCCCCGAGTCCTTATTGGCCAGCCCACACAGACTGCTGCTGGCCCCTGCCATTTTCTTCCCAGAGTCCTTAGCAGCCAAGGCCGCTGGAATGCCAACCCCCGGTGGCTTCTTTCCAGACTCTTTAGTAATCAATCCAATTGGGCTGCTAGCCCCCAGAGGCTTCTTTCCAGCGTCTTTATTCACCAATCCGCTTGAAGAACCAAGCCCTGGCAGCTTCTTTCCAGAGTCCCTGCTGACCAATCCGATCGGCCCATCTGACCCTGGATGTTTCCTCCCAGCATCCTTATTAAAAAATACAATTGGACCGCCTGGTCCTGGTAGCTTCTTCCCAGGGTCTTTGTTAACCAATCCAGGTGGACTAACAGTCCCCAGCATCTTTTTCCCAGAATCCTTGGGAAGTAATCCAACTGGACTGTTAGTCCCCAGAAGCCTTTTCCCAGAATCCTTGCTGACTAGCCCAACTGGCATGCCAGACAACAGTGGTTTCCTTCCGATTTCCTTGCTGACCAATCCCATTGGGGAGCCAAGGATTGGCAGCTTCTTCCCACAGTCCTTGCTAACTAGCCCAGGCATGCTGGGACAAGTCCCTGGTTGCTTTTTGCTCCCAGAGTCCTTGCTGACTAGTCCAGCACCACTACTAATCCCCGGTGGCTTCCTTGCAAAGTCCTTGTTACTCAAAGCAACGCCCATAGTGCCACTTCCAAGCTGTTTCTTTACAAAGTCCTTGCTCGCCGGCACGGTCACAGCCCCAACCACTGGCAGCTTCTTTCCGGAGTCTTTAGCAAATCCAGAAGCAATTCCCATGAAGGGCTTCTTTTGCTTCGTTTTGGAAGACTTTGACGGAGGGCAAGTTGCAATGAGCTGAGCCAGTTTTTCTGTCACCGTTGGTGCTCCATTAATCTGAGCTCTGTCCTTTGAGTCTGGGTCGCGACTACTGGCCGGAGTGGAAAGTGCTGACTTCCCATAATCGGTCACTTCGGAGCGCAGCGGCGAAAGTTTCTTTGAAAGAGGGCTGCTCTCCCTCGGCCTGCCCTCGGCTGCAGAGCTGTCAGTCGGCGCTGTGGCTTCTCCGCTCTTCTTGTACAGCTTTGACGGGTCCTATGCATTTAAAGAAAAAGAATGAGAAAAGCTTTAAGCACCCAGGCATCAGCAAGGGAGGATGCATTCCTTGTATCATATTGGTTTGCACTGGCAGGCCTAGGGAAAATATTTCTGAGGTACCAACACTGTGTGAGCCAGGAAAAGGATCAGATTTTGTTATTTTCCCAACCCCATCTACTGGCAACACAGACACAAGCCTTTGCTATTTGGTTAGTGGGTCATTTCTGTTTATGAAGTACTGCAGGGCTGGAAACCAGGGGGCCAAGAGGCATTGACGGGGCAAATATGGGGGGAATGGGGGGAAACGGATCGTACCAACAAAGAAAAGTGGAATTTGGTTTCTACATGCACAAGTCAAACATCTAGTATCTTAAAAAACAAACAAAAACCTGGGGGATCTAAGTGGTTTCTCACAGGCACAGCTGGGAGAGAGGATTCAAATTATTAGAAAGAGGAACAGGAATTTGAAGTACCATGGCTTGTACAGAGCTGAGACAATACTGCAGTTACTATGTGTTACAGATATTTTAGAACAGGAATCATCAACTAGAGGCCCCTCCACCCGAGCTGCCAATCTTAGGGAAGGAAAGGGGGCTAGAGAGGGAGAAGTTATCTTCAGCAGGAGTGGGGAAGGCATGGCCCTCCAAAATTTGTTGGACTTCCCTCTGCTCCAGCCAGCATAGCTGACAGCCAGTGATGATGAGAGAAGCAGTCTATCAACCTTCATAAGGCCATGGCTTCCCCATTCTTGCTCAACAGCATTGGACTCCTTGGCTGGGGACTTTGGGGTGGGAGACAGGGGTTAGAGCCTTTGCCCACACTCACACTAACTGCCAACCAGAGCTTTGAGAAGTTTGGAAAACCAAGTACTTGGGACCTTTCCAATGCTGGTTAAAGATTGCATTACTCACCCCACCCACTTTTCACATTTCTCTCACTATTTGAGAACATGCCCATCTCCCTTATTACTAGGATCATACAATTTATTGACTCAAAGGAATTCTTTCATTCATACATTTCAGTAATTAATATTTCATTCACATCACCTCAAGCACACTGGGGGATTTCCAGAACACACAGAGAAACAGCCCCTGCTCTGCCAAGGAGCTCGTCGGCTGACTGGAGACATGATTTAGTATATGCAAGCAAGTGTAAGAGACCAGGAAAGGAAACACACAGGGCGCATGGTTCTGTAGTTAGGCTGGATGTGCTGGTAGAGCAGCAGCAGGTTAATAGCCGCGGACGTTTATAGGCAACTAAGAGGGTAAGCAGACAGGCCAGCAAGCGCTGGCTAATGGAACAGTGGCCATTAAAAGGGAGACGGGTTCCTTGCCAGGTCAAAGTGAAAAATGGGAGGCCCAGGAAAGCAAGACTACTTGCTTGTTATTTATTGTATACACCACCATTCTTTTATGGCTAGGTCTTCTAAGATGGCTTATGGGACGCGGGTGGCGCTGTGGGTAAAAGCCTCAGCGCCTAGGGCTTGCTGATCGAAAGGTCGGCGGTTCGAATCCCTGCGGCAGGGTGCGCTCCCGTCGTTCGGTCCCAGCGCCTGCCAACCTAGCAGTTCGAAAGCACCCCCGGGTGCAAGTAGATAAATAGGGACCGCTTACTAGCGGGAAGGTAAACGGCGTTTCCGTGTGCTGCGCTGGCTCGCCAGATGCAGCTTTGTCACGCTGGCCACGTGACCCGAAAGTGTCTGCGGACAGCGCTGGCCCCCGGCCTCTTGAGTGAGATGGGCGCACAACCCCAGAGTCTGGCAAGACTGGCCCGTACGGGCAGGGGTACCTTTACCTTTACCTTCTAAGATGGCTTACAACAAATAATAAAACTGGCTAAAAAAAACTAAAGAAAAGCAGATCCAGGAACCAAAGTCAAGAGATGAATCAAATATGAAAATGGTTGTCAGGTTCAGCAAAAAGCTCGGACAAACAGAAATATTATTGTGTGTGAAATAGGGTTGAATCTATGGGTCCCGGCACTCTGCCACACTCCTGATTCTGTTGCATGAATGATCTAAATGGCCCGCAGCTTAATAGGCGCTTGCAGTAAGTGGAGCGCCGCAAGGTGTGTGAAGACCTGGGCTCAAATCCCACACTGGGCCATAAGAAGCTCTTTGCCAAATCACGCTCCCTGTTTGCTTTGCCTACCTTCTGCACAGAGCGGGGTCAAGGACAAAATGGGAAAGCAAAATGTAGGCTGATCTGACACCTTGGGAATGGTGCTAATGTAATAAATAAAGGGCAAGTAATTATGTTGATGAAACAAGGCTACAGTGGAAGCATCCATTGTGGGGTAATTTTAAGCACCTGGCAGGGAGGCTTAGTGTTAACAGGGTGGGGCAAGAACATGAAAGGAGGAAAGTTCCTTCCCGTAAAATAATGTCCAAGAAAGTTGACAAAACTCCCAGTGATGTGGGTTTTCCAGCAAATTCTGAGTTGGAAAGATTTCCAGAAAACTTTCCTATGCAAATAAGGGTACTTTGCATTGGAAAATATTCAGTTTGCTGCAGAAAAAAAAATCTGATGCCCTCATTCAGCATGCTTATTTTACATGCATTTAATAAAGCTAAAAGCTTTGAAATTGCCAAGCCTGCCTTATATTTATTTGCAATCAGCTTCAAGTCATTGTTACGAAATGGAAGATTTTCCACAGTAAAAAAACAAAAGCACTTGAAAAACCTCCACGTCGCTAATTAAGCCAATAAAACAAACCAGCACAGCTAGGCAGAAGCAGGAATTGGCAGAGCATTCCCTCATGCTCAGGAATTCCATAAAGACTCCCTTGAAAAGCAGCCTTGGCTTGCTACCTAAACACCAACAGAGAGGGGACCAAACAAACTACCCCAGGGAGCTCCACTGCTGAAAAGTCCTGTCCCAGATAACAAGAGACACTCAGCACAGGGCGTCTGGGAGATCAAGGTACTGCATGGGAGCGGGTGGTCCTTAATGTACCCTGAACTCGGACCACTTAGGGATTTCGAGCATCTGTTTTCAACTGGCCTGAAGTGGGTTGCACCAGCAGCATCAGAACTACCTGCTTTGCTTATTCAAGACTTCTAAGAAAAGGCAAGAGAAACATTGGCACCTACAGAAAGAAATTTAAATGCAGGCCCTGTGTTTCAGTTATTAGCACTTATAATACTGTTTATAGTTACATTACAAGCAAACCTGAACAAATAATCAGACCATGGAGACCAGAAAGCATTTAAACCATTTTTTTAAAACCCACAAGCAGGTAGGAATTAAAATAAACCAAAGGCCTGGAGGAACAGGTGAGCTCTTACCTGCCCATATAAAAACTTTAACAATCTGCCCTTCAGCTTCTTGAAGGAAAGGCGAGATATAAACACAATAATTAAATAATTTAAACCTCTTAGGCTTACTGCAGATTGGAGCTAACAGCAGGTCCCTGACCAAAAGTATGAAAAGGCTAGTGGCCAAAGTTATGGCCTGAATAAATATGGTGCTAAAACCTTGTTGAAACTAAGCAGGTCTGCGTCTGTTCAGCACCTGGATAGGAGTTTGCCAAGGAGAACCAGGTACTCTGCCCTCGTGGAAGAAACGTAGGATATAAAACACAAGAAATAATAAATGCTGCCACTCAAGAGTGTTCCACAGAACAGAATCTCAATCTTTATATTACTACAGCCCAGGACAAGGCAGGTTCCCTCAACCTGGTGCACCACAAGTTTTTTTTTTAAGAAGGTCAACTCCTCTCAGCTATTGGGCCATGCTGGCTAAAGCTGATGGGAGTTTGGGAGTCTAACAACATCGGGGGGGGGGGGGCAGCAAGTTGAAGAAAGGCTGCTGTAAAGGTAAGCCAGCATTATAATCCTGCTTTGCAGGTGAGGAGTGGAGACAGAGAGCACAGCAGCTTGCCTAAAGCCACCAGTGAGTCTTGGGGCTGAGGTGGGATGCTGCCCAGGAAAGGGGGGGGCTCACAGCTGCTGCTCTTAAGCCACCTCAATTACCGTACAACCTTTAGAACATGGCAGGCTTTGATCTCCTCCCAGGCTTGGGCTTCCCTTCTCATCCTGCCAACTGCTTGCCTTGAACCCTAACCAAGCTCAGTTGCTACTAGAGGCCCTGCTGCGACAGACAGACAGACAGACAGAGGGTGGATGCCTCTCGATCCTGCTCTGTTGTTTACTTTGAAAGCTGCTGGCGCTGAAGGGATTTTGTAGCAGAGAGAGGAGAGGAGAGGAGTCTGGCACCAAGCCCAGCTTTGCCACGGCAGCTGCAATAGTATGTACATTCTTGCTTGAGCCTTACATTTGCAGAGAGAGAAGGGTTTCTGCTTCCTTTGCGTGCACATATGGAACAGGCAGCTGAGGAGGCAGCCACAATCTGCCCTACGGCACTGGAGTCAAAAGCAAGGGCCCATTCTCATTCCCAAAATAGCCACCAAGGGTGCTTGGGGCTCCCTTACATGGCAAAAGGAACAAGCCTTCAAGCTCCTGCCTCTGCACAGTGTAAATGCACTCAGCGGAGTGCAGCACACTCCCAAGGGAAAAACACTATCCCGACCGGGGCTCCAGAGCTTGTTTGGACAGGTTTTTCCCCCTTTATGCAGTGCTACCCGCTGTGTTCTCTCAGCCCCCAGCTTCGTTTTTCTTCCAGACTTAAGCTGGGCCACGTATTGAATATTTTACTTCCTCTTGTTGTGGTCAGGGAGGGAGAAAGCTCTCCAAGACAACATGGGCGATGCATAGGCCTTGGAAACCATGCCCCACCTATTCCTAATGCCATTAGGCACTCAGCCAAGGACCACCTTCAAGGCAGCAAACAGAATCCACTCTGGAACTGGGGCTTTTAGTGGCCTGGCTCCAGTGTCTTGCCTTCCGTGCTATCAGCATTCTGCTTCCATGGAAAGCATAGCTGGCACTTCAATACTTTGAGGGAAATGTCAAGGCTGCCATTACCAGCCTGCCTGGGTGCTCAAGTCAAACTGATCCCTAGGGACAATCCCTGTCTACTAAGCCCTATAAACACCAT